TTCTGCTATTTTGATCCATAAGATACACAGTCCTGAATTTGACGCCAGTGTTAAAAATAGTACTAAAAAACTGACGCATACGAATTACAAAAGATTTCCTACATGAATTAATGTTTTTGTCTCTCCAAAGCCAATTTCATATTCCTTTACAGAGAATTCCTTTACTTTTCATGTGACTCTACAATGTACTTATTTTTTGGCCAATTTATTAGTTAGACGAGTACGTACCTAGCTACTAGATAAATCGAACATTGCAAATATTCCAATAAATACTTTCACTTGGTGTGAAGTTAACAAATAATATCGTATGGTATGTGCTTTAAGCGGTAGCGTTTACATCAACGACGAAGTTACTGCCTCGCTTTTATGCGTATTCGTTTATACGATTTTTTTTTGTGTGCATCCACCTGCGCTAACGGTTTACACTGCCGGAGCACCAGTGCAGGATGATAAGATGAATATGAGGTCAGGTCAGTTAGCCCATCATGACAAATTCAGGAATTTATCATAATGGTTTCCAGGAGGAACCGCGTGGAGGTCGGCTTAACATGATACGTCGCTAGCAATGGGGATTTTTAGTAATGGGAACTAGTAGTTCCCATTACTAACAATCCCTTCCCCCCCCCCCGTATATATGAGTATTAAGTAGTGGGGTTGTAGGCATTACAAATTGCCTAAGAGGTTTTTTTTACATTCTATAAACATATCAGTAAGAGGAGAAAAAGCAAATTTAGAAAACAGTAGAGATAAAGCGATTGGCCTGTGATTATTATTGTCTATTTGTGCCATCTACTTATGTATGGTGATTACTTTTGAAATGTTAATAATTGCTCTGGGAAAATCCGCAACAAAAACTTTTTGGTCTTATGTTAATATTCGTATAATCCATGGTGCATGGTCTATTACGACCTCTACGTAGCCCCCATAGAAGCCATTATGATTCACAATAGGTGTATTGGCCATGATAGCCCAATTAATCTGACCTCATCTTCATCTTATCATCCTTTAATGGAGCCCCGCTACTGCTATTTATAATAAACATGTAAGTAAGTGATTTTAGCGTCTACAATTTGTGATGTGTTACAGACGTTACAAGACGTTATCTGGTAACACAAAACAGTTTTTTCTTTGAAGCAATGGTTCCGGGTGAAAAATGCATACGCAATCTTCTGCTTGCTATCCCCTTGTCATCTATACATATAAATAAAATTGGAGTATCTGTAATATTGAAATAACCGTCTTTTACTACATGCATATGAATACAAATACAGTACATACACCAAAATAACGTTTTTTACATTATTTGTCTGTCTGTTCGTTTGTTCTGGCTAATCTCTGAAATGGCTGGATCGATTTGGACGGGACTTTTATAGGCAGAAACTGATCTAATAAGGAGTAACTTAGGGTACTTTTATTTTATAAAATAAAATTAAAAACCACGCGGACGAAGTTGCGAGTACAGCTAATAAATAATAAAATCTTAGGTGAGTACTTGTTCAGTGAGACGCTGTGTTCAATCATTGTTTAATTTTCTTATAACTTGCACCAATGTCAATATCGTGAAATACCGTTAAGGCCAATATAGCTCAAGCGCTGCACTCAAAGTTATATACCGTGGGATAGTCGGTTCGACTTCCGTGACAGTGACTCATGTTGACGTGTGATCATTTATGTATGAGTAATGTGTTGTAAACTGATGTTTAAAAAGAATGAAAGCACATTATAATTTTATTGGATTATTTTATTTGTGGGAGTGTTAAATTAATAATTATTACCTATTGTAATGTAGATGGAATATAAGTTTATTAGGAACAAGGCAATTTAAACTAATAAACTAACCTAAAAAAATCCTAAATCATTTGAGTTTAAATATGACGAATACCAAAGTAATTTTTAAACTTACTTACTGTTTGTGGAACCACCGATAACAAATAAAATTAGTTAAAAATACAGCAGTAGGCCTCCTTTTCCGAGCGAAATATAGACAGACATGTCAAAGGTTGCGTTCACCATAACTTGCTGACATACTTGCCGACGCGACGACTTAATAAAGTTTACAACATACGAGATTAGTGGTCAAGGTATATTTAAGTATAATAGGTTTAGTCATAATTATAAATATCTTCAATAAATTATTATATTAGCAATTGTTACTACTCAAGTATTGATATTCTTATTTCTTTGCTGGACGAATATAGAATGATACAGAATTACAGACGCCTACAGTAATGTAAATGCGAGCGGAATACTAGTAGGATAGAGGTAAACAAACTTTTTACTCAATGGGTCAATTTAAATTAACAATTTTTTTTTATTTATAATGTAATAAAACTAAAAAAACTTATAACATTAAAATAAAAGTTTGTACAAGATGCCAACAAAAAAGAGTAACTCGTTACAAAAAAAATATTTTGGTTTAATATGTACTACATTTTATATTTACCATTTACAAATTTAATAAAAAAATATTGTTTAAACCTACTATGAAATAAAGTTTCTAGTATTTAGGTACATTTGTTACTAACGTAAATAAGGTAATCTCACTAATTAATCACAGTATATTACTGCCGGTTTGTTGACTACAAATAAAACACTTAAGTACCTACCGCAAGTACCGCAGTCTTAAAAAGTAAATAAGTAATTACAGGCCTGCATATTTCATTATTCCATGCCTTCTACGTGGTGAAAGTCAAAAGTGTTTTCACTGAAGTCAAAGTTGCAACAACAAATAAAAAAAATTATTGTGTACCAACTTATAACTTTTCTTGTCACTTTTACTACTAATTATATAAGGTTTATAGGTGGCCGACGTTATCGTAAGTACTTAAAAAATCTATATTTCACAATGCAATTTTCATTTAACATTTTCACCACACGTTCACCAATAAGCGTAATAGTATTAGATATTAACTATTAACTAATAATGTGATTATTAGTTCGACTTCCGACATCGATTGCTTTTTAATAGCATTTCGGACATGGAGTTTCAACACCGAAAACAAATGATATTGTGATATACCTGTGGTATGCAGTACAATTTCATCTTAAAGACTTTGCCTAGCTATAAAATTGTCAATTAGCAGTGATATTTTTTATTAAAAATAAAATTACTTATGTTACGAAATTGATAACTTAAAAATAATATCAATGAATAATAATAAAACCAGCAAAACCTGAGAAAAAGAGGCTAATATTAATAATTTTATTTATACCATTATATTCTATTAATATACACAAAAAAAAAATGCTGCATATAGAAGTGATTTTAATGCTGCATGGAATCAAAATAAAAGTTACACAATGTAACAGTAATTTTGGAGTACAAATTTGGCAACATTATACTGCTGTCACTGTCAGAATTGACAAATTAGAAAACTTTGTTCGTGTTTGTGGCAGGGTTAACAGATTTAATAAACTAATGCTTTTTAGTAAAATTTAAAATACGATTGGAAAATGTGGCCCGATGTAATTGTACCGTAACAAACCCCATAATAAAAATTTATCGAATTTTATTTGTCTCTTTTCCACTACAAAATGTATTACTATTTTGTTCTACTGAGCTATTTTCTATATTATACCATATAGAGTGGATATGATACATATCTATATACTAATAACGTAGCCAACTATAATAATAATAATAATCTTTATTTGTCTCAAACAAAAACTAATGAAGGAGACAAAACGGTCTATAACTTAGTGAGTTACTTACTCTCTGCTATTCTGTTATAGCCTTTATCAGTAAAATAATACAATATAAGATCGACGACAACGATAGCACATTAAGTTATAACTAGCGATTAAACTAGCAACTAGCGATTAAAACTAAAATGAAAAGTAACTGGTAAATTGTTCTATCATAGACTCAATAGTGTTAAATTTGATAGTGGCCAATATTCGAATGACAATATTTTTGCTACAAAAAGTACTCAGGCTTACAGAATGCTACATTTTTTTTATATCACTGTGACGGAAGATATATTTTAACACCACTACAATACAATAACACACTTATTTAAATTCCATAAATATGAAATAATAAATCCCAACGCAGCGTGGGGTACAGTGGTTACTTTTTTTTACAAGTGCTATAACTTCACCTTATTTATCTCAAATTGATCAGTGGTTTAATGAAAACCTAGAAGATATGTTTAAATTTGAAACAACATTGCAAAAATACCCTTACAAATACTTAGTAATGAGATAATAAAGTTCTTTTATTTAATGGCACAATATCCATCGTCACCCATTTGCAAAATTACAATGATCTATCCACTGTGACGGTCTATGAGCCGCGAACCACTGTACCCCACTCACCCCTATATAAATAGTATCTATAGTATATAAATAGTTCTGAAACAAGATAGAAAGGCATAACCAATAAATCATATTTGTTAAGATATATATGTTTTTCAAACGATTCCAAAAACAAATTATGTAGTATAATTATAAATGAATGTATTATTTATTTATTTTGCTATAGGTACAAGAGAACTTTCTTAAATAGGGCTGTCAAAATTAACGAAACCTTTATTTACTTTGTGTAACTTAATGCGACACTGTAATGTAAATACATATTAAATACTGATTTCTTATCTTCTTTGTCCTCAAATGTACTATTGTTTGTATGTGTACTGAAATAAACAAGAATAACAGTACAATTTTTCATATTAATTTGAGAGTTTTCTAATCAAAATATTTATTAAGTAGTAATTTAATTTTATATGTGATTGTGAAATAATATAAGGATATTTAATTTTTTATTTGTGATTGTGAAATAATATTTTTATATATGTTGAATATTTAGCACGATCACGAATTTAAATATGGTAACACTGAAATGGGAATTGTCAAATTGTGAATGTAGAGGTTTTCAGAATTGTATTTGTTTTTTTATTGTGAATGTGTATTTTTCTCTCGAACTTATTATTGAAGCATGTTCCAATGAAAAAACGTCAATAAATTTTATATATATAAATATTTCTACTCTAGTATTAAATGTAAATGTATAAATTATATTAAAATTGTCCAGTATTATAGTGTCTGGTGATAGTTAAAGGTGAGTACCTAGTTTCTAAAGTGAAATAAACAACTAATAGTTATCGATAAGTATCTTATTTGGATTAGTTACAAACGTACTTAGTATTTCATGGATGCTATACAAGATAATTATCTATAATGAACACTAAAAGATGCCAGTTAGCTAATTTACAATCATAATTGTCGTGCTAATAGGCTGTTGTAAAGATCTTGTATTCCATGTTTTGAGTTATTTCAATATTGTGTGTGGTTGTGTTTTTTATTCTATAACTGTAAGTATTAAAATAGATAGCTAGTAAATAAACCTTAATAGATATTTCCCTTGTCTTTATTATGTTTAAAACTATTTCTGTTCTATAAATTATAAAGTTTATTATTGCTTATTTTTGAAAAATCTCAATTTTGTATCACAAATATATATCTTTTCTATAGACATTAAACTATGCTTAATTAGTAACTTTTTAAGGTGATAGATTTTGTGAAAATGATTTGACAATTTTATTTTCAATTTTAATTTTACTACATTATTTCTTACTTATTTATAAAGTTCATGTAATATTATTTAGAAATACTTTGCAATTGCTTTAAATGAATCTGTTTTTTCCTCAGTAGTCCAGAGGTTTAGCATATTCCCAACTGCCAATGGTTGTGAGTGTGAATTCCAACATAATACATATATTTTTGTATGCAATACATATACTTTTGCCTTATCTTGATTCTTACTCACCAAAGGTAATCCGAAGAGATTGCTTAGTGATAAGCCTTTTGCATCAGTTAATGTGTATATATGTGTATAATTTTAATTATTTTCTGTATCTGTTGCAATAAGTAAATATAAAAGTATACAAATCAGATTTCGTAATGGATGATAATGTAATAGCAGTCCCATCTGCGTCAACAGTTTACTCTGGTAGGATGTCAGTGGAGGATGATAATTTAGCCCATCATGGCAATTTCACCAGGAATTTAGACAGATAGTGTCCAGGCAGATGTGGAGGTCAACCTGACACATACTATACATTGCTAGTCATGCACCCCCTATATCAATCAATTGTCACATGCCAATCATCAGATTTTATTAATTTTAATGTAGCTGTTGAGTTTTCCCAGGATTTGAACTTTTATGTCACATTGTCACACACATTATTATGTTACTCTTTGAAATATTGATATGCAATATTTCAACTTCAGTAAGAGGTGTATATATTTTATACACATTTTTGTTTAAGGTTTTAAGAGTTTAATTTTTAGATAAATATTGTTATTCTTGGTGTCAAATATGAAAAATAAAAAAAATATGTGACTGCAAAAGTAGGTAGTATCTTTTTTAAAAAGTAAGATAATACCTATCTTATTTTTTAACAATAGATGATTGTCTCATCTCTTCTTAGTATACTTGTAAAACTAGGACTGAATTGTAAAAAGATGTAATACTCATAGCGAAGTATTATTTTAAACCAACTGTACAATTGTGTAAGATTTCCAAAAACAGTGTACCATTATTTTATCCTCCACTTACACACAAAGTTATAAAATTTGCACTCTCTCTTTATTTATTAGTATACAGGTGTAGATGTAGATTGTTAAAAATTTCACTTGTACAAACTAATAAGATTATTCAGTGCACAGTTGGATACAGTCACAAACTTTCATTTTCAAATATAGTAGGTATTTACATTCTAATTAAGAATCTGATGTGAATTATATAATTGAAGCTAATTGAAGGCTTATTAAATGTATAATATTCAGTACTTGAGCAAATTTATATCTGTAGAAACTACCCACTAGTTTTATCTCGAAATATTAATGATAGACTAGACTAGAATGTAATAAAAATAATCTTTATTTCAATAAATTTAATTAAGTTAACTTAAGTACTTGATTACACTGTGTTTAAAACGGTTTTTGACCGTTGATTACAATTGTACACATTATAATATAATGACGGCCTCGCCTCGGTGTTCTAGCGATTTTACATACCGTCTTACCAACGAGGGTCGCGGGTTCGGTTAACAGTACAAACATTTGTATTCATGAAAATGATTGTTTGTCAGTCTGGGTGTTTTCTGTATATAATATGTATGCCTTTACGAAAAAAATATCTATATTATTTAAGATATTATATAATGTATAGATATAATATTATTTAAGAACTGCCGATGCTGTTACACGCGTCCTGGTGAAGGGTAAAAATCCCGTATACGTAATGTGAACCCCGAAAACCATTTAAAATACAGATTATTAAAAAGTGCTTATATCAAGTATATTTGTGTAAATAGTTATATAAGCGTATTCTGTCTAACTTTTAGACTAATATTAGTATATTTTTTTATTCTACCGCCCTTCGACCAATTTCAAATACTATATTATTATACTACTGTAATTTAAAATATGTGTCCATATCTGTGGAAAATGCTGATCAATTGTCTATTTATTTCATAAATAATTGTATTACAAATAACTTGCACAGTATTTCCTACCCAAGCTTATCTGCGTTAGGACAGCGTAAACAGCTTCCGTTAGCTGGCATATATAACAAATTATATCGCAAATTGGACTCTTAGCTAAACACAAATTAACAGTAGCGTATCAGCTGACTAAACAGGCAACAAAATATTCTCAAACCCAGTGTTTTTTTTTAATACAGCATAAAGATCTGTCCAGGAAAATCATACAAATAGTTCGTATGATTTATCTTATACGAACGATATATTTATATATATTAATCTCAGGACAATTCACACAGCGCCTTCTAGACCCAAGTTAAGCTAGCTAAAGCTTGTATTATGGGTACTAGATAACTGATACATATACATAGATATTTTTTTTTGTAAATACATACACATTATACATAGAAAACACCCAGACCGATACAAACAATCATACTCATGAATACAAATGTTTGTGCCGTGCGAGGAATCGAACCCGAGACCATCGGTCGTAAAGCAGTGTGCTAGACCGCTAGACCACCGAGGTCGTCAAATATTATATATAGCAACAACTATTCTTTAGGTATATCTAGCAGAATCTAACATGTTTATGTAGGAATTCTTGAATAGCCAGATAAAGGTAAATTTATAAGGATGTACTTAGACCGTACCGTATAATTCATATACTAGTGTATGAAATATACGGTATTACCACACAGATAAGATGTATTATTAAATTCGCAACCAATTTAATTGGTCAATATTTTCGTGACTCTAATTTTACCTCTTATTAATAGTATGAAATTAGTACACATTGTTCAAAGATCGCGCAGAGCATAATACTGCTTTCGTTTCTTGAATCGACACAAAATAATTACTGGGTGAAACTAATGCATGCATGACAAAATTATCTCTTTACATGTCAAACTGTTAATGAACTGTCTGTAGGCAATTATGTATATGAACGTTACGACGGTTAACTCAATTGGGGTAGTCAGACTCAGTCAATCGTGGATGTCGTGGTGAACGCACCACCAGATATGTATACCTACATTTCTCTTGATCTATATGTATCCAACAAGGCAGAGGAGCATAATGCTGGCTCCGACTAATTTCTAGTTCGCTACCAATCTTTTTTGTGAAAAGTGAAAAAAGATTGGTATAGTAGAAATAAAAATATTCTTTATTAAAATAAACTCAACAAGCGCTTTTAAATAGTCATATTTATTCTACCGAACGCATACTCATCACAAGAAGAATGAGAAAGAAACTTGTGTGCTGCTCTTTTGAATAAATGTTATATTAAATGATTAATTGCACATTAACAAGTAAGAGGCATGCGATCATCAACATAGAAACCGCTGCGGACTCTTTCCTGATGCAATCAGATAATATTGTCAGCGCTATGAAATTAAATCTTTTTCTACAAAGACATTATTTAATTAAATAAACAACATCATTATACAAATTTTATAGTAAGCACTTTTACAGAGAAAAGAGAGTCAGAAATGAAATTTAAATGGACATACAATTTTTTTTTTAAGTTGGTGTAACCACTATGCCCTCAATTGGATGTATTAATTTAAATTAATGTAACAATAATGATAATTAATTTTATAATTTACATTAAAAAGTGACTAGTGGCCATTATGAAATTCAGATTGTCTTAAACTTGGTATGTTTGTAATTCGATACATTCTTCTCTGTGGTTACTTTATCTTTATATTAAATACATGAAGCAAAAACTTTGTACCCATTTTTACAAAAATTACGCGGATAGAGGAGTATGAAATTTTGCACACAGTAGTTTATATAGGGTAGGAGTGCTGAATGATTTTTTTTTATTATGTCTAAAAATGACATTAAGAGGCCTTTCACATTTTTTGGCCTAAAAGCAGTGTCTTTGGGGTTCTGGTTCTAAGAAATTAAGAGTCGCATATACATTTTTATTCCTGAATTATATAGATAGATATCTAATCTTAAAAACTACATCTTTGAAATGTTAATTTTCTCTTTGTTAGTCTTCCTAATTTCTAAAATAGTTTATTCAAAAACGCTAAATGACAGAAGTTTGGGGTCGTCGTTCATTAATAAACAAACATAAATTGATATGATATCTTTACTAAAACTTGATAATTACTTTATACATTGAGACAGCATCGTCCTTTTTTTCATTTTCAACTTAAATATCTAAAAAATTGATCATAATTAAACCCGAAGTTTCAACAAAACTTTGCCATAATCATTTCTAATTTTCTCATAAATACAACGAAATTTTTGCATAAAAAAAACATAATAATAAAGTTAATATACTTATAAATTAGAAATATGAAAAAAAAATATAAGCTTCTAAGAAAAAAATAAACAATAATAATAATTTAAAGTTGTATAAATTCCGTTGCGCCAAAAGTAAATTCTCAGTGCTGCGCTAGCGCTCGTCGAGGTAGGACCTATGCCATTTTTTACAACACCGCTAAGATAGACATTGGTCAGTGAACATTAGTATAGAGCGACTAAACAATTTTGATAATTTAAGTAATATTTAATTAATTTTGCTAATATATACTTATTTCTACGAATATTAATTTAAAGTTGTTGTTAAATATAATATTTATTTTAGCATGCCAAGACAATATATATATATATATAAATAAAACCTACCTACCCTGCTGGACTATGAAAAGCACAAGAGCATGGTATTTGGTCACACTAATGGCAATTAATTGTTAAAATTAAGAGAACATTTTAGTATTTTTTAAAATAACGCTTATCTGAGAGAAAAATGTAAGAAAATGTAAACCAATTTTACTCTATGTTTATTTTGAAGTTTTTTTTCTAAATTAAAATAGGGTTATTGTTTATAAAAATACCATTATTATTTTTACGTACATTTGTCTTGTATTATATAGTGTATATCATCTAGTATGCAATGTGGATTGTAAATAAATTACCAAATTATATATAAATTATATTCCTTAATGTTTAGAGATATTTTATCCAATTTTATTTTATTTTACACAATACAGATATTTCTAAATTGCAGCTATTCTGTTATTATACTCGTTGGACTTTCATTACTGTACAGTTATGTCAAATAATTATGCGTGTTTGGGTGAAAAGTCAACAACATTATAAATGTTTTTATTTAGAGACTAGTTTTAGCTCGCGGCTTCGCCCGCGTGAATATGGGATATATAGGTTATCGCGCGTTTAAAGATCCGTGTACAGTATTGGGACGTTATATATAAACCTTCCTCTTGAGTCTATCTATTCTGTCTATTAAATAACAACGAATCAAAATCTGCGTAGTTTTTTAAGATCAAAACATGCATAGATCTATTACATGTGTAGATGATATTTTAACCGGAAATTGAAGCCGTTAAAATGGTATTGGCAGATCCGTTGGAATCATCGGTATTCTTGGTATATAAGCTGGTTGCCCAGCTAACGTACCGGTTATAATGGTCTACAATTAAATTGTCTTTCAATTCTTTAGTAAGCAATATATCCAATGGGACGCCATTGCACATGTTCGGCGGGCTTAAATTTCATGACTGGATCATGCTTTTGAGAAATTCCTTCCTCAAGTTTGAGCATTTAGTGTGGGAAATCACTATTTGTGCTTCCATAAAAATGAGCTCTCAAATTTGTCAGTGGTTTTAAACTTTCAATTAAAGTCCATAAGGGAGACGATGTTAATGACACAGAGAGTCTTTCAGAAATCTCCAGCAAAAGTATAAAAGTAATCCCGCCAATGAGAGCAGAGGTGTTTCTAAGGTCTTTTAAGGTTCTGTCCAAAATCTCTATAGCTCATGGTGATTTCATTACATATAATCAATGAGGCGTCTTATAATAATTTATAAAAAGGTTTGACATTAACAATTAATTATTTATCAAGAATCAAGAATCGGCCAACCAAGAACGAGAAGCTGCAATATCAGCCAATATCATGCGGCGACGTCAATGATGCAGGAACAGCAATGATAGCAGTTGAAGCTTTTGTTTTTTACAACTTAGAATGGCAAACAAGCTGACGGCTCTCCTGATGGAAAGGGGTAACCGTCGCCTATATACTTGAGCAGTACCTGCCATGTTCATACCAGCATATTGTTTCCCTCATGCCTTGCCATTCCTGAAAACTCGGGTGTTATTCCCCTGTACCTTGTAAATTCACTACCATATATATATACACAGGTAGTCTATATAGATAGATATACATATACACAGATAGTATACCCTGAGAAAGGTCATAGACTACTTTATAGTGCGAAAAAAGTATTGTAAGGGATTAAAAGCGGAGATCAAAGGTTGTATAAAAGTATCGTCATTGTTTAAGTGAAACAAAGAAACTTTTTTAGGTTATAATCTAAATATATTTCCTTTATTTGGTCAATTTCATTATACCACGCTGACGAAGTCGCGGACACACCTAATATACATATAAGGATGGGACTTTTAAATCAAAACAAAGCCTTGAAAACACAACTATTATATATAAATAAAATAATTATTTGCTAAGTATAATATTTAGAACAAGTGAATATGGCAATAATGTATCCGACTCTTATAATAAATTATATTGTATCTATTAATAAATAAACTGAATTAATACGTAAGAAGAATTAATTAGTAAATTTATGTTATAGTAATTTCATCTTCCTGTCCCAATTATTTGTTACTCATATTACTTAAGGTTTTGGCTTTTAGTTGTACAATCGGCCAGCATCCTGACATCAACCCTCTAGGAATAATATAATAAAAAAATATGGTCATTATTAGCACTTTGATAATTAAGATAAATCACGTTATTTAAAAAATCCAATAAGTAGTTTATGTTACTCAGTTAAGTAGAAACATATCACATTATTAATTAAAATATTACAAGGATCAAAATGGTTCATACTAAATCCACACCGATTGAGCTACACGGTTATTTGCGTCTGTGTGCGTGTATTACTGTATGTGTGCGTAAATCCATGCGATTATACCTAAAGTTGAGCGGCATCATTTTGTAATAGGCCTCTTAATTAAAAACTTTACACATACTACTATATATTTGACACACACACATACACGAATACGCTTTTGTTTAATTATTAATGCTCATTCAAAAATCTTTTTTGTTTTTATTACGGTCGAAATTTCCACTGGGCTCCAGTCAATTTAATACAGTATTATTTGCTTGCAGTAAAGTAACATGGACAGCGCTGACACCGCATCTTTGCGCGCCATGGCGGCACAGTGGAGCCTCGCCGGTGACAAGCAGCTGTTAGACGTTCTTCATAATATTCACGAGGTTGTATATTGTTCAATGAAAGTTAGAAATTGATAAACACATACGATTTATCACAACCATTTACACAGCGTTGCATATAACAAGTTTAACTGAATTGATTTACGCCAAAAATCAATATTTTCTGTATTATTCAATTGTAACGACTTAGGTCGTATGTTTACATAATTACGTAATATAAAACAAAGTCGCTGTCGCTGTCTGTCCCTATGTATGCTTAAATCTTTAAAACTACGCAACGGATTTTGACGCGATTTTTTTAATAGATAGAGTGATTCAAGAGGAAGGTTTATATATATATATATAATACACGTACAACCGTGCGAAGCCGGGGCGGTTAGCTAGCATAACAATAAATACAGGAGTGTTTATCTGTTTGTTTATTATACTTAATTATTACTTTGAATATTAATATTTAACGCGATAGATAATATCATGAACATATATAAAATGCTAAATCAATAATGATAAATCTTGTGATGTGAAAGACCCTAACTATCATAATTACCAGATGAATCCAATTACTGTATCGCTGGAAATACTATGTAACGGTCTACCTGATAGAAAGTGAAATCGCCAACAGACTTGAACAGACACTATAGACAGAATTTACCACAAATGCTGTGTGCAGTCAAAAATATTTCTAATTAATACAACGTTTTAATTATTTATGAGCATTTTAATTAATATTAAATAAGATTTCTTTCTTTCTGTAGGCGTAAAAAGCCAAGCTTACTTCGTACCCGTGCTATACAGAATAATAATAGTTCAAAAAATTTTATCTGTCAATAAAAGACATACTAAATTCTACAATACATTATTGAATACCGCACCCAATTCAGTTACGCCGTTTTTAAGACGAAGGCACTCGAAATGCACGCAAATCGGTACACATAAATATACCATATCTACTGTGATTTCGAATACTGCGTTTACAAGTTAAAAGGCACATAGTATATGATATAATGATGCATATATATAAATACTTACTCTTTTATATTCTGGTAAGAAATATGCGGAAAATATATTTATAACTGTGGTTTGTATCTACGCTGACCAACTCATCCTAATTTATGATAAGAACATTCTATTGTATTTATATATAGTTCAGTTTCAGTACATAACGGTCTTCTAAATTGTTGTAATATTTGTTTTTTAATTAAACTCCATGTGTTTTAATAATACTCATTTCACTTAAAATTAAATAAGAAGAATTCTAAGGTAAAGTCAATCAATCGTATCGTTTGTGGAGATAAATAGAATCCAAACTATTATGATATTAATGCAAAACTTTGTGTATTTTTGATACCTTTACCCCAATAAGGGGAAATAAATAGTGTTGTAAGTAGCAGTTAGTATTATATTAATAGAGCATGAAACTTTCATTTACATGAACATTATGGATTTTTTGCTTTCCTTTCTTATTTTTATTATTGTTTTTTTTATAATGTTGTCGTCAAATATTGTCAAAACAATAAGACTGGCGATATATAGTATTTCGTATTGTTTTTAACCGTACCACAGATAAGATAATATTACATACTCGTACTGTTTTCTGCATTTAGTCCTATAACGTACGATTAAAAATTAGATGTTTTTGGCAAATCTATTTGTTAAATGCTAATCATGTGACATTCAAGAATGCAGTGATATAGGTGGTTTTTATATAATATATAAGTTCCTTGAGATCTGCTAATGATCATAAAATAAACAGCCCTTATAATAAATGTTGTAACGCCATTTCGTATTTTTTATATTTATCAATAGTATGAATGAAATGTCTTCACTACAAAGAGAAATTCTTTTTAATGCGTTGTTTCAACTTCGTTATTGTTACAGAGTCTCGTGTCGCGATGTCAGGAGACGAATAGGGCGTTAGATGAAATGGCTTCATCGCTAGACGAAGCTACGATCGATCTACAGAATGTAAACAATAAGTAAGTTAATGACTAATTAAAGAAATTAATATTAGTATCCATGCTTACATTATTTTTAATATCCATGTTCTATTTTAAGTTATAAAGTATTTAATTATATTTAAAAATAACCCAAAATAATGCAGTGCGATATTTTGGCATCGTTCGATTTTATTGTTATTATTAATTTAGACCACAAATTCCGTATTAATTTATTAATACGAGGATACCAAATATCGTCACTAAAACAGTTGAATTATGCCATGAGTATTACCATTGAGCGATTTCAGAAACAACGCGGTTCTATACCTAGTAGTTATTCTACACAATATCGTCGCTTATGTTAAACTACATTTGATGTTTATTATTATACTTCTTAAATCCATCTGAATCTATTAATGGCATGTCTGTATTCTTCCACAAGGAAGAATACATATTGTTAGGTGTAACTTCCTGTGGTGGCGCCACCGTCGTGCGGCGCGTCTATAAAAGGCTGCGAAACCCGGATGCGGTCTTTGGTCGACAGACGTGCTCTCGAACGAATCTCCGTATCATACCGTGTTTGCTTTATAAATTCTTTTACTGATTTTGTTAAAATTAATTATACGATTTGTTATCAGTTTCTTTTATTTAATTAAATTTAGAGGTTACTCCTAACATAGAAGTGGGATTCGAGGCCATTTTTGGTCGCGAATAACATTTTTGACTAAGGATTGATTACATGTCAGTAGAAAACGCCCATCGTTACGAGAGCACGCTTCTCCGTTCTTTATCAAATATAGGTGAATGTTTGATGGATAGTCTCAACAATTGGTGTCGCTGGAACAACGTGCGGGTAGCTCAGCGAAACAGGGGTTCGCATATACTGCCGACGTAGATGCTGAATATTTGCCTGCGCCGGCACCGGAGATGAGCCAGTCGCCGCCCGCGCAGACAGTCGGCGCGCCAGCCAGACCCGCCAACGCGGCGCCAACGAGCGCACCTGGTGCGGTGGCGCGATCGGTTGCTACCTCAACAGACATTACGAAACGTCTTATCGACGTTTAATGTCATGAATCTGGTGAGATCTTTCCATTTTTATATTTCATACTTTTAAGTATGCGCAACATTGACGAGTAGTTGCGATGAAGTAGATCGTGGTCATTCAGTGAACCGACAGACGGTGTAGTTTTGTTGTTAAAATGAAGCAAGTGCGTAGTAACGTGAGTGAGTTAGTGATGATCATACTTGGTCATATATGATAGCAAACTACGTAGTATAGAAGTAGATTTTCAAATACGGTGCTATAGTTGCAATATAGTCGGGTAGTATAAATAAATTTAGTTCTTTTGAAAAATAAATACGGACAAAATATATGCGTTTTGTAAGAATATAGGTCATACTGAATACGCTTACTTTACAAAGAAATAATCTGAATTAGGCTAACGCAAGTTTTCGCCGTGACTTACTAGTGATAATGCACATTTACGAAATTATCGCGCCGTAATAGATACCCACAGATGTTTAGTACGATAGTGGTTCAACAACTTCTTTTAAATCAAATGATCGTCTTCGTGTTGTAAGATGCACATATTATGCTGTTTAGACGAAACGGATATCTGATTATACCCACAAATGTTTAGTACGATAGTGGTTCAACAACTTTTTTAAATCAAATGATCGTCTTCGTGTTGTAAGATGCACATATTATGCTGTTTAGACGAAACGGATATGCGGTCTGATTATACCCACAAATGTTTAGTACGATAGTAGTTCAACAACTTCTTTTAAATCAAATGATGGTTTTCGTGTTGTAAGGTGCACATATTATGCTGTTTAGACGAAACGGATATGCGCTTTGATTACTTTCTTACTTAATCTGCAAAATTCATAACATCTCACAAAAGTAACTTCTTAGTACCTTGTGATTATCTTAAAGACGTCGGTACTCAGTGGTAATGATATTTTTAAGATTGAAAAGACATTGCGTATACGAAATAACGATTTTTAGCGTATTTTTAGAAATTTTTTGAAAATAATATAGCGCGTAGTGAATCGATAGCGCGACTTCAATTGATAAATACACCGTTCCGTGGTGATGAAAAAGAAAATTTGTAGTCATAATGAATAAACATTCTGAATACTTTTTAGTGGCTCAGTCACAGCTATGGTCAATACCGTATAGAGATACACATTCGACTACTTGTTAACGAAGTAGCGTTATGTAGGTACGACGGTTAATTACCGAATCGACCATATAAATTATTTTACAGTTATAAATTAAGCATGCGTGTGAAAATCCAGGTTTACAATTCATTTCCGCTAAGTGTAATTACCTCGCTCCTGAGGTTGTGTATTAGGAGACTGGAACTATTTGTATAGTTGCTCTCCGAACGTATCCAAAAAGAAATGATGGATTCTTCGTTCAAACAAATTTCAATTTGAGCATTTCATTCATTCATCAAGTAATACTTATTTTTGAATCTTCCGCGTGAACTATCTTATCGTATAAGGAACGAGCGAGGAAGACTAAGTCTGTTGCTTTTTTGAACACTTGTGGTAACTGTACATTTTAAGTTCAAATGTGTGAATACAAACTGCGAATTAGTACTAAATCATTAAAATCTAAATATTAAATACGCAATCAATTGGTTGATTAAGTATAAGATTAAAGCGGTGTTTAGGAAAGTCTCTACAAGCAGTCCTCGTTCATGTGTATGACGGACAGAGAAAATAAACGCCGTAGTATTTTGGATTTTTACCAAAAACTGTAGAGAGCTGCTTGTTGCGGAATACGATGTTGTCGGTTGAGACGATGTATAATAAAAATGAACTGATCAAATGCAAACAATATCATTTAAGGAGAGCTGACATGGTTTGTGCAATATTTAGTTGATATTATTTAGTGATACTGGTCAGCTATCTTATTCGGTATATTTTTTGATACACCCAAATCGCCTCTTGAAATTTTAACGGGGAAAAGAATAGAAACTAGAGAGATGAGATCATCTCTATATTGTAATAAATCCGCGTTGCTTATCTTTGACCATTTACGGACTGAAGTCCATACGGATGCAAGTGCACTAGGTTACGGTACTAATTCAAATAGGAAAAGACGGACGTATACACGCATATTGTTCATTTTTGCAGATAGATTTAATTTGAGCTCGAGATACTTTGTTGTCAAGGCATTGCAACATCGTCATCTCATCGGAAAACATTTTAGTAGTAATAACTGCAACGCCCTGAAAATTATAAGAGATCTCTTGCCTAGGGTAGTGCGCTATGAATGTGCCTACAGGATCGTGATTTGACGTTTGAATATCGTAAAGGTTAGTTCATATCTCACGCATCGAAATCCTTTTAATAACCTCACGAATCGTAGTAGCATATGCTGCTGATGATGAGACTACTTGTACAAGGGCAGTTGAATAGTTTGCGATATATAAAGAAAATAAATCTTAAAGAAAATAATTATTAACATATCTCTATAGGAAAAAGTCGCGATTATTGTTATATTTCTAAAGACTACGTGTTGACCATATTGACGTGGAAACGTTGTCGAGTTCAAATTAGTTGACGGTTTCAAAGTAGGGTCCATCTTGTAAAGAAATACTATAGAGCACGGAATTGTTTGTTTAATGTGTAAACATGTTACCTTATACTTTATATCACGTTCCTCTCCACCCAATGTAGGTCCACTATACTTTCAATACCTTATGATGCATACATAAAATGTAACGAATACAAATATATTCTCGTACACTAAATGCTTTCTCTATTGTTCTAATCTATACAGAGTCAAAATATATAGAGTCAAAAAGGAACTTTTTGAGTTTTTCTAATGTAATTTGTATTTTTGAGATAAATTTTATCGTAAGGTATTTAGGTAACACCACGTGTAAGGTCTTTGTGCAGCATCGAGTGTGTTATAGGATACACCTCGTGTAAGGCTTTGTGCAGCGACGAGTGTGTAATAGGTAAGCACCTCATATAAGGCTTTGTGCAGCATCGAGGGTGCTATAGGATACACCTCGTATAAGGCTTTGTGCAGCATCGAGCGTGTTATAGGATACACCTCGTGTAAGGCTTTGTGCAGCGTCGAGTGTGTATTAGGTAGCACCACGCATAAGGCTTTGTGCAGCATCGAGGGTGATAAAGGATACACCTCGTATAAGGCTTTGTGCAGCATCGAGTGTGTTATAAGATACACCTCGTGTAAGGCTTTGTGCAGCATCGAGTGTGTTATAAGATACATCTCGTGTAAGGCTTTGTGCAGCATCGACTGTGTTCTCTACACCTCGTGTAACTTTGTGCAGCATCGAGTGTGTTATAAGATACACCGCGTGTAAGGCTTTGTGCAGCATCGAGTGTGTTATAAGATACATCTCGTGTAAGGCTCTGTGTAGCGTAAAGTGTGTTATAGGTGACCTCTCGTATAAAGCTTTGTGTGGCTTCTATGTATACAAGCTTAGATCAGATTTAAATTAGTCCTTGTGAGGCAACGTGATCCTACTTCCAAAAATAAAATGCTTACCACTAACTTATGGTTCACAGGTTGTGAAAGTTTTTAATTATTCTCCGAGCAATAGCCCTGAGAATACCATCAGCCTGGACAGAGCGCATAAGATTAGCAGTCGGACCAGACGACGCGCCGTGACCAGAAAGCATCGGGGACGATGCTCCGTAGGAAGGCCGTGTTTGTAACTTCCTGTGGTGGCGCCACCGTCGTGCGGCGCGTCTATAAAAGATTGCGAAACCGGTGTGCGGTCTTTTGGTCGACAGACGTGCTCTCGAACGAATCTCCGTATCATACCGTGTTTGCTTTATAAATTCTTTTACTGATTTTGTTAAAATTAATTATACGATTTGTTATCAGTTTCTTTTATTTAATTAAATTTAGAGGTTACTCCTAACAATATAATATTTTTTTTTCTAAATACTTGCATAACATACAAATGTCTAGTACCCATAATACAAGCACTGCTTAAAGTGGGACTAGATGGCGGTATTATTTGTCTAGGGTTATTTATTTATTACTATTAACTGCACTGGTTATTTAAAACAAGAAATGGATATAAAAAATAATGTGAGGTAGAATGAGCTTATCTCTTAAGGAGATATTTTACAGCCAAATAACGCTTTGACTTAGTTGGGAATGGTGGAGCACGAGTGTTAGGCTGACGATATAAATATATTTCAAGGAGAAAGGAACAAATTATTATTATTATTTTGTTACGTGTAGGTAAACATAACCACTCTATAAATAAATATAATACATAAAACTTGAGAAACCTAATCTAACTAATTTAATATACATATACCAATTCACACTACCTAACTACTACTACTAAGCGATGGCGACAGCTGGTCGACAAGATAGTGTAGAGTTATGATCCTCAGCAGTGAGGGAACGATTAAGAAGAAGATTCCACACTACATAAATTAAGCCACGCAGAGGGGACGTCGTTAAAATGTGATACTGTGACAACGAGTGACGAATTTGAACTATTAGCGAACAAATTGAATACTTCGATAATATTTAGCAAAATTATAAAAGATAATTTTTCACAACTGTGACCAGCTGTGGCAAAGTCTGAGGGGAGGGTTCGACGATCACTTATTGAAGACTTAGTTTTCGCTATAACATTTCAAATTATTGCATTATATGTAATATTTTCAGATTTATGGCGTTAAGTAACAGTCAATTCATAGAGAGCAGAGTTTATGATGATGATATTGATGTCACGGAACCAACTGAGCAACCAAAAGTACGTATTTATATAATGATATAGGTCTCCGAAACGGCTTATCCTATTTTGATGAAATTATATGTGTATACTCAGTAGATCTAAGAATAAGATTGTTATCTATTTTTATACCCTAAGAAATATGAGTGGCCCACCACATTTTTTTGTAATTTTTTGGAAAAAATATCTCCTATATTTTCCCTTCCACCAGCAACCCCTATTTTTTAAAGCGTTATTAATGTCTGCCTTCGAGGTGGCTGTATCCTTATTTGAAATATCTGTAATAACAGAAAATAAGCAATCACCTATTTCATTTTGCATTTCAATAAAATAAAAGTACTTTTCATATTATAGAGATATACTATATTCCATACAGGAACCCCAAAAACCAGAGGATCCTACAGTAGAGTTAGAGAAAATAAAAGAAGGCCTCAAAGTACTAGAAGACATGCATGAACCGCTGCACATTCTGCATGATACGGACAGCGAAAGTGATACTGAGGATGAAGATGTCGGAAGGTAATCACCTCAGTTTTACATGCAAACATAACCTCACGCCTGTATCAGAATATGACTAATTTACTTATTTAGTTCCTCAACCAGTTGGTTGTATCTTATTATTATTAATATTATAAACGAGAAAGTTTGTGAGTATGGGTGGATGTTTGTTACTCTTTCACGCAAAAACTACTGAACGGATTTTGATGAAACTTTACAGTAACATAGCTTATACATCAGAATAACATATAGGCTCATATAGGCATAACTCTCACGCGGGTGAAACCGCGGGAACAACTAATCTATACATATAAATAAAATTGGAGTGTCTGTTTGTAATATTAAAATAACCATTTTTTACTACATGTATATGAATATAAACACAGTACATACACCAAAATATAATTTTTGTCTGTCTGTCTGTCACTCTGTTTGTTCCGGCTAATCTCTGAAATGGCTGGACGGATTTTGACGGTACTTTTTTGGCAGGTAACTGATGTAATAAAGAGTAACTTAGGCTACTTTTATTTTAGAAAAATTAAGTTAAATTCCACACGGACGAAATCGCGGGTACAGCTAGTTACATATAAAAATATTTTATACATGATTTTAAACAGCTTAAAACTTAAATATATAATATATACCTATAATGTGTTACTTACATATTTGTTAATAATTATTATATTACGTTTATCAGCATGAGTCGTGCGTAATAAAATTAATAAATTTATGATAACAAACTTTACCGCAAGTACGCTTAAATATTTATAGTTTCAAAAGTGTGAGTGTAACTAGAAATAAATAATAATAATAAATAAATAACATTGGATATTTAACACAGCGCCATCTAGTCCCACGGTAACCAGAGCTTGTGTTACGGGTACTTTACATACGTACTTGATTATTTTCTTTTGTAAATACGTACACAATATCCCTATAAAACACCCAGATCGTATTTTGTATGATTTTGAAGATTGAGTATGACAAACAATTATACTCAATCTTCAAAATTATACAAAATCTACAAATTTACTACTATAATCAATAAATATACTTTTTTTTGTTACAGGTTAATTCTAAAACCTAAAGACTTGTATGCAGACCGTCCTCTGCCCTATATTATTGGATCAACCGCTTGGAAGAGCAAATGGCATGCTGGTAAGTAAATGAATTTAAACCATATAACCTCTTCTTAAGGTTCAACCATTAGAAATAACTGAGCTTCTGTTTTGTGTCTTTAATAATTCTTTGGCAGCGTCAAAATCAGAATTTATAGTAGATTCCTATAACGTACTCATTTCTTGAGCTCGGTCAAGGCTAAGGTAATAATGTTTTAAAAGAGGTACATAAGCACACATAATAATTTATGTAAATACCTGTAACAAAAATGTTGTACTCCGTTTTTAAGAAATTCATGCAAATGGCAGAATGCGTAATTTAGCAGTGTTGAAGTTTATATTTAACTGAATCTGCAATATTATTTGATAGAGACTGCTTTGTATCTCTATTTAATTATTTAATATTTTTCCAGATCTAATGAAAGTGAGTAAAATAATACTGCTATTTAAATCTGGTGACAAAGACAATATATCAAATTTTAGACCTATCTCAATTTTACCAGTATTTAGTAAGATTTTTGAAAAGATACTACTTACACAAATGTTAGCTCATTTTAATACACATGATTTATTTCATAAACAGCAATTCGGATTTATGAGTGGACGGTATACTACTGATGCAGGCATTAACTTAATACAAAGTATTTTCGGTGTCTGGGAAGATTCACAGGATGCCATTGGTGTTTTCTGTGATCTCTCTAAAGCGTTTGATTGCGTTGACCATAGGATATTATTACGCAAACTAGAACATTATGGAATTAGAGAAAAGTCCTCAGAACTCATTGGATCATATTTGCGCGATAGAATTCAAGTGGTAGACATTAAAGGAAGTAAGTCCAAGGGGTCATTTATAAAAATGGGTGTACCCCAGGGTTCTATACTTGGCCCATTTCTTTTTCTTGTTTACATAAACGACTTACCATACCAGTTTCAAAACATACTTGACATAGTATTGTTTGCTGATGACACATCACTTATTTTCAAAGTGAAAATACAAAGGATTTTAATAATATAAATATTGCTCTTGAGGATGTTCTAAACTGGTTTACATCAAATAATCTAGCGCTTAATTCAATGAAAACAAAATGTGTTAAATTCTCTTTACCAAATGTAAAACAAGTAACGACAACTGTTAGTCTGAATCATCATGTTTTGGACTTTGTTGATGAGACTTCGTTTCTTGGTATTGTAATAGATAATAAATTGCAGTGGGATCCACATATATTCACACTAGCCAAAAGACTAAGCTCGGCTGCTTTTGCTATCAGAAAAATTAGACAGTTGACTGATACTGCCACAGCGAAACTAGTGTATTTTAGTTACTTCCATAGTATAATGTCGTATGGTATTATATTGTGGGGAAGAGCGGCTGATGTAGAATCAATTTTTATATTACAAAAAAGAGCAATTCGTTCAATATATAATTTACCGTGTCGCGAATCTCTTAGAGAACGCTTTAAAGAAACAGGTATCCTTACTGTTCCCTGTCAATATATATATGAAAATATTATGTACGTACGCAAAAACTTAAATTTATTTCCAAAAAATAGTCACTTACACGCTTATAATACAAGGAATAAAAACAAAAAAAATATTCCTAGTTATCGTCTCAAAAAAGTAAGTACATCTTTCATGGGACATTGTATACGTTTTTATAATAAATTGCCAGATAATATAAAAAGAAATGTTTTAAATTTAAGTGAAGGCAAATTTAAGATACATGTAAAAAAAACACTGCTCTAAAGCTTATTATAAAATAAACGACTACTTAAATGACTACAATGTGTGGACTTAATTACAGTTTTAACTTTTGTTATGAGGCATATAATTTTTCCCATTGACATGGATAATGTAGTAACATTAAAGAAACTTATTATAAATGATTTTTTATAATTTGTAATGACATATTGTAAATTAAATAATGTAAATTTAATATTGTAATGGGTGAAAACTGTGATTGGTACAGCCTATGCTGTAAATAATATAATTGACGTAGTGGAGTAACCTGAAACAGTCATGCTCGCTATAAAGTTCTAACTTGTGGCGGCGTGGTGGGCCGGGCCGGGTCTCCCTCAAATATGGTTGAGTACAATGATGGCTGGCTCTGGCTACTTGTGGGGACTGGTCTGTTCAGGTTGTGAACACTGATTAAATTTTTTGTTCTTTGCGATAGCATATGCTGGTGGTCACTCTATTCTCCCAAATTTGAATTTTAAAAACTATATTTATTATAAACATGTTCCACTATTATTTGAAAAAAATACGAGCTGAGTTTCTTGTCAGTTCTTCTCATCTCGATATCATTCCGAACTGACGGTAGATTTGACATATCATAAGAGTCTGTAATAGACCTACATGAATAAAGATATTTTGAATTTGAATTTTGCAATTTGAATTTGTAGGATTGCTGCCAGACGATAGTGACACAGACAGCAGTGTGTCCAGACCTGACAGAGAAGTGGAGCAGTACTCAGACTCAGAGCCGGAGATTACGAACATACAGACAGATAAACAAGATCTGATCAACGACAGAACTGTACGTTGCTATAATCATATTATATACCTAAATTGCACTTTTACAACGCAATTTACTAAAGTTGCTCTAAATTCACAAACACATGCACACCTACACACAATAATGTTTATACGCATATATCTAAACATATTTTGAGTTATATATGTTTCAATGACTATATGGCAATAGGCATCTCTAAGGCTATCTGGATAAACGACACATAAAAAAAATCAACGCACCTATCGTATTCATAATTGTAAAAAAAATCTTTATTATAGGTATCTACAACCAGTTCTGAGATGGCATCAGAGCAGGATATATCACCGGTGAAGCCATCTCCAGCAGATGTTGCTGCAGAGCTGGCTAGGAGGCTCGGGGGACAGATGCCTCCTAGGGTATGTCCATATTGCGATTATCTGACTAAATTTTGCAAAAGTAACTCTTGAAAGTTATTGTGTATAGTTATTGGGATTGGATTGGGATTTGTTTCTTATTACACAAACAGATATTTTTGCCTTTAGATACCTGATCCTGAGCCGGAATGTACACATGCAAATCTAACCTCGAGAAAAGTTTACAGACCAGAAAAGCCCGTAATCGGTAAGTCATGATTATAATGTGCCGTATGTACTACTTGAGCTATTAACATGTGAGTAAAAGAATAAATATCTGCTAAAATATAAGACATTTTAAAAATTTTCATCATTTTCATTTCATCAATTAAAATATTTTCATGTTACAGAAAATTACCTCAGAATTATTATCTGTACACCTTTGTCACAAAATAAACAGCAATACTAGTTCATATACGTAGTATAAGTAATATACATGAGAGTTAATTTTTATAGGTACAGTGTTTGCTGATGAACCACCACCTCTTGACACCTATTCTGATGAAGAAAGCCAGGAAGACGATATTTTCGCGGAGCTACACAAAGGCAAACCTTACATGCGTAACAATACGGAACACAATCGCGTAACTGAAGATTTGTTTGGTGGCTTGGACCGAAGAAAGACTGATGATGACATTTTTAATGAAAATAACCAGGTATACTTTTTATTTATAGTACAATCAGGACAAATATAAGACTTATATCTCTCAATCTGAGACTATATTTTGTATTAAACTACAAAATATCAACTCGAATCTGATAGAGATATTCAGTGGATTACGTATACAGTTGTAAATATAATTTATTTCGTTCCAATTGCAGTTGCACGTTACACACAAACTGTTACTTAGCAACAATACTTATTTTAAATGTGATGGATTATACTTTTTCTACTTCAATCAATGTGCCTAATACGGTCCCTTAATCCATTACATTTAAGACATTCTACATCTCTACATTTAAATAACATACATAATATAAAACAATATACAGAAGAGTAAACAATAGAACTACTAGCAAAAAACATATCCAAAATTAAATCTGTTAAAATACTAATAATTTCTGTTGGACCTATATGTGATGGATTATACTTTTTCTACTTCAATCAATGTGCCTAATAGAATCTCGAAATTTGTAGTTGCTTATGAAATGGTTGAGACCCGGAAACACAGCAAATGACAAGGTTTCATTATAAGACTGACGTGTTTAGGTCCAACATTAAAAAAATATGATTTATACTTCTCACTCTACTAGATATATAATCGTTATTATAGCGTTTGTGACGAGTTGGATAGGTCATCAATAAAAATGAAATTAAATTTATACAAAAAGGTGATTATAGTTTCAAATTTGTAGCAAAACTGCAATACATATATGTGCGGAGTAAGGCTATTCGAACGCGTTTAGTTCTAAAGTAGCGCGAGAACTAATTTGTTGGTATGAAAGTATCGGTATATATGTGAAAAAAGGTATAGTGCAATAATAGTACATCAGACGTAAGACTATACAGATATGACATTTTAAACTTGATGAATGCAAGTAGTAGTGATCACTAAGAAAGTTTTGACGAAAACTCCAATAAAGGATATGTACATTTTTACCAACGTACCGCACGCCGTCGACAGGGAATTCATCCGCACACGCTAGACCCTAAGAAGTCTCAGACAGTGCGGTTTCAGACGAGCTTCTTCCCGCGTACACTTAGATTGTGGAATAAGTTACCTGCCGAGGTATGCTTGTTTACCACCAGAGTAGTATAAAAAAATGTACGTAAAGGAAGACGTGGATAACATGGTCTCTCTGCTTATGGCATAAATATCAAATCAATCAAGATGACATATATTCCCGATCAAATCTCTAATAATTAACTATGAAACTTTTCCTTCTAGCCAATAAAACCCGCTACTCATGATCGATATGGAAATGCAGTGGAATCAGATCCGGAAATGTTTGTAGATACCCCGCAACCTAAGACAATAAATCAAGAAACACCAAGTTCGCCTACAGTTAGTACGGTAAAGGTAAATGAAAATACTACTATAAAAAATATTCTACATTAATATTATTACGTTGCAAATTATTGTGTATTATGAATATAGAACTGGAACTGATTTCCTAAAAAAATATTATGAAAACAATACAATGATATATCTTACATAAATACGATTTAAATAAATATATACACATATGCATTGTTTTAGCATATATAAAACTTATTGTTATAGTCGCAGAGGACACTATTACAGATATAATAAAGCTTTTAGTTCTGTCTTGATCTATGGCAAATCTTAAAGTTGAAAGAACGATACAATCTTTCTTTTATATCATCATAATTTTCTGTTTGTATATTAAGTCCAAATTTAGTTTTTTATATACAAATATCGGTGGATCTCCTAAGGTATTTTTTTTATTCATTTTCAGAAACCAGTAGGTGGTATATCATTATTTGGTACGAAGAAAGGAACTGAAATTGGGGCCGCCATCATGAAACGTAACCGTAAACGGTCATCGACTGATGACGAAACTGAAAGTGAAGAAATATCTCAAAATGTGAAAGATAAACCTGAACTGAAAAAGGAGAGAGATATATTTGATGACCTTTTTGCTAAATCAATAAAGGAGCAAAAAAAAGTGGAAAAAAACATTGAAAATGTTGAAAAGGAACGGAAAGAAATAAAAAAGCTGGATTTGTTTAATGATGATTTATTCGATGATATAGACGATATTTTTAGTACAAATATTACCAAAGTCAAAGAACCAAGTAAAAACAAAATGTCATTATTTGACGATGACGACGACCTGTTTTCCGATATTGCTGTAGTAAAATCCACCGAACAAGAAGTTAAAAGTAGTAAAAACATTTTTGATAGTGAAGATGATTTATTTTCTGATAGAACTGTTGAAAAGACTATTTTAGAAAATCACAACAACAATGCTCAAAATGCCAGTGAAATAAATTCACAGAAAGTGGAACAATCTAAAATATTTGATGATAATAGTGATAGTGACTTATTTAATACTGAAAGTGTAATAATTCCTACAACTGATTTAAACCTTAGTAGCAATGATTCATACGATAGAAAAATTATTAAGACACATATAAATAAACCTACAAGTTTAATTCCTAAAAATACCAAATTGGTAGTAAATGATAATTTATTATTTGATGATGAGGAAGGTGACGATCTTTTTAGTCCAAAAAATGCAATAAAAATTAATAGTCCAAATAGAACAATTGAAAGCATTGATAAAGCTAATGCAAATATTAAAAATAATATAATTAAAGAAAATATATTGAAAAAAGAGGAACATTATAAAAATTGGGAATTTAACGACAGCACCGTGAACGATAGTAACACACACGGAGAGGACGAAAAGTTCATTGAAATAGAAAATAATAATGAACAGATCATATCTAAAAGTGATAAAATTCGTAACCTAGAATCTAATCAACCAAATTTAGCGGAAAATGTATGGGATGATTTATTTACAAAACCCAATCAACTACCAAACAACAAATCATTGCCTGTCACATCTTCTAAATTATTCGATGACGATGAAGATGATAACTTATTTAATACAAAGCAAACCAAAGAAAAAACATTTTCATCCAAAGAAATAAATGAACAAGAAAATGTTTGGAGTGATGAATTAAAGGAACCTTTGAATACCGGATCTAAAGAAACTGTACCAGTGATCACAAGTTCAGAAAATAAACAAACGCAAAGAGATATATTAAATGAGTTCGATAGTAATTTAAGCAAAATCAATAGCTCTATTGGCATGTTAATAGGAATTAAAAATGAGAAAAATAATACAGAAACACAAATTTATGACAATGATGTCTCACAAAACATACATGATAATAACGAAATATTTAATGAATCAAGAACGCAAGACCAACACAGTCTTAATCAAGAAAATAAATGCTTTCCCGTTAACAATAAAGAGTCACCGTTAAAAAATAGTGAAGTGAATGAACAATTTATCTCAAATATAGTAGAACAGAAACAAAGAAGCTTTACACCGGACACTAATTTAAATACCAGTAAAATATCAGATGACGCTGATAACTCATTCATAAAAAATCGTGATTTTAACGAAAATACCACAGAAGGGGCTTCATTTACTCAACAAGAAAACCTACTTGTTGAGAAACCAGATGTATTTAGTGATATATTTAGTGAACCACCAGAATTTGAGAAGCCAAAAGAACCCAAAAGAAGTAAAAATGTTAATGCTTTATTTGATGATGACTCGGACGATGAAGCATTGTTTTTCAAGAAAAGTGATTCTACTTTAGATGAAAAGCCGGATGTCATGTCACCTCTTAGCGAAAACAGATTATTTGGTTTATTTCACGATGAACCACCAGCTATGGATATCGATTTTGTACCAAATACCAATAAGGTGTTAGATGATAACTTGTTCAATGAAGTACCTTCTGATTCAAATGTTGAAAACCCTGTAATTACCGAAGCTAAAATAGAAAATCTAAAAAATGCGGAACCCTCCGAAATACCAAAGTTGAGTGCAGAAACAGAAGTAAAGAAATCCGTCGGCAAACTCAAAACAATAAATTTTAATATAGACGTTAGTGCTTTACTACCTGGAGCTTCACCAAAAAAAGTGAAAGGAGTGGAACAAACTGATGGACAAAGTATTTCAATTAAAGGTGAGGATAACGTAAACAACAAAAACTGTGCTGTCGAAGATGTAGATCCCAAGTTAATTAAATCTGTAAGTTTCGAAGGCGACCCGAAATCGATTGTATTAGATAATAAATTATCTAAAGAAAGAGCCAGGATACAAGTAAAAAGGCGACCTTCTAGTAGAAGAGCTAGAAAGGAGGCTGTAAGGAAATCTGCTATTGATTTTGGTGAGGATTCAACTGATAATTCAACTTCTATTGAAGAACCTCCAAAAACTGTTAACTTAGATGTAGATAATGAAAACCTCAAGATTGGTGATTCGAGTAGCGATTCAAAAATTGATAACACAAATTCAAGCCTACAGCATAATATAGAAAAAAAGGCACCTGAAGTAGTAAAATCTAAAGTTGTTTATGTGTTACATGATGAAGATATTTTTACGAATATCGATACTAACCAGCGAATACAAAGCGATAAAGTTTTAAATCTAGTGAGTGATAATGATTTATTTACAAACAAAAAGGATGAAGTAATCTTTATAGAAAAAACTCATAAACAAAATGAAGCTAATAGTTCCTCACATATACAAAGCGAAACAGATATCAGAAATAAAGCTATCGATACTTCAACTGACACAAAAAGCTTAACTGGTGTTAGAGAAGACTTAGGCACAAAAAATAATCAAATAGAGACTATGAATGCAAATATGTATGGAGTGCATAAACCAAAAGAAACCACAGATAAAGATAAAGCAGCAACGAAAGTGAAAAAGTCTATTTTCGATGATCTAAGTGACGACGAGGACGAATTATTTAATAAAAGCAAATCTAAACCAAAGGATATATTTGATTCTGATAGTGAAGGCGAACTATTTGGAAAGAAGGATGTGAAAGAAAAAAAGAAATTTGAAGGCAAGAAGACTCTGTTCAGTGATGATGAAGACGATGAACTGTTTGGTGTTAAAACAATTAACACTACAGGTTAGTTATTATTTTAGATTTTACTCTTTGCAGATTTGTGACATTTGTGTTATAGCTACTTCCGATCGTTGCGGGGTCGCACGGAACAAACATTTTTTTCATGAGTATAATTGGTCTAGGTATTTTCTATATATAATACGTATGTGATTACAAAAAAGATAACTTTGTGATTTTGTGTGAAAACTATTTTTATTTAGTATACTAATAAGAAATTATTTATTCAGATATTCCAGTCCAACTCGCACGACAAGCAACCAAAGAGGTCGTTTCCAAACCAACTGAACCAGTTTTCGAAGACCCGTTATCTTTATTGGGAGATGATGATTAATATGCGTTTAAGGAATATACCGATGACATTTATTAATTTACGCTTAAATACGCTTTTATCATTCATCCAATAATGTTAAATAAGGATGACAATACAAAGGTGAGTGGAGGCAGCTATTTATCAAGATTAGACTGCTCATGAACTCTGGATCTCGGGTCTAGCCACATGCATCACCAGTTATGAAGTTGAATCAACACAAAGTATTATATGTACATTTTGAAATTTAGTATATAATTACGTAGTGGAACATTTTCATTATATTCCATGTAATTAGGTCTTTTTTAGATCTCAAAATTGGTCATATAAGATAGTCCGTCTTTTACATTTTCTCCATATTATTTATAAGATTAAATGGCGATAACAAAATAACTAAAGTTTCAACTAAAATTATAAAACCATGTTAACTGTTATCTTGGTTTACGGGCTACCCATATGTTACGTCACAGCTTGAGGGGCAAGGAGTGTCGACAAAGCGTGTCAAGGAGTGGTAGGAGGTCCTTAATTTTATGACGTCACAAAATTAAGTAACTTTTAAAAGATATGTGTCGCCATGATATGGAGGAGGAGGGCCTTTCAAACGTGACCAGTTATAGCAAGGACGGGGGTAGGGGTCAAAAAAAATTTTGTGATGTAATTTATTGATGACCCCATATGAGTGATACATATTTCATAAAATGTTTCCTTTATGACCAATATTACAATTTCGCTACAACATATACAAAATGCCTATATTAAGCTCAGAATATAAGTAGTTATATTGCATGGCCTTACGTAGTCTGTTATATGTTTAGATACTACATTATTATAAACTAATGCAGAGTATTGCCTTTTTGTACTACATGATACTTTGAATTAAATTGTATTTATATTATAAGTGATAGTATTCCTTCTGTGGCTTAATTATAAATTTCCTGTTTTTTATTGTTATTAGCGTTAAGTTATTTAACTAGTATTTATTATAGTTGTATTCTGATTGTTAACAAAGCTTCTCGGTATATACTCAAATATAAAGAAATAGTAAAACTATAATAAACTTAGTTGTGTCACAATTTATGAAGTGGTTGGGTATATACTCTATACTATACTTTACAAGCATCCTTAAGATTAACGTAATGTCAGAAAAACTTGAAATCTATTTTGACAGCCATATGCAGCAGTCTACAGTAATCCGTCATGTACCTGCAATATTAATCGGAGACTGAATAAAATGTAGCCTCTTTTAATGGGAAAAATAAAGAGTTGGTAAGAATTGCCAGTAATATACCCCGATCGATCCCCCCTCCAATTTAAACGGGGATCGAAATTACGACGGCCTGCGGTGCTCTCAGCCTAAAGTCGTATCCGTCAGGCGGGAGTTGACCTTCATCCGCTCCATAAGTCCTTCCGTGGGTTTGGAGCGCCCCCTGCACTCTCCCCCTATCGTCCGGTGAACCTGTAAAAGCCAGCTGCGGCCAAGAGTTATTTAATAGAGTAGTTTGAAAAAAAAATATATTTAGTTCTAGCAAAAATATTTTAACATATAATTTACATTCTTTTCATATGTTATAATTAATATTTTTAATAACATCATTGTAATATGTAGCAGAATGCATTTTGTTAATTTTATATTATGTATAGTCACATTTTTAGATTACAGAATTTTTGTAACGTAGATGGCGCTTTCGCCAGGCCTTTATAATAAGGCTAAGAAATTTATGATATTGAAATGTATCTTTCCGTGATATAATTACTAAATTTCTCATATTCATGATTCCTCATAGTTTTACGGTATATTATTGAATACTTTTTGTACCTATATAAAATTGCTAGAGATAATGCAAGAGATTTCTGAGAAAGTATTCATATTAATTATTATTATCGACAAATTATTGCTATATATAAATTTTAATAGATATATCTCTATATTATACTGTTTAGAAATACATCAAGTGACATTTATTGAAATGTATAGAAATAATGTTATTAAATTTTGTATTATAATTGTTTAAAGTTCCGAATTAATTGTAAATAAATGTTATGCAAATGTTTAGAGTTTATTTTGATTTCATGTTATTGTAATTAAAAATATTAAAATATATATATTACTATTTTAGTTTGTTTAATATAGTACCGATTTTATAATAAATCAAAACATATACAAGGATTAAAGTAACTGCTAAATAAAGTTAAATATAATGTTATAGTATTTACAGCTTAATGGTTTTTATTCAGCACTGGATAGAATATAATTCACTGCAGAAATAAATTTATTTGACAATAAAATATGGTACAAAATTGTATAGGGATCAACCGCTAGTGAAGTGGTGATTGCTTGGAAAGTTCACGATATCCATGTAAAATTATAAATACTAGTTGCTATATAAATTATTTCTAGTGAATGATGGAAGTTAATTAAAAATAGGAGTGAAGGTAGTAGGATGAATAATTAGTGTTGTATATGTAGTCTTTAATGCCAAATCATAAAAAAAATATCCATAAAATAAATTTAAGGACCACCGTTATCACTTAGGGATATGAAAAATAGTTATTAAATACGAGTTGTTGCAAACATTGACACGAGGATTTTATATATATAAATAGAGTTAATGTTAACTGACTTTCTCCTTTCTCCTAAAGGGGCACACCCCGAAGTCTAAACCCCCTGGGGGGTTCGGATGATCAATCAGACAATAAAAAATTATAGTGTCATTGCTATAGTGAGCAGCATATCCAGCGTTCTCTTCAGAACCTCAAAAATATTTTTTGCACTGTACGACTACATTATCTCAAAAAATATACTGTAAGCTGTATGAGTGCTGTTATGAACCCTTACTTTAAAGGATAAACAAAACAAAAAAATATATAGTGTCAAATCTCACAGTGTTGCCAAATAAAGTAATTTTACGCCATATATGGTAAAATTCGCGCAGAAACATTGCAATCACAAATCTTAGAGAAATTAAACTTTTGTAAAATATGAAATAAATTATTTTACAGTATATTTAATATTTTCAAACAATAAATGACCCATTCAAAGAACTGATTATATCTATGAACAAAACAGGTACTCTATTAGTCTACTACTACACTTGTGAAGTGGAGGCCTCAAACAACTAAAAAATATAATAGGTATTAAATTATTGACTAACGCTATAAAGAGAATTATTATTTTCGAGAAAATAATAGAAATTGAACCGAAATAAGTCTTAACAAATTATCAAAAAAGAATTATTACAAAAGACTTAATTTTGTGAAGTAACAATATTTGTGTAATCTCAAAATCTTCAAAATTGGTTTCTGCGGTAATATTTCTGCACAAAAATGAACATTTAATTTTCTTTTTTGTGTCTATCATGTATGCCTTCGCCATGAATTGACAAAACTAACATGCAGAAAATAAATTGATATTTGGGGAGAATATAAACTCATATTTAGCAACTCTCATGCTCCATGTGGTTGAAAATGTTGAAGTGATCGTTTTCTGTCCTGAATTTCCGATTTTATTATTCTGTTTGTGCGGTATTGAAATAAAACTGTTTTTGGAAATAGTAATTACGTATGATTAATATATAGTGTTATCTACCCAGCAAAGTAAAAAAATGAAGCCTCTAAAGAAACATAAAGATAAAAAGGGGAAAAATAAGAAGAAATCCGTGATTAAACCTAAAAAAGGTCAAGTGCTTGTAGTGGCACAAGAAATAAAATTCGCCAGATTGTTGTCGGGCAACGAAAAGAAAACCAGGGACAGAGTATTAAAAGCACTAAAGAAGTGGCTGTCCAACTGCTTCGAGAAGTCGCATGGCACGTATTTAAAACCATAATCTTTTTATTATTAATTGTTATTGTGATTTGGAAACATGCATAATCCTAACCTAAATTTTCATATTTTTGTTTATAAATTAAATTCTGTTCACAATATCAATAGAGATTTAGTATTGATAATGACAAATCTGAATTAAATATAATTTGATAAACAAAATATAAACTACTTCACATGAATAACCTGTAAAATATGGTAATAGTTATATTTACAATAATTTTCTATCATATTCCATGATGGCAAATAAGCACTACACTTTTCTTGATATGTTTGCTTTCTTACCTGTTGTATTATTATCATTTTAAGAAAGCTAGTTGGTATGAGGTATATTTTAAAGGGATATCATAGTATTTAATCAATTTTACATAAAATTTATTATAAATTGAAAACTGGAAAACGAAGAACTATACTTGCTATTTTTTTGTTTTTGCGGCCTTCTAGGGAGATTTATTTTTATTTGTTATTATATGTATAATGTTTTTTATGAGGTCTAAATATTTATAATCTGTTTTAGTATTTAAAGAAGATGACTTTATTAGAGTATGGAAGGGCCTGTTTTATGCCATGTGGATGTCAGATAAACCTCTTGTACAGGTCTGTATGTGTTATATTGTTTTATATTCTGAATAATTTTTGGTTATATTGCATGATTTTTAATAGTCCTAGAATTTTCTTTAATTTTAATTCAGAATGATGATTACATACAATTTTTGTTTTAATTTTTGCTAAAGTCTATAAATTACGGCTATGTTGTCTAACATAACATAACATAGGTAATGTTTGTATATATAAAACTTAAAATAATGGTGAAGAACCATTACATGTGAGAGAAAAAAGTATTGATATTTGGAATTTGTCTTTGGCAAAATTTACATCTTCTCTGGGTTATAATGAATCCACTTAAATAATTTTATTTTTATTAGGAAGAATTATGTGAGAGTATCGCTGGGGTACTGGACCTGTTCCCAGCAGAACAAGTTAAATATGCTGTGCTAATGATGAAAGCTGGCTTCCGAGTACTTGCCACAGAGTGGTATGGTATTGATTATCATCGTATGGACAAATTTCTAATGGTAAATGTAATTTTGAATATAACTTACTTGGACACTAAAGTAGGAGATAATGATATTCTTGAAATATTTGGGTTACATAATTGAAATGTTTATTGAAAAATTTAGATTTTCACAGAGTACAACAAACAAGTTGCTATATCCCTTAATGAAATGTCATAATACTGTGTATATTAGTACTACATTTCATGTGTTATACATTTTTTTTAGCTTTATGATTTCGTAGAAAAACGAAATATGCATAAATTTGTTTTAACAGTTATGGGGTTACAATAACTCTCATTAATAAGGTAGGTCAGATAAGGTCGGTAAGGGTAAGATCCCGTTACTTTTACTAATTATACATATAATTAACATTATTTTTACAAGCATATCAAACTGACTGATTGAATGAATCTTTGATTTGATCTTGTAGGCAATTCAATCTAAAAAAACAGAAATTGATTTTGGCATTACTCAATCAATCTTCCAAACAAATTCAAATATGTTTTTGTGTGTATTGTGTACTAATTTAGTTTATTCTTTTGGCATGCAATAAGATACCATATTTACCACAGTTGGTGCGGCGGTACCTTCGAGGGAGTCTTCGGTGTCTCCAGCGTTCCAATTGGAGTATTGAAAGTTGTGAAATGTTCAGCAAAATGCTGAATGGACCTGATGGTTAGTAATATGTTGTAGGTGCTTACATAAAATAAATCTTATAATAAGCAAACTGCTAAACAGAGAGAGGATTGTTAGTAAGGAGTTAGCAATGGTGGCACCATTGCTAACAGTGAACCATGTCAGTTTAACCACCACATGGTCCTAGGTTTGGAAACCATAGTTAATTTGTGATGAATTCACTGTGGTCGTTCATAATGGTCTAACTGACTTAAGACTAATTCTATTATCTGCAATTCTCACAGACAGTTGCTGTATGTAATCTATTTAAAACACTATTGTAGTAACATTAATCCCATAAAATTAATTCATGTTAAGACTAGAGTGACTATATTAATAATTGCTACCAATTACTACATTTATTTCAGGTATATTAGCTGTGCGAACACCTCATTATGCCAGAAATGCCACATCAATGTTGATGCATATCGCCGACTGTTTTCTAGAAGAGTGTTCCAAGGTATGTTCTAATAAAATTTTAAGCTGGGGGAGAGTATTGCTAGTAACGTGAACTAGTGTTTTCTGTAATCCATTCTAAATTCCTGATAACCGCCTGACTTCATCTATATCTCTTTCTTTCTATATCATCTACGACTGGTCCCCGCCTACGTTAGGCGGGTGCACCTTTCCATTATCATGCACTAAATCAGCATAATATTATTAATTTATGAAGTGAAGAAATGAAGTTTGTGTTGTGGATGTTTGGTGTAATCTCCAGTACTACTGATCCAATTTTGAAAATTCTTGAGTGTGGGATAGCCAGTTTATCGAGATAGGCTATCGTAGCATTATAGCTGGTGTTATATTGCTATGCTATATATTATAGCTCTGCTATGTTATATAGCAATATAACACCGCGCTATAACGCTACGATCAATAGGAGCGGAGCTGTAATGAAAATATGTGCAAAAAAAAGGGAAAAATGTGATGTAGTCAAAGTTGCGCAGGGTAAAGTAGTAATTAATATAACAGTGTAATTATTTATAAACTAGGTGTCAGATGGAGACATCTCTGAAGCCAGCATTGTGGTGCTCATTCGTCCGTTTGCGGAGTACATGGCCTTCGGGGAGACAATTGCGGTGAATGCCAGCTGCCGGCGGGTGTTCAATGCTCTGGTGCGTCAGAGCGAGCTCGGGCTGCAATACCAACAGGCCACAGAAGCCTGGAAGCAGGTAAATATGTAATAATATATAGCGATTAAGATAAATGTATACATAAATAAATGTTTTTATATTCCATCAAAAATATTCCTGGAAAGACCCATGACCTTAAACATATTGCAAGAAATGTAAGAATTTATAATAAAATGCGATAGTAATCTTTACCAAATTATAAATAAATGAATTCCAAAAAATACTATGACTCGCAATTAACAATACTATTTGTCCAATAGATGGGGTGCCCTCAAGGAGGTCCGGAGGCTTTAGAATTGGCTTCTGATGATGACGATGACGAGACACTAAGTGGTGATGAAATCGAGAGTGATGATGGGTTTGTATAATATTGATACAAATTATATAATAAGCATATACAAATAGAAAATTAAAGGACGAAATGAGTTAAATTTTAGTATTATTACATAACATTATATTATGTTTAATTTATGCATGATAATGGAATGGTGCATCTGCCTGCGCTAACCATTTACGCTGGTTGTGGAGGAGTGAAGGATGATAAGAGGAGTATGAGGTCACGTCAGTTAGCCCATCGTGGTAAATTCACATGTAATTTACTACAATCAATCACCATCCCTCCATTACACGTATATTATATTGTGGCTAGTGTTTATGCTTGAGCAGTGTCATGAATGTCATGTGGTTCTTTATAAATAAATAAAAAAAATTATTATTATTTATATGTATGAAGGTCCATAATGTTATATTTGGACGATATAATTATAATAAAAAAAATGCCATTAAATAAAATGATACTGTTTTTCATAAAAATGTAAAATGCTACATTGGTGAAATAGTATAGAAAGGTTTTTATAGGGAAGTGTAATTGTTGTAGAGCTAGCGACAGGCCGCTGGATCCTCGAGCTGGACGTGTGAATGTGGAACTCGCGAGTCTGCCGGTACCCGCACGCGAGATCGCTGCCATGCTCAAGAGCTTGCTGGCAAAGGCTTCGTCTAAAACTCATAAGCGGATCAAAATATGTATGCAAAGGTAAGTCTTACTATATTGCGTTAACGTTAACGGGATATAAATAAAATTAGGTTACGTGAGTTAAACCATGGTGCCGTAATTCAGTCCCTTAATATTCTATTTTTAATATATATTCTATTCTTCTCTATATCATCGCTAGAAACCTTTTTTAGGCATAAGTAGTATATTAAAGCCAGCGTATATCGTTTAAGCCGTTTCGCAGAAGTATGGCAATTAATATTGTGACACGAAAATTTTACATGTATAGAGATATGTATTTATCATCACAGATTCGAGCGGCTCTCCTGCGATGAGTATCCCTTGCCTGAAAAGGCCCCTCCATCTTTAGATGAACCTCCCCTTCGGCCTACTGTGGCTGCCAAGGAACTCCTGCGGCACGAGAAAAAATTGGTGGAATCGGCTGATGAACTCGGTCTTAAAGGTCATTATATATTACAAGATTTTATATTTCTATGTCTATTTTATTGCCCATGAGATTATTTTAATTTTTGATAAGGTTTATGCTTGTGAATATACTGGAATATAACAAATGGTAAATGTTACGAAAAGTTCGCAGTTGTCAGTTGTAATGTAATATCAGTGAAAATTGCTTTAAAATAAGTGAAACAATTTCTTTGACAAAGACAGTAAAATAATTAATTCTAAGCATTTTTTACCTCGATAACCAAGAAATATATATGCAATTCTTTTTATATATATTTGATTGTACAATTGCATATATATGTATTTCTTGTGTCTGTACAGACCACTCTTTTATGATTTCCTTATATGTATGGTATTCCTTATTCTGAATTGTTTTTTTCGTCCAATAGGCCTGAGTCGTAAGCAGCGGCGACGACTGCTGGCACGTTCCCGAGCAGGATTTAGCATCGTGGATGGCCAACTCACCACCGAAAACGCTACGGTCAGAGCTTTTCCTATCTAAATTTACCACTATAGAATGACCTATGATCTTCTAGTAGTCTTAAGTGGGTACTAATATAATCAGTAATATTTATACTATATCTGTTATAAAAATATTGTTTTCTCATATCAATTTTATGAGTGACATAGATAAATCTATAAAAATCACTTACATTTGTGAGCTAAGACTAATATTAATATTTGGGAATTGAAGGATTGTCCTTTCTTTAAAAGATTTGTCAAATAAAAAACTTACAAATATTTCAGAATGATGGCTGGACTGTAGAATCTACAGAACAACAACCTAATCAGGACTCGTCTGACAAGGAGAATGTAGTTAAAAACAAGACAAAGAAAAGAAAAATGAACAATGAAAATAATAAAAAAGATGTTAAAAAGAGGAAAAATGATGTTAAAAAACAGAAAATTAGTAATTCTGAACAGAATAATGGCTCATTTAATGGTAATGAATATATAAACGATAATAAAATAAAAGTGAAGGAAAACAAAGTTAGAGATAATAACAGTGACTCGAATTTAAAAATGAACAAATCAGTAACAAATAGTGTTCCTTTTAAAAAAAATAAATCATTAAATGAGAAGAAAATAATAGACAAAGAACTTGATAGTAATAAGAAACAAAGTGTAAAAAGAGAAATTAGTAATAATAAAAAGGAAATTTCTAATAATAAACAGAATTTAAATGAAGTGAAAAGAAATAAAACAGATAATTCGAATATTAAAAATGAAAATAAATTAAAGGTTGAAAGTAAAGTTGAAGCCAAGAAGCCTACATTAGTAGTTAATAAAGTTAAGAATTTTCAAAAACAAACCTCGCCTAATGATAAAAGGATAGAGAATGTATTAAAAAAAGTATCTTATCACACTCCGAAAAAGGTAACTGACTGATTATTATTGACGAAATATTATTTATCTTACTATAATATTATAAACATGAAGTTTGTGACTACAAATGGATGGATGTTTGTTACACTTTCAAACAAAAGCTACTGAATGGATTTTAATGAAACTTTACAATAATATAGCGTATACATCGTTTATACATACGTTTATAATATTAATCAGATAAAAGTAGTTTGGTTGCGGTTCATTTGCATTTCTACTGCATGTAATTTTTATAACATAGAAATATTTGAGAAGGCCACATAACTTAAGTACATTTAAATATTGAATTTTTAAAGCCACCATTAATTTCGAATTGAATATTGTTCAAGGTGAAGTTCGTGTTAAAAAACAACTCGATGCAAGGCACAATGGACTATTATAAGAGTGTGCGACAGAGTCCAAACATCCCATTCGATGGCACCAGGAGACCGACGAAAACCAACTTAAAGCCGTCCATGCCATCACCGATAAATCCATTCTTCAAAAAGAAGTTGAAACTTAGAAAATCAATGTGATTCAATAAAAACGTTATGAAGTGTTCTTAGAGTTTTATTCCTTTATTAGTGTTTAAAATACTTGTTTGTGATGTAATAGAAACTGCACGCAATTCAAATAGTTAAGGAATAGATATTCGTGTACTGTTAAAGGGAAATTACTGGGAAAGGATGCACGAGGTGCGTCCGTTCCGAATAGCTATGTTTAATATAGTTCACGTTATAGATATGACTTATTATCCCTTAGTGCCCTTCGTGTATACGGGGGAATTATAACTTTTATTGCCTGATCAATTAGTTTGTTTACTATTTTCTAGCAGTATAAAAATACTAGCGGGTTGCCAAATAAGTGCTTGAGTATTTTGTCCATAGCTCGAGTTTACACTTTATTTTGTTTTATTAACGCGTTTCAAGGACCAAACCTATATTTTTTCTTATTCTTTGGACCTTTGCCTTTCATATATTAGAAAAATTAAATCGATTAATTATATATTTTTCTAATCTTAATTTAAAAAAGGAAAAATCGTAGGTACAATTTTTAATTGCGTTAATGATGTCAAATCGCAATTAATTCATTGTAAGAAATGTTTTTTTTATCAATGTGGAATTATGACACTATATATAAACAATGGCATGTGATCATCGACCAAATCGGACAGTATTTCATTAAGTAAATTCATTCTTATTCTAAAATCCGCAATCACAATTAGTTGCTAACCCAATATAATTAGCAACATTACAAGGAAGCGTGAACTCCTCAAGAATCAAGTAACACTGAATTAATATTTACTATTGAACATATTCATTCTGTCAACAAACAATATGTTTTGTCAGCGAATTGTATTAATAAAAAAATTATTAACACCGATCGTATTGAAGATCATGCCTACAAAAAGATAATAAACATACTTCGATAGCATGGCTATTATACAAATAAATAAACTGATTTGGCAACTCAAGTTAGTAACTTTGTGTGATAATTGGCAGCCCTTAGAAAATGAAAACACCAAGCCCGATCTGAGTAACCAAGCCTCTATTCCGAAGAGCAGATAATAATAATATACAATCTTTATTAATTATTATATATTATTATAATTATTAGTAAGTATCGTATAAAGTTACCATGAGAGTAACCAGTCGGGGAGAGGGCTGCACGTGCATTAACATTAACTATAAATAAAATTTTATTTCATTATATTTAAAAAAATCCCCGAACTACAATAATGTAATGGAAGTACAAGGTACCTCATTGCCATCAATACTTATACCATGTCATATCAACCTCCACGTGTTCCTTCCAGGAAACCATCGTAGCTGGTTCTACTATTGACATCGTAATGAACGCATCACTATCACTTAGTACATACCTATACACATTTCGTTGGGTATATTCAATAGATCGTGGACAAGCGTATCCACGACCCACGAATTAACTTAGTTTGTTTTCCATGGTTCCGTCTGTCAAATTTAATCAAAATATAAATCAATATACTTACAACGTTGTGGTCGCTCAGATTTAAACTCACGGTGGCGTAAGACAGGGCTATACTACTGCTATTGTTGTGGTTTAAGTAGCCCGTACGGCTACCTAAACCACTACGCCGGGGGGAAAGGGGATTGTTAGTAATGTAGATTGATTATCTTATTGCTAGCAATGTACCATGTCATGTCCACGCGGTTCCCCCTGGAAACCATCGTGATAAATTCTTGGTGAATTGGTCACGATGGGCTAACTGATCTGACCTCATGCTCATATTATCACCCTTCGCTGGGGTCCCGCCATCGTAAACCGTTAGCACAGGCAGGAACACCATTCCATTATCATCAAAAAAAAAAAACACTACGCCACAACACTATCGCTAATATTTCATCATAACTCTGAAGGCAGAAACTGATATAATGTTTACATTTATTTGATACTAGCTCTACTCGGGATTTTGTTCGCGTAGAATTAAAAAAATCTACAGACTTATCTCCTATTTTGTTTTACCCTCTTAAGAGTAAAATTTTTACAATCTTTGAATGTCATATTTATTTTATTTAATAAACAGCCTAAGAAATAAAATTCCTGTACCTAGCTTTAAAATGACGATACTTCCATACAACTTTTCATCTTCACTTTCAACTCATTACAACCCTTTTATCGAAAAAAGTAGCCTATGCCTAAGTTTCTATTTGTGTACCAATTTCACTTAAATCGATTCACTAGTTTTGTTGTGATAGTGCAACAGATAGACAGACCGAGTTACTTTCGTATTAATAATATTAATAAGGATGTCATAATAATTTGAAGAATTACGCTTTGTAATGTTAATCGCTTCCGACCACAGTCACGAGATGTGTGAATCTATTGAATTAATTATATGCAGTTATGTATCATTATATTTTACTAGAAGCAATTAGTGCATATAAATTGTTATAGTGCACGTTTACTTATTACCTAAAAAACAGTTCGATGTATACAAACACAAAATACAAAACGTGATGATCATAGATTAACAGATAGATGTCACTAGAGCATGTAGATTCTTCTGATGGATAAATATGAAATAGTGCACTTGCCTGCGCTAACGATGTATGCTGAAGTGGCACTAGGATGGTATTCGATGAACATGAAGTCAGGTCAATTAACAACACTGGCGAATTCGCTAGGATACAACTACAATGGATTCCCATTGGTACATAACGATTCTACTATGTTTTTACGTCAATATCTACTGTCTGAGTATCAGCTTGATTAGTTTCAAGAAATTTTCTAACTATACGGCATATATTTAGAATTACAGCCTTCTATAGTTAGCAATATTACTAGGTGGCAAGTTAAGGGTATTTATTGTTTGATGCATCTATTTTTGTAAGACACCTGTTTTTTTTGCAATTCTGTAAATTTTCATATTTTTGAGCTATCGAATTTTACAGGTTTTGTTTGTTAGGTACAACTATATCAATCATTTGTCCAGTATTATTAATTTTGTTTATTAGTGTAAATTATTATTGTTATAATTCAGAGTTCACTAGATGGCGACACCTGACCTATTGACTACTTTTTGTGGAAACAAATTATTCCACTGTTTTCATCAATATGTTTTAATTGATCGTTCGATCGTAGGTAAATCATTATTTACGATTGAATACATTAATATGTCAAACATAAAGACAGTAGGTGCTATTAAACAGTTTTATAGCTGTCTGTAGTCATCATTCAGAGATTGGAATGAATACTTATCACGGCAATCGGTATAAGATAAGTAAATAAAATACGATATTACAATATGAATGTGTAATTAATACGCTTATTTTCAGGGTTCATAACATGCTAAAACCTCTTCTAACTAAATTGTCTGTCTGTCGAGTTGGACAATATTTATGTATGTACCTACTAAAGATATAAAAAAGTCATAAACATTTTTTTATATCGTTCTAAGTAAGGTACCCTTAATTTAAAATGAATAGCACATGTATCTAAGTGGCATTACTCTTTTTTTATGTGTTTAGTTAATCAATTTAAGCGCTAGTTTTGTTAGCCTGTACTTAAGAATGAAGTTACCAAGATTATTCACAGATTTATTCGATAAATTAATTTTAACAGGCAATATTGCCCCTGATTTTAGTACCTAAAATCAGGGGCAATAATGCATGTTAGCTTAAAAGCCTTTAAATTTCATGCGGGTGAAACCGGGCACAGCTAGTTTCATAATATGTACGGAACACTACAATTTGCACACTTCACTACAATGATACGAGCCAATTATTGTTTATATCTAGATATATAAACAAACGTACTGTCTTATAATATTATATTGTTATCGATTTTTGATCAGTTGAGATGGCGGCGTTAAAAGGAGATAACATGCGCATACCACAGTTTTACGCGGGTAGATCTGTACTTATTACTGGTGCCACCGGTTTTATGGGAAAGGTTTGATATAGTTAACTTATGTTATTGTGTTTTTTATGTGGAAGTGTTATGTTGAAAATGTCTTTTCCAAAGACGTCTGAACTAAGTCCTAGGCCAGGAAACGAACCTTACTGCCATACTAACCCTACTTTGGTCTCAATTCTATTTAACCTCTATTATGCCTAACTTATTCCAGTAGTCAATGAAGATTAAATAGTAACATCTAGCTTCAATATTTCCAAAGTACCAATAAATAATTTAGAAAAAAATATTATAAAAGTATCCAAGTTATAATAAATAAACCAATAAAATCGTCATTTTAGAGATTAGCAAGACCAATAGACAGACGGAAAAAAAATCTACGTCGAACTCAAATGCATACGGATAGCTCAATATAGATAGACTGAAAAATAAATTTATTTAGAATGTTTTAACATAGTTTTACATTTTTATTCAGGTATTAGTCGAGAGGCTGTTAACAACATGTCCCGACATTGGTCGCCTATATCTACTGATGAGAACTAAGAGGGATGCCGATCCAAACCAAAGACTGCAGCAACTCAAAGATTCGGCAGTAAGTTTTTAGGATAAGGGGTACAGTTTTTTAGACTTAGAAGTACCGTCCTCACTATTTTATACGGGTTACTACTTCCTACTGTAGCGCTAAAATTATGAGAATATGTTAAATGTGAATCCAACGTGGCAGGGGCGAGCCTACCGCTATCTCTCGGATTAATTTGAAACGTTATTTTTGGTGATTTCTTCACTGATATTTAGAAAAACTTTATAAATAATGAAAAAATAATTATAATACGCTGATTGAACATATGATGATATCCATGACATCTAATTCAACAGAATTATCAAGATGTCTTATTTCAGGTATTCAATAATCTTCGCCAACGAGACCCTGAGCAGTTGAACAAGCTGCGTACCCTACCTGGAGATATATTACAACCAAAGCTTGGTATCAGTAAAGAGTCTATTGCAGAATTAAAAGAGGTAATTTATCCTATAGACAAGTCTTCCATTCGTATCGTAACTATTAATTGGGGGAATTCAACAACAACAAGCGCATTTTTTATTTATTAATTAAAACTTTAATGCACAAATACACAAATAAAGCTGAATATGGTGGACTTAACACCTTAAGGTATTTTCTCCCAGTCAACAGGCGTAGAGCAAACAGAAATTTGTGTGAGCAGTGCATTTAAAAATATATATGTATAATTAAATAATAATATATTTTTTATTGTATTAGACATTAGTATAGAAATAATAATGGTTATTGATGATTTTACAGGTGTCGATAGTATTCCACTCTGCCGCTACGGTGAAATTCAACGAGGAGCTGCGAAGAGCGATCGAATACAATGTGTTATCTGTTATGAGGCTACTCAAGATATGTGACGAACTGCCCAATATGCAAGTAAGTGTCTACCGTCAATATACACTCTCAATTTTAGGTTTACAATTAGAACACTATTACTATGTATAATAATCAACGGCCTCGGTGATCTAGTAGTTTAGCACACCGCATTACTTCCTAAGGTACCGGATTCGATTCCTCGCACGGTACAAACATTTGTATTCATGACTATGATTGTTTGTATCGGTCTGGGTGTTTTCTATGTATAATATATACCTATGTATTTACGAAAAATATATCTACGAAATATATCTCTATGTATCAGTTGTACTCACAACACAAACTTTACCAAGCTTCACTAGGTCTAGATAGTGCTGTGTGAATTGTCCTGATATTATTAGTATTAATATAATATCATACAAAAACTGTAATGCTATATGTCGGTGTTTTCCAATTAGTGGTACGCGTACCCCCAGGGGCTGGTGAAGTTGCATTAAGGGGTCACTGCCCGTATCTGTAAAACAAACATACAAACACCCTCACAAACTTTCACATTTATAATGTCAGTGTGCTTGCTACAATAATGGGTACGCAAGGTTTGAGGTTTTTTTGAAATGGTACGCAGCAAAAACTAATTGGGAACCACTGCTATACCTATGTGATAAAACAAAGGAGATATTGGCGACAGATGTTTAGTTAATACAGTTTATACAATGACAAAGGTGTGCTAAACCGTTAGAGCACAGACGTCGTTCCGTGCCTGAATATTAGCTGTTCTAAACCGTTGTTATTTCTCAGGCGTTCGTGCACGTATCAACAGCGTATAGCAATGCTGATCGGAAAGAAATAGAAGAGAAGGTGTACCCTATAACCACACCTCTTGACGAGCTACTGGCGTTGCTTGACGATGAAAATATAGAACCAGAGGAACTTAATAAGTAAGCTTGCAATAATCTATATGTCTAGGGGAAGGCGATTGTTAGAAATAGGGACTTAGTACCATGTCTGGGGGACCTCAAAATTTTAGTTAATTCCTGTTGATGTCATTACGATGGGCTGACTGACCTGACCTTATTCTCCGTATCATACACTACTGGTGCCCCGCCAAGTTAAACCATTAAAGCAGACAACTGTATATTTGCATTATCTTCAAAAACATGAATAAATAACTGTTAAGAAGATCGGATTCATAAATATATCATTTCAGTATAATGTACAAAATCTAATACGAACTAATTACGGAAGCACTAAATACGGAAATAAAAATAATTATAGATTATTTTTATACCATAATCACAACACCGATACTAATTGATGAAAAGAACGGATTAAATACAGTGTCAAATTGTATATAAATTATCTGATGGCGAGCTTCTTAAAATTACAAATAGGAATTATTTCATTAATTCAACCAATTCATTGTTTGTTTTAGGTATTTAGGATCGAAACCCAACACCTATACGTTCACGAAAGGGGTAGCCGAGTATGTTGTCCAGCAGCACCCGAAGAAACGTTACTCTGCGGCAATATTCAGACCCTCAGTTGGTATGTACTTACTGGCTTTACACTCTTCAATGGATATCCATTTTGTTTGTATATTACCTAATAATCATAAAATGTTAAAAAAAAACAGTGAAACAGCCTAACCCTAAAACCATAAAACGTACAAAAAAATGAATTAATTGTAGCAAAGAACGATCTAGATCACGTCTACTTTCTAAAAAATAAATGCATCATAATCGGTACATTTGAGTCCGCATACGATGATATACTGATATACTGATCTTTTTCCGGCCAAGGTTAAAATTACTATATTCAGATTAAATTTATTTTAGATCCGTTTAGTTATGAAAAGGTAACAAAAATACAAATTAATTTTTGCATTAATAATATTAGTATGGATATATTAGATTCTATTTACATCTTATAGGCATATCCTAGTTGACCCAGAAATCTTTGTCTTTATAATGAGAAATGATTGATTACAAAGACCTAATTAATTAACACGGTTTTAATATGATATACGAATTTGTGTGTTACAATTGACTAGATGCCCTTAAAGTGGTATTTATATATTTGCAGTTATATCCTCCAATCGCAACCCATTCCCTGGTTGGATAGAGAACATGAATGGACCTTCAGGTGTCATAGCTGGCTATAACGCTGGACTCCTGCGGGTTTTCACCACCAACAGCGCCAAGGAGGCTGACTTGCTGCCGGTTGATATTGCTATCGATAATCTTATCGCTGTCGCTTGGGAAACCGCTTTAAGCAAGTAAGTACATCTTCTTCTATCGCAGAGAATATCGAATAAGTTGGAGGTGTATACCTAATTTCATTATTTATTATGCTGGCTAAAGCGGAACGAGTATAAATAAATACAATAATAATAACTCAGGGCACTGCTTAGCTCGGGACTAGCTAACCCAGTGTAAAAATAACGCTATCTATGTAGTCCCAAGCTAAGCAGAGCTTTCGTTATGGGTACTAGACTACTAATAGAAATACAAATTTTTATATAAATATATAGAAATTACCCAACCTATATAAACAACCCTACTCATGAATAGAAATGTCTGTATCGTGCGACGGCACCACAATAATCGGAAGTACACATAAGACGGTATGTGAAACTGCTAATGGCGTCACGTCGTGAAAACAATATGTTAATGTAAAAGGTTTTTTAGTGTCCCACTTGTGGTCTTGTATTTTATGTGTGGTATTATGTATAGTTTTTTTCTTGGTGTTTTATAAGCCTGGTAGCGGGATTGTCACGCTTAAAATGGAATCTATGTTAGGCATATACCGACCTGATTGAAAGTGGCGAGCATTTCTGTTATGATTTAGTACATGCCTAATAATAGGTCATCTTATTTATAGTAGCACATTTTATAGTACTAAATGCTTAATAGTAATTAGTAGCTTTGTATAGATCTGTAGATAGATTCATAGATCCGTTACCGATCCTAATATTTTATGACAATATTAATATATGTTTTATGTAAATGTTTAAAAAACTTTTTATTCCATATTTAGATCGACAGCCATCAAAGTGTATAACTGCAGTGTCTGTGAAAATCCCACAACGTGGGGAGACATAGAGCGCAATGTGATCAGCTACACGAGAGAACATCCACCTAAAAAAACTTACTTTTACCCGTTTTTGTTAGTCGTAAAGAACAGGTAAGAATATGTGTATTTATTTTTGTATATACGTTTTTGTACTACGCCGTCATCAATTTTTTTTTTTATACTACTATAGTGGCAACCATACGGCCCATTGGTAAATGGTTACCGTAGCCTATGGACGCCTGAAACGCCAGACTTGCATATAAACTTTGTAAGTTACAAAAACGTTTGCCGACCTATAGTCCAATTGAAAATCTTTTGCAATCTTCTGATGTTGTTATTGCTAATAAATTGACGTCACCTAATGGCAGATCCATTAGTTTACGTACGTAAAGGAATGTATCAGGTTACGTACGACGAACCGTCGAACTTAGTGCAGATATTAATTTGTTAAGCTACCTAGCAGTATAAACTACTGCTATAATATTATAATTTATTCCTGTAATTTTATTCTTCATTTAAAAACTTCATAGTTTATAACCTTATTTGTTCACAGGTTCTTGTATGCATTCCTAGAATTCATGCTTCAAGCTGTACCATTTCACATAATTGAATTCGTAAGTCGCATCTTCGGAATTAAACAAAAGTAAGTTCAACTAAATTTTGTTACAATATAATAGTAATAATATTTAATTTGATATAATTCTTGAGATTAGCGCCTTCAAACAAACTCTTCAGCTTTATATTACATATATTAGTATAGATTATGTATTCATTATGTTATGTACGTATTATATTAAATTTAATTTTAAAGCTTTGCATGTTTACCAATGTGTTTTGTTATATTATTCGAAATTTTGAACTCTTGCCCTAACCCTTGTCAGAATGTCAAATTTTGCGTATCTCCCCTTTAAAATGTACGTGATATTTGGATGACCTCTTTTCACTTTTACCTCATTTTCAGGCACAACCTATTAGCATTGAACCAGAAATTCCGCGACATGACTGCTGCTCTACGATTCTTTGTAATGAACGAATGGACTTTTAAGAATGACAATATGCGGATGTTACGAGAAAAGTTGCATCCGTCCGATGCAAAATTATTCCACTTAGATCCTCGTACCGTAAAGTAAGTAACTTTATGAATATAACGTATTAAGTACATAACGACGTCTTTGTAGGTAATTTTAGAAGAAAATGATAAATTAAGATCAACCAAAAATAAATTAATATAATAAGTATCTATCTTACTTAAAACTCATAAACGTGAGAACGCGTTTAGTTAATTATCTTATTATGCCGTATGATTTTGTTAACTATGTGGAAACATAATTTGTATCCGCATATCTTACATTATTTATACCTATACTACGAATGGTTGTCACTTAGTTCCTACATAACGGCTGGGATGATTTGTTTGAAGTTTTGTATGTATATCTATTACAATGGGTTCTTAGATGGTTTGAAATATAATTAGGCCTGGTTGATGGTGCTGCTTTTCGGGCAAGACGCCGTCAGCCACCAGTAGTCAGGGTCGTTTTTCACCTATTAGAGGCCCTGGGCACATTAGGATAATGGGACGCCTAGGACCATAGAAACAAAGCAATATTTTGTAAGAATATACAAAGTCATTTTTGAACATGACTCTTTGGAGATGTATATCGGGATACCCTTAAACATATAGATACACCTTCAAAACAAACCAGGCAAAAATATTTTTCATAAGTCGTTATGTGATCTTACTTAAATTTATAAAAAAAACGAATAAATTCGCCATAGTTGGTAAGCGTTTGTTAAGACTGATTTTCAGGCGAGAGTAGAGTAGCTATCGGTTGTCGTTTGGTAATGGAGTAGGGACTAGACTAGACAAGGGGGCCTAATCCATCGCGGGGCCTTGGGCACGTGCCCAGTAGGGAAGAGGGGCTTGCCACTTGCCAGTAAGTAGTATAAGCTATAACTATGGAGGTATGTTTGCATAACTTTTATATTTTTCTTACCAAACAGTTGGAAAGAACACTACAGCAACTTCGTCATAGGCGTCAGGAGACACCTGTTGAAGCATGAAGAGGAGGATACTCAAACAAAAGAACAATTTAGAAGGTAACATTCACAGTCTTACCGTAATTAAAAATTCAGTTCTACAAAAAACACATTCTTCAGACGCTATTATAGCACTTGATTAAACATGTGAAATATTGTCAAATTCTTCCTTAATAACTTTGAAAATAACAAAAATAAGTACATTTAAATATGAAATGGTTTGTTTGGCTATGCCATTTTGCTACCTTTTTTACAAGTACACAGCTAATCCAAACGGAATTCAATAAAATAAAATTATATTACAAGGCAGATCCATGTCAGCACAGTAAAAAGTTGTCTGTTTGGGTACCTCAGTCTCACCTATTTTAGCTGCCAAACAGCTTGCTCTGTAAGTTATATTTCGGTTGAAACCTCTAGATGTAGTAGTGAAATTACAGGATATAAGGCATCTAAGTTCTCTAGAATGATCCTGATGGCTCTGGTGCTAGTCATGTCCATAGGCGACGACTAGTTCTACCATAAGGTTGACCGACAGCTTGTTTGTCAATCGAATTACATAAAATAGCCTATATTTTTTCATTACAAATGCATACGAAGTCGAAAGAAAGTACTTGTAACTGTCCTATAATGTATTAAATTTTGTTTCTAATTAATATATCAATATTTTTCAGGGCGGCCATGTTTTAAAATAGTCTTCAGAATATTCTTGCCAGTACTTAAAATCCCTGTGTTAGTACAAAATCAATATAAAGAAGATCATTCATTCCGTCATCAAAGTATTACTTTTCTTCGCTACAAGGACCGCTGGTATTATTTGTAGCCTTACGAGATAGGTATCGATTGATCCGAGGTACATTTCATTCATATATAATTGTATCATATAAAATGTGTTGTATGAATAAATTATTAAAACTAAAATGAATGTTTTTTATGTAACTCCAAGTGCCCAGTTCCGGGAGAAGGTGATGCATTCCCCTCTTAGTGATAGTATGTCTACTCTCTGTCTGTCTCACATTTTCACAACGATACGGCTAAACATATCGTAATTGAATCCCAGATTTAGATAGATTCTATCATTATGAAGTCGGGTAAAGCTTTCTTTTATGTCAAAAATAGCTTATGTCGGGTTGAAAGTATTTCAACCGGAAAGTCTGTTAGTGTTGAAATATATTTACTTTGTTTCTGACGTCGAGTAAGTCGATTCGAAAGAGAAAAAGATATATAATATATGTATTTTATTAACTTTGACTGTAATTACTGATTGGAGGAAATCTAGACGAAGATTTTTTAGTATCGGAGAGGAAAAATGATAGTCAGAACCCTAACTGCAAATGAAATATTAGTTTCTACCACCATAGGACGGATAACTGACGTACCTAGCTGTTTTGGCGATGTGTTGACGATGTCTCTCGATTTTTTATTTTAAACAGGATTATAACCATGGGCACAGGAAATCAAGAGTAGGTACACTCTTAGTCCCCTGTGCCCAGCTGCTTTAATTAAGAGTCCTTAGGATCCTAGTTCAAAAAAACTTTGAAAAGAGGTAGCTTAACTTTAGTTCATATATAGGTGTTGAAATAATATCTAGTTTTTGAGCAGATTGAAGACCATTCATTAGCTTTTTTCAAGTTAATGAAAAGATTTGGGCTAATATTAAAAATTTTGGTTATTCAGAAATACGTTACGTAACAGCCATATTATTAGTTCTACTGGTTCTACTGTGCAATATTATATTATATTATAAAAATTCTGTTGTTATTAAAGATATATATATATATATATATATCTTCAATATCAACAGAATATATACATTTTTCAGCGAAATTTTCACCTTATGAAAAGTATGTAAAATAGCTTTTGTTAACGCGCATCAGTTTTAACGAAACTGCACCTCTAAGTAATTAAAATAACATATAGTAGGTGGCACTGTCCAGACTCCGATTATATTAATTTAAAGAATTGGAAATGCAACGGTCACTGAGGGACCCCGCGGATTCACTCCTGTCTGAACATTATAAAGAAAAAAATAATATATATATTTTCTAAATAAAATTTCTTTATACAATGTCTAAATGGAGTAAAAGGTTTGTCGTTTATTGTTGTTTTATTTTAAACCTAAAGTTAACAAATAACGCCAACATGTTGACGGCCTAGGTGGTCTAATGATATAGCGCACCTCCAATAGCTGCGGGTTCGATTCCTCGCAGAGTACAAATATTTGAATTACTTATAGATATTCATACCTTGAATCTTGAATAGCTAGGCGCTCTTTAAGTGTTGATGGTATATCGAATAAATGCAGATTTAACAGTTGATAACACTTGTATAAAGTCTAAACTAAATCACACCCTATATACTAGCAAATGCACAATATCCCAGTTTATATAGTTCCCATTATTTATCTATACGAATTTTACATTTCGTAATAAACAACAGTCAACAACTATTGCTAGGTAACACTCACGATAGGTGTCACACCGTACCGTATTCTTTGACATACGACAAAGGTTCTAAAACATCATCTACCGGTGTGGACCTATCAACCTTAGGACTCTTAACAAGCGAGGTTTTATACTCCAGGCAGAGATTTTGTAAACATATTTTTCTACTACAATCCAGTGTGAACTTTCTTCGCCACTAGTTCTCCAGCTATAGATAATCATTTCACGAACGAGGAAGTGCCGAATCGCCATGTTTAATCCGCTTGTAGAATTCCGGATTCTCAGCTAGTCTGATATGAGCTTTTTGTTCACATTTAACATAGGAGAGACTTACAACTTCCTAAGTTCTGTAAACCAGACACATTCCTTTCCAACTTCACTAGCAGCCACTATTTCTGCTTCTGTTGTCGAGGTAGAAACACCTATTTGTCTTTGATTTAGCTATGAGATAGAACATACAGACATAAGGATTATTTAAAAGAGCAACACACAAGTTTCTTGCTCGTTCTTCTTGTGATGAGACAGATTTCCCAACGAGTGGTAGATAAAAAACAAATTGTTATGACTATTCAAAAGTGCTTAAATTAAGTTTATTTGAATAAATGTTTTTCTATTCTATTCTGTTCAATACTCCTTCGTGTACTTCGTGTCGTAATACAACCTACGTAATCTGAATCACCACAACATTGTAAAATTCTATTTTTTTATCTTTCTCTTACAAGATTCCAGTTTAATGAGTATATTTTGAATAAAGCTTTCTCTAAACTTCTTGTCATACTATAGAGTATCTACCAACCGTAATGTAAGCTAATGCACCTATTATATGACTGTAATTGTCCAGAATTGGACTGAAGTCATAAATTTTGTGATTTTGTTCTAATTCGTTCTTAACTAGGCTTTATGAGAGATCCAGAAATTTTCTGATGTAACCAGCTAGAGATATTAGTATGCCGTCTTCTATTTTTCTATCTCCATTTTATTATATTATATATATATATAGCGAGGCCTATTACTCACTAAATGATAACTTGAATGACGAGCGTGCATGGCTATAGTTTTCATGTATGGGATTTTGATTTAATGTTAGACATAGACCTGTATGTATAAATACCAATGCATTGTAAATAAACTGGCTTTTAAAAAAAAGTAATACAATTGAGATCTTGCCAGTTCTTCTCAATTGGATCTATATACCGAACTGGACGGTAGGGAAAAAAATTATAATGTTTTAAAATTTGACGTTCATAGGCGGCTAAAATGTCCTATATGAATAAATGATTTTTGAATTTGAATTTGAATTATTTCTAGTTTTGTAGTTACTGTGAAGGTTATTTTGAGAGCTTCAACAAAATAACCTACCAACATCTATAAAGACTGAAGACCCAGCTACTAGGCCGTCGTCCACCTATAAAACTACAATAAGTATACAGTCTGGATGTTTCTATGTTACGTATGTATTTATTTATAAAAAAAGTATTTAAGTGTTTCTATTAGGTGTATGGGTACTAGTACCCATAAGACAATCTCTGCTTAGCTTGGGATTAGATGGTATTGTGTGGATTGTCCATGGATGGATTATTATTATTATTTATTACAAATGTAACCAAAATGTATACCTCTTAAGAGAATTTGTTACAGGCCTGGGCGGACTTAATCCGGCATTGTATATAATAAATTTCTGTGGTGCAAGTAAGTCAATGGGCTGGACCGTTTGTAATAAATATTATTAATATTTAGTACTGAAAATTTACACTTTAATTTAAAATAAATGTATGTTTTATTATTTAAAAAACCAAAGTCATTGGTCATAAATCGGAGTAGTTACTTCTACTTGGCAATAGATGGCGTCAAAGTCAATCAGGACAGTGAACACTTGGTTATGAATTCACCAGAAATAAACTGAAGTGTAATGAATTTAATTTGAACATTCAGTAATTCGTTTCTAATAGCAACCACGTAGAGATCCACCTGGTACAGTACATTACCCGCAATGGAGCTATAGAGAGAGTCCCATTACAAACAATATAAAGGAGTCGTAACCCTCGGAATACGATGATGATGATAATGATGGTGCAAAATAGATTTTTTATCTATTTATTTCCTTCTTCAGATAGTATATTTCTATAGTTTTTATATTATAAAACAGCAGAGCTCTCTATGGGGATAAATTGTCAGTTGTTTGTTCAGCCTTGCGGTATTATTGATTGCTTGTCATACTGACATTTGTCATGTTAGTCCTAACTGTCATTAGTGTTATTTCTAGTTGTCATTACTTTGCTTTGCTGAATACTCTGAACTCTGAAATAAATTTACTAATCTGAATCTGAAGCCTAATCTAAATGGTATTAAACAGGTCAAATCTTATTTCTTATTAAATGTTATTGTAATATTCCATAGCTTCGAATATCTTTTAAATACTCTCTAGTCGGGACATTGGAATATTAATTCAGGATTACAGTAAGTACATTGGAATGAACATTAACTATTAATATTAGGCAGTTGTCAGTCATTCTTTACTTGTGTTATATTTTTGTTTTGCTATTCTGCTGAGTAATTTCGTGTTGGATCTTAGCAGTACGTACGGGCTTTGTTTCGATCATATTGACTACTTGCCAAGTTCTAACTGCCAAATGCACGATAGTGTCCTACGTCGATATGAGTTATTTTTTCCTATAAAAATACATTAACCCTTCAATATTGTGTTAAGTACGTTCTTCTTAACCCCATCTGACGACCTCAATTGTTTACTTTTCAATTAATGTACAGTGCAATATGTGACTTGCATGTTTTTGTCACAAAAATAATTTGTAATATAACACATAGCTATTGATTTTAGTTGATTGTCTTTGTGAAGATAAATATTGTACAAAATGTGTGTTGTGTAGTTTTATTATTACACATAAATATGTACATTTGATATCAGTTAGAAATCATGGAGTTATCTTTACATTACCATCACCATATATTTGGGTTTAAATTTTACTTCTGTTTTATTTTCTTCATACAGTTCTAATAAATATGGCACATAGGAATAGACCTATTTTTCTGTTTAATTAATTGGTATTATTTTAGTTGTTTTCCTAATCATCAATCACCACTCATTGCATTCAAATCTATATTATTAAATCAATTTAAAATAAATGTTCAATTAGTAAATTACCTCTCTAGTCACTCTATCAATTTATGATAACAAATTATATGTAAACTCGTAAGAAATGTTATATTTTATTTTTTATTAATAATGGGCTGATGAATAATTGAATTGTTACTTACTGAAATTTACTTAATTATTTCTTACCTATTTGTATATATGAGCTAACAATAAATATTATGAACGCTATGAAATGAAATGAAATGAAATGAAAGCTAAATATTATGAACTAACAAAATAAATGTTATTTTGTTCTTAATAACATGCTCTATAAGTGGTGATAATGGTATGGTTCACGCCTCTGCCCTAACTGTATACTGTATGAGTGTAGAGTCAGGTCTATTAACCCATCAGGGTGAATTCCCAGAGAAACATTGAATTGCATGGGGTTAGGCTTGACATGGTAATTGTGCATCAGTCCCATCATTAACAATGTAATCCCCTTTCCCTATGTAGTTATAGTGAATTAGTCTTGGTTACAGGTACATTGCCAGAGGTTCTGATGATGTCCTTAAAGCCCAGGAATGTGGACTTCCAGGAGACATGGGCCACTCTAAAAGAAACTGTAAGTTTTTATGTTTTACATATTGTTAAATCTTACTCTGTGTATATTTCCAAAATATCTGAATTTGAGTTATATTAAAATATAAAATATCTGTATTTTTGACATGAAAACTTTATTAGTACATAGTTTTATTTCATGAGTGAGTTTTTACCATATGCTAGGGCACTTTATGAAGCATAAATTTATTCATGTTTAAACTGAAGAAACTACACAGTAGAAACAGGGTATAAAATTTGTAATAACAACAACAATTTGGTTTTTACTACTAAACTGCAGTGTCCAGACTGAATTTATATAATAATAATTGTTCTACTGCTTACACTGATTTGGCAAAGAAACTAGATTAGAAACTGAAAATTAGTCTTAGAGATGGCATATGGCTTGTCCCTGCCACATTGAATTCATATATACCCAGCGAAATCTGGATATGTCAAGTATTGCATTCACCACAACATCTGCTGGACAATGCTTCTGACTACCCCATCTGGGGTAACAGTCATCATATATTGTTATAATCTAAGGATTGTCAGTTAATTATAAGTGTCTATCTTTTATGATCCCTTCAATGTCGTATATTTTAGTTTCTAATGTATATTAGTAATACATATATATAGCCTCGGTGGTCTAGGGGTTCAGCACACCGCTTTACTATTTTACTATCCGATGGTTGTGGGTTTGATTCCTCGCATGGTATAAACATTTGTATTAATGAGTATGATTGTTTGTATTGGTCTGGGTGTTTTCTATGTATAATATGTATTTATTTACAAAAAAAAAATGTATCCATGTATTTACATCAGTTGTCTAGTACCCATAACACAAGCTCTGCTTAGCTTAGGACTAGATGGCGCTATGTGAATTGTCCGGAGTTATTATTATATTATTAATATATTTATTCTTCCCTATAATTACAATTTGAATTTAAATTAAGTTTCTTTACATCTGGTCACAATGTGGATCAAAGCCTCTCCAACTTGCTGTATGATTTTCTGTTTGTAACTATACTCATCCAATTTTTTATCTGAACTAAATATTTTCAGGTGGCTGGTGTGGTAGGATTACGTGCCGTTGAACGGGCAGTGTGGAACACAAGGTTCTCAGATGTATATGCATTATGTGTGGCTCATCCAGAACCACTTGCAGACCGCCTGTATGATGAGACTAGGTGAATTGTAATATAGCTGTACATTTTCTTTATCTTGATACATGACCTTGGTGGTCTAGCGGTTTAGCACACTGCCCTACTTCCAATTGTCGCGAGTTCGGTTCCAAGCACGATGTAAACATTTGTATTCACGTGCAGGATTGTATCACTCTGGGTGTTTTTATGTATATTATATACATGTATATAATTACAAAGAAATCTTCAGTAAGCTATCATTTGTCACCAGGATACAGGCTCTCCTTTTCTTGGGACTAGATTGTGTGTGATGCACTCAGGGTTATTATTATTGTTGTTAATATTTTTTTACTAGTATAGTACCTATGTAAGAGCTGAGTACATTTAGTATATTTTCTGTTATTATTGATTTGTACAATATTTGTCTTATTTTGTCATTTATAATTATTTTACTAATGTGGTACATGATAAATACTGAATGTTCGTTACTTAATCACTCCTGTAAAAGTTTAAATTACAAAATTTTAGTAGAGGTTACTTTTACACAAATCATGCAGGTAGATCTGCACACATCTGGACACAGATAATGTTAAAAATCAAATATATATATTTGATTTTTAATTTTAATATCTTACTATTTTCAGAAACTTCCTAGAAGAACATGTCTCTGGGTTGTTACAGCGTGTTCGTGGTCCAGCACCTCTGGAGAACAATGACCATAACGACGGCTTGTTGTCTAGGTAATATTGTAATAACCTACTTATGTAAATATGAAGTGACATCATACTGTATGTGAAATAATATTATGAAATCGTGTGTTTAAATCTTTGTAGTATATGCATTACCAACAATTTCAACGATTAATTTACAACATATTTATAAAGTATTCATTTATTCTATTTTTTTAAATAATACATAGATGTTTCTGGGTACAATTGTAATCAATTTTTTTTTTACATTAGCTGTATCCATGGACCGATAAAGCTCTAAGTTTTATCGGTTTTCATAAATAAGTATTCTGAAGCTTGACGAAAAAATCAGAATTATATATTTTTTTATAATATATGTATATATTTTTGGAACTGAATTCCAATTGAAAGCCTATTTATTGGTATTTTTTTGCTATTTAGTGGTAAATGTTGCTTATATACATGCACAGCGCAACAGGTACCATATGATGGTAAGTTGTTAGGGGACTAAGATGTCATGTCCCCGTACTTTGTAATTTCAAAGTTCAATGAACTGTGGACAAATAAACTGTGATAATAATGTTTCCTCTTAAAAATGACTATATGTTATTGTTTTATACAGATACGTTACAGCGTGGCGCGAGTACAGTCAAGGTGTGGCGTATCTGAATAGCCTCTACTCATACCTAAATTTGCAACACATAAAGCGACAAAAGGTTAGTTCCCATTGTGATTCGTCATTGTACCTGATTGTTGGCAACTCTCCACCCTAACATATTATACACTCCGTAAATTATATAGTAAATTAATTGTAAACGCTAAAATAAACAAAAAAAAATCTTCTTTATTTTGGCGGACAAAATCTTTTATTATTGGGCCAACATCACTCACGCAGGTAGACACAGCGTTCACTTTGACTCTTTGAGCCGGATTGCTATTACCGATTAAACTGACGACTCCCGGTTAATTAAATTATGAAAAAATGAAACTTATTTATTTAGGTAACACCTTTTTTTCATAAATATATCTAGGTATTGAACTTTCCCTTTAAGCAACATAATGACTGCCAGGAAGTTCTACTCTGCCTTAGCATAGATATATATTATGACTGTATATTTTATGAATGTTATAAATGAAGTGATGCATCTTACCTCTTATTTATTAAAGATTTTCTGAGTTCTTTATAATTTACTAATTTTCAGGTATCCGACGCTGAAATTATATATGGCTCTTCGGCAACTGCTTGTTCGCCGGATCAAGACTCCAGGCAACTAGAGGTAAGACATACAAAAGTATCTATATTTTCCCCTTATAGAATTCCCTGTTTAAATACATTTTAGCGTGTATTAAATATTTGTATATATTTATACTACGAGAATACCTATATGGTAAATTAATATTAGCTAAGCCAGTGACTTAGCTCACGCAATATTTTTTCTTTATGGACTGATGGGAGCGACATAATCACAATTTTATATGAAGCTTACCATAAGATATTAGTGAAAACCGTGACGAAATCGGTGAAGACATTAAGGCACGCAATGGCATAACAGACAAAATCTCTAAATTCGTTTTATGGTATTATAACATAATTATTGCGTTGATAAAGTCCCCCAGTAATAGTTTTCCTTGTACATCTTCTATGTATACACAAAATCTGTTACATTTTTATTATTGTATGTATATTCCCACTTCGTTCCAGTTATATTACATATTTCCGTTTGGCCTAAAATTATTTAATGATCTTTTGTACTCACTATGTAGGTCGGGGAATTAGGATTAGTGATATGGGAGCGCGTACTAGTCACACCGTTGGCGTCGGCTATCACTGGCAGGATTGTATCAGCTCTGTCGGCAGCGAGGTCCCACCCGCCTGACCCTACTAGCGCCGACGTACTTCGACAAGCAATTCACAGCACAGTCGACGTAAGTTAAATATACATATATATTCCTAAAGGCATTCTACATGAACAACACCACAGACTACATGTTCATGACAGCCTCGGTGGTCTAGTGGTTTAGCATACCGCTTTACTATACGATGGTCGTGGGTTCGATTCCTCGCACGGTACAAACATTTGTATTCATGAGTATGATTGTTTGTATCGGTCTGGGTGTTTTCTATGTATAATATGTTAAACCATTAACTTTTATAGCTATGAATAAACCAAGGTAGTATATCAGCACAGAAAATTTTATTATATTTTTTCCCGGTATTACATGCAATTAAAAACATACATTAACTAATCTTTAGTAACTTTTGCATTTTATTTTAATGTATTTGAATGTGTATAAAATAACTAGAAATAGTTCTTTATTATGTAATGATCGGCATTATATCCAATAGATCTATTAATTTAATAATATTACATATTAAAATGTGTACTTGTATTGAAATTTTACTATTTTATACATTATATTATTTTTACAAGTGTATATTTTGCATTATATAATACATTTTCTGTGTTTTTTAGGTTCAAGCGTTTAGACTCAGAGCTCCCCTGTCACTGTACCAGCAGCTGGTACTTGAGCCATATTTGTCGGCAGCTGGCGCTCATCATGCGCAGTTTGCGGCTGAATTACTTCACAATGGCGATATTTCGCACTATATGAAGCATGTACTTGATGGTGAGTTCTTAATCACATAATTGAATATCATATTAGGGGCAGAAATACTATATTAGCTATATACTATGATGCTTCTCACTTCGAATACAATTCACTTTATTTACAAATAATATTTTTATACGTAAAAACTAAGTTGAAAATCGTCAGGATTTTTGAGTTTATTCATTACAAGCTATACCACATATTACTTTGTTTAAAACTTTCAATGTCGGCTAGTATATTTATAATAAATGAGACATAAACTACGAAATTATTGTATAGTAGTGATAATGACAGTTTTAGTATAATGATATGACATGAATATTGCAATATTACTATATGTACTAATACATGTACGTAGGTCTACAGCGTGAGATCACGTTAGGCGGTAAATTTCTGCACGCTTCATCGACGGAAGCCGTTCGCACGTGCTACGAACGCGCCGCAGTCGCCGCTCATCTGCCTGCATTACACGCAGAAACAGAACGTCTCCTGCGAGAGGCATGTGAAGAAGGATCGCGCGCTGAGCAGGTAGACAACGACATACCATAAGAAAGAAAGAAAGTAGAATATTTATTGACAACCGTTGTATTCACATATTCATATAATAATTAAACATTAAAATACACATATATGCATACATATAGAGATAACTGTTGCGGCGCTGTTATTCTATATCAGTATTATTATTTTGACAGTATCGATGGTGTAGCGGTTTAAAACACCGCCTTACTTTTCATTTGTATTTGTACCTATTATTATTTGTATTGGTCCGGATGTTTTTTTTATATATCTATGAGTCGTTTAGTACCCATAACGCGAGCTTTGCATTGATTAACACGAGCTTGGGACTAGATGGTTTATCGTTCATCGTATATAATATTGCTGCTTATACTGTATTCTGTGTCGAGACTTGAATATAACGATAGTAATGTCGACAGCGCCGTTCGGACCTCAAGCACATGTACGCGCTGCTGAAGCCATTGGCGTGCGCGGGCGCGTTAAGGCCGCTCGTAGAACAGGCGCATGCGCAGGCCGCGCGTGACGGGCGCGAGCTACTCGCCGCGCCGCACTCGCGGGACGAGGTACGTCACTAGCGCATACTCACGGCACGAGGTACGTCACTAGCGCATACTCACGGCACGAGGTACATCACTAGCGTGGGCGCGCTGTGGCTGCTGGTAGATCAGGCCTCACGATTGCTGCAATAAATTAAAATTGAGTATTTAGTACCTCTATTACTAGTACAGCACACAAAATTACTAATCACAATTATTTCAATTATTTTACGATGATATTTATATACTACTGTTATTTTTCTTTAATTGATGATCTATAAACGTTAAATATTTTATTTTTTAGGCACACATCCACTTCGTTAACTCAATGCTGGCTCTCCATGGAAAGTATCATAAACTCTTTATGGAGGTATTTGATGGAGCTCAAGCGTTTATAGGAGCTCTGGATAAGGTAAATATTAAATGTTTTGTTAAATTTTATCACTCTATTTTTAAAATGTATTTAATTTGAATATTTAACCATTTATGATGAATTGGGTTCGGAATTTCGGATACTCCAGAGTTTCGTTTGTAGCTTTCCCTACAGAAATTTTAATTTTAAGAATGTGGAAATAACAGTGAAGCAACTGAAGAAAATATTAGCATTTTTAAAAGTTTTCCTGTCATATATATGCACGAAATTATGTAATAAAAGCAGTCGATGTAAATTATTTATCCGTATACACACACTCGTACACAGACTCGTATACCCCTCCGATCGATCCGTCCAATTCAAACGGGGATCGAAATTACGACGACCGGAATTAAGGTTTCTAGACCGGACTTTAGTCTGACCGCCGCTAAGGTTTCGCCTTAGCGGTGCCGTCAGACTAAAGTCGTATGCACCAGGCAGGAGTTGGCTTTCAGTTGCTGCATAAGTCCTTCCGCGGTTTTAGAGTGTCACTTGCACTCGTCCCCTATTGTTCGGTGAAATCGTAAAGAGCGAAGCGGCAACAGCATACAAGTACTTATTTATAAAATTTTTGCGTTTAATACACGTTAATAATATGATCCAACGGGTTTTAACATTAATAATTCTGTAGTAAATAAAGGTATTCAGTTCAAGACCACGGCTAGTGCAACCTAGTCGAAACGGCGAGAGTGGTAAATAATTTGCCATACAATTATTCGTGTTAAAAACCATTAAGCTATATGAATAACGCGAAAGATTTGTTAAAAAAAGTCTCGTTTAATTAAAATGTGACATTATAAGTTCGTTCCAAGCATAAACATTTGTAGACATAGTACTAAATAAAAACCTCGTGGCGTAGGCTTGCAGCGAGGTGGTGAATGGGCGAGCATCAGCGGAGCAACCCTTGCAATACCCGCAAGGTGCGCATTCTGCGGCCATGCAATCCGCGCAAGGCCGAGCGCCCGAGCTACTAGCGCGGTACTGCGACGCACTGCTGCGGCGACGAGGCGCGGGCGGCGAGCAGGAAGCCGACGACAAGTTGGCCGGCGCCATCGTCGTCTTCAAATACGTCTCCGACAAGGACGTCTTTCAGAAATACTACGCGCGGGCCCTTGCGCGACGCCTCATTCACCAGCTCTCCGCCTCTATGGAGCAGGTCGGTGAATTTAAAATATTTGTTTTTTTACCCTAGAACTGATAAGAAATACTATAGTATCTGTACCACGAAGTGCAATTCCGAAATTTCGGATCGATATTTCGTGTGATTCGTACCATGAAAAACGTTCATTCCGAAATCGTGCCCGAAAACGGAGAATATCGTTTCGATCGTCCCAAATCGTACCATGAAGTATCCGTTCGTACGTTATTATGACGTTTTGACAGCACGTTTATCGTGATTTAAAGTGCGAAGTAGACGAAACCTAAATAGTTAACTTTTTACTTTCGTAAGTATGGATTTTACGTATATAAGTGCTGTAATATATAAAAAAGTGATTAATTAATAATTCAGTTAATGTGTTACAGTGAATAATGTGATAAAAGTTAAACTAATTAGTGTTTTTAAATATTATTGTGTTCAATATAACCTACAACTTAGCATTACTTTATTTTGATTTAGTTTCATTATGCCAAGATTGGCTGGAATTTTAGAAGCCCTCAATGAAGAAGAAATTGAAAGACGCAGGTTTAAAAGAAAAATGCGTACTAGGTACCTCCAAAGATCCATTCCCGACTTCGAGTTTGTATCTAAATACAGACTCAGTCGGGAAGTCTTCGAGAATCTTTGTCAGTATGTGGTACGATTATTACCCCTGCCTAAAAATAGTTGAACAATCGATCCAATAACCAAAGTAAGATCTTATGTACATTTTGTAGATGAAAAAATTTAGTATTTACCTATTATTTAGTATTCCCATATCTATTTTTTTTTCAGATTCTCACTGCATTAAATTTTTATGCCAGTGGTAGCTACCAGGGTGCAGTCGGACAAAATTTAGACACCACTATGGCTCAGCAGTCTGTCTCAAACTGCATCAGGGATGTAACAGATGCCCTAAATACACCCTATATACTAAGGAAATATATAAGATTTCCTCAGTCCAGGGAAGACAGGAACATATTGAAGAGAAAGTAAGTTTATGTATATTAAATATGATTAAGATTTAACTTTATAGAATTTTATGCTCTTTGTCGATTTATAATACATATACTATTAATTTAGTTCAGTCAACTATTTGTAGCTGTAAATTTATAAATGATATTGTTGTTAATTTCAGGAATCAGCATAAGTTAATTGATGTTTAAATAATCAGTAGTTTATATTTCTTTTTCAGTTTTGCTACACAGTATGGTATACCTGGTGTTATAGGATGTATCGACAGCACCCATGTAGCTATAATTCGGCCAACAGTCAATGAAGAGAGATTTTTCAATAGAAAACATTACCACTCTTTAAATGTTCAAGTTGTAAGTGCAGTATTTTATGTAAAATTTGCATAGTGTATAAATAATTCTCAAGTTATTCATATTTGTCACTATCTGCAAATATCTTTATAATGTTTGTCCTATTTTTTAGATTGCTGACAGTAATTTAAAAATTATGAATATTGACGCCTCTTATGGTGGTGCCACTCATGATGCATTCATTTGGGAGCATAACGAGATCAAAGATCATTTGGAGAGTCTTCAAGGAGAAACAACTTATTTGCTGGGTAAATAAATCGTAATTGTTAACTTTGTAGTTGTACTACATATAAAATTGGTGAACAAACAAGAATACAATGTTTTGTCATTCCTTTTCATTATTAGGATGTCATAAAAGATGATTATAGATTGTATTTCAGTATTTTTTATGTTAAATATTATTAGCTGATATTATATTGAATAGTCTATAAGCTATCAAGTGCATTTATCAAATTCCAAGTCTCACTGTTAAGTATGTTTTCTTTTCTTTCAGGTATATAAAGATTAGAAGAGAGCCATACGTTCTATTTATGGTATGGGTTCGAGATAGTCATTATATCAAGGCTTTAAAGAATCAAATATCCTCACCGTTGCCTCACAGTACATTTATGAAATATTATGTATACAAGGAAAAACTTAGATAGTTTCAAGAAACTTAAAGACTGTACAAGTAGAAACTTATGCAATAAAAATATACTAATTTTACCTAAATGCTGTTAAAATTGATATTAAACAAATGTTATGTAAAAAAGCCTATTATAGGATAGATGAATTCATAGATGACAGCAATATAATAAGTTTATTTGAATAAATGATTTTCTATTCTATTCTATTAGAAGTTAAGGCATTACTTATTTACAAAATTAAAAACTTTTTACAATAAAATATTTTTATTTTATAATCACATATATGTAGGTATATATATATATAGATAAAAGTAAAATCAAAATTGTATATTAAACATTTTTTAAAATAACACTAATTATAAATGATTAAACATTCATTCAGAAAAATGTTGTATAAGTATATGCAAACTAAGTAGTGTAGTTCAAGGCGCATTAAATTAATGACCAGTAAAAAACTGTAGTTTAGTACTTTGTGTCTTTGTTAATACTTATATAAAGCTAAGTAACATTTTTATACTCATTATTTAACAAATCAACAAACTAACATAATTCAACAAATCAACAATGATATATATAAAGCTAAGTAACTTTTTTATACTCATTATTTAACAAATCAACAAACTAACAGAATTCAACAAATCAACAATGATATATCTAAAGCTAACTAACTTTTTTATACTCATTATTTAACAAATCAACAAACTAACGTAATTCAACAAATCAACAATGATATATCTAAAGCTAAGTAACTTTTTTTATACTCATTATTTAACAAATCAACAAACTAACACAAATCTACATTAATCATGTCAAATTTAAAAAAAAAACAAAATTTCATCTATTCAGTCGTCTTAATTCTATTTGTAGACCATCCAATCGATCCCTTATTAATACATTTAATTCCTGGAGTGATTGGCGAATCAGCCCTGACTCTACACTATCCACCCGTCGATCCTCCGCTGCGATTCGCCGCTCCTCCATTTCGAACAAACGCCTGCGTACACTGCGAGGTCCAATGGCGTCTGCTCGACGGCGTCGTCGCTCTGGACGTGTAGTAGCCGTTGAAGTTCTAAAAAAGTTTTTTTTAAAATAATGACTATCATTATTGTTTTCGGTATGCATGGTTGGTACTAATACCAGACTTGATGTCTAGGAATATACTAGTGATTAGGACTATAAGCCCCCATTACTAATAATCTTAATATTTACAGAAATATTTTCATATAACAATAATTTATTATGATATAAATTTTTTAATCAATAATAAGGTATAAGTAAGTGTTATTTATTAGTACTGTCTTATCTTTACTTCTTAGTTAACATTGAAAAACTGTGTATATATAAAAAGGTACCAACTCTGTCTCAACTCATATTTCTGCTATGAAGCAGCTGTTCTTGCATAGCTGTATTTCAGTTTGAAAGGTGGGAAAAGGCTATTTAGGTACCTTATATACAGAAATAAAAGGAATGGTAATGCATGAGGAATACTATGGAAGTCACCATGTATTTTGATGACATCCATTATGTTATATATGTCTAGAGATAACAGTTAGCACTATTTTAGTAATGGTTTTACAACATACCTCTGGAAATGCAGGAACATGTGCATCCGACTGAGGTTCTCCAAAGCCCTCTCCCATAATACCCAATATTCTGCACTGTATTGGGTTTAAAGGATCAGCAGATGATGGCCCTACCCCAGTGGCTGTGGCAGACCTTCGAGCAGCAGTAGCAGCTTTTTTAGTTAGATATTTTTTGTCAGCCCATACCTAAAATTTATAAAATTTATAAAGTATCAGTATTGGAAAATTTTATTTAATAACAAAATTATTTAACATTTTAAATGCATATCACGTACTAAAATATCAAGAAAAGTGCTTACCTTCTGCCACTGCTTTACAGTTTTAGTGCATCCACCCAATGCATTGAGTTCGTCTGTGAGACGAACCCATAATTGGGTGGATCTTGTTCGCCCTTCTGCATTTCTACAGTGGCCACGAGCTAACTCCTGGTGCTCTGCTAGGAATGTTAGGAGTGTATGCACTTGTTCCACAGTGGGATTACTCATCTAAATGCATAAATACATTTGTTAGCGCTTGTCATAAATAGAAACTAATAAATAAAATCAAAGTTATTAGATGTTCATTTTCATTGATGTTTAACGAACAAATTTAGCAATAAAAAATCATTTAAAAACACTTGTGATGATGATTCTTAAGTTTATATATAAAAAAATGAAAACAAAAATATTTGTATTACGCAGTACCGTTACTTTCAAATATAAATAGAGGTTTGACGTTTCCTTATGACATAAAATACTACTAATTTTAGAAGTTTGTAATTTCAATACATTTAAATATAAACGACTGTACATTTTATTTTATCCGGAGTATACCACTTTATTTTTTTCCTAATTTAAGAGTGTATAATAAAAGACCTCTCATCTTTCATTCGTTCACGATCATAGTCTATGGTACCCGTCCGAAATATCTTATTCCGAAGAAACTTCATGGTTCCTTTAAACTAGTATTTCGGTCGTCTTTCGTTTCGTTACGCGATAATCGGCAGTAACTTTCGTGGTAGACCTACTGTACGCGTAAAAATTTTGAGAAAATGTTCACGATTCAAATAAAATAATATTGCTTTTGATTGAATGCAAAAATTATGAAGAAGAAGAATAACATAGAATATTATAGTAACGTGAAGTGGTCACGTTACTATAATATTCTATGTTATTATTGTAGTATCAATTTTATTTAATTTACTGTTTTTTTGCCCCTAAATTTTGTATTTAATATACAAAGTTTATAGAGCTCTATGTATAAGATACCGTTAAGCTAAGGACATATATAAATGTCGTGTCTTAATTTAACCATATTTTTGTAGGAAGAGTCAATGATCAACCGGCTGAAAGCGGCATGCGGATATGAGTTCACCAACAAACTGCACAGGATGTTCACAGATGTGACAGTCTCTGCAGACCTCAATGCAAAGTTCCAACAGCATCTGAGAGACAACAATCTAACTACAAACACCGGCTTCTTCATACAGGTATGTACATATTTTTTGTTATTATTTATGTGACTTAATTGAATAAAAACACATTTATTGACTATGAATGTTAATTTTCCTCTACTGTCTTTTATGGTATAATTTTGACGATAACATATATGGTGTTCTGAATTTTTAATTATATTTCAACAATTTTTGAGATTCACAGAGCAAAACATTATGAGCTTCATGTCACCATGAGACACCTGTTAAACATTGTCATTCCGGATTACTCGAAATGGCGGACGGATGACGTCTCTGAAACCTGTAATTTCACAGTATTAGTGCGATTGGTAACTGAAATAGGTCAGACAGGGGTGGGTGTCCTTGCAGATAACTTTGGCTAACTCTGTTTCCTGAGTTGTGGTGGCCTGTGCCGGCAGGTGCTGCAGGCGGGCGCGTGGCCGCTGGGCGGCGCGATGGCCCCGCTGGCGCCGCCCGCGCAGCTGGAGCGGCCCGCGCGGCTGTTCGAGGCCTTCTACCGCGCCTCCTTCAGCGGACGCCGCCTCGCCTGGCTGCACCACCTGTGCACCGGCGAGCTGCGCACGCGCTACACCGCCCGCGTCTACCACGTCAGCGCCACCACGCCGCAGGTGACGCCCCCACTGTCCGATACCACCGCCGCCTCGCCTGGCTGCACCACCTGTGCACCGGCGAACTCCATCAGAGAACGTCGCCTTTATTGCCTGATATGAACGTGAACTTTACTGTCTGTAGTACAGCTCATCTGACTAAACCAGAATCCTACCTCTGTACTCTGCAATTTCACACCCATATTACCCTTTAAACTATAATATATTACACAAACTACCGAAGTCGAATTGGACGGTAAGGATAGTTAAAAAAAATTAAGATGTATGCAAAAAGCGGGAAAGTCGCATTTGAATAAATGTTTTTAAGTTTAAATATGAAAAATGATTTCAATTAAACTACGTCAGAATAACACACATAGACTATAAGTTTCACGCGGGCGAGTCCACGGCTTCAGCTAGTATATTTTATATTAATATATTGTCTTCATGTACAGCCGCGAGCACAACTAGTATATTAATATTAATATTGTCTTCGTGTATAGTGCGCGCTGCTGCTGTGCTTCGAATCGGTGGACAGCGCACCAGCTCGGGAGCTGCGCGAGTCGTTGCAGCTGGAAGGCGACGCTTGGCCGCGACACGTCCGACCATTGATCGACGCCGGACTGCTCCTCGTAGACGCGGACGACCAGCCCCCGACCACGGAGGAGGACGATGGCCCTCACGGCACCCTGACCCTCAACCTGAATTTCTCTTGTAAAAGAACGAAAGTCAGACTCACGTGTGCGAATGCGCCCGTACAGCAAGGTGAGTTACATTTTTAGTGATTACGTCCTACGGCCTCGGTGATTAACCGCTAAAGCACGTCGCCTTACTTCCGATGGTAGCGGGTTCGATTCCTCGCACGATATAACATGTATTCATGAGTATGATTGTTTATTGAAGGCTTTTTTGTGTATATCTACTACTAATGCTATTTTAGCATAAATATCAAACATGAAAACACTGTTAGTGTACCACTGCTTAGTAATAATCCACTCACTGACCTATCGTTGCTTAACCTCATTAATCGAGACAGTTATGTATCATTAATAATACCTGTAATGTGTCAATTAATGCTGTATACTAATAATAATAATATACTATACATAAAATAAAATAATATACTAAAAAACTTGACGTTCTTGAGCGGCTATAATGTCCTGTATAAATAAATGTTTTTTTGATTTGATTTAACAGGCGGCAATGGAGGAGGCGGTGCGACAGGGGAGGGACACGAGGTGACACACTGTGATGATGACCGCAAGATGTACTTACAAGCCGCTCTCGTCAGGATCATGAAACAGAGAAAGGTGATGACTGATACTTCATTTGTTATTTTTTTAATTTGTTTTAAATACACAACATAATTATGTAGACAACACCAAATAAAAGATAAAAATCGCTGTGTACAATAATATGTAAATTATAAATGTAATATATATATAATACATATTTTTAAATTGATTTATTTAATTCAGGTTGCTAATTACCCATATTATAAATACCTTACAGACTAACATACATATGAAATAATAATCAAACACAATTGTCTGTGTCACTTGCATTATGTTATTATTGTACTTGTTTAATTTGTTTCTTGTCAATTAACAGGTACTCAGGCATACAGAATTGATACAAGAAGTGGTCTCGCAAGCTCGCGGCTCGTTCGCTCCGTCAGTAGCCATGATAAAGAAATGTATCGAAGCTCTTATCGACAAACAATACTTAGAACGCGCGCCTGGTACATTGGACACGTATTCGTACCTAGCGTAAACAAACTCGAACGCGATGACATTGCAATTTTTTGCATCGCTATATGGAACACTGCAAACAATTATATTACTGGATAAATGTTGCAACTAATTTCAACGCTGTACAGTCGAAACATGATTGCATTATGTAATACAATGATAAGAATGCAACCTATCGCATGCTATATACGTATACTTTTTCAACAAGTTGTATTGTTGCAGAAATCGATTGGGTTGAGATCAATTGTATCGTTATATAGATCAATACAAATATATATAACCATTGCATCGCTGTGTACTGTATCTTTATTATAGAGGATTGCGTTATTCAATATACAAATATATATATATATATATATATATATCGCGTCACGATGTTTTGGATAAATTCCCAATTTATTTGTCAAATTTTTAGGTTCATTGTTACGTAATTTGGTATAACTTAAAATATATAATACTTTTTATTGACTTCAATATTAGAACTACTGTCGCAATGAATGTGCGGGTTAGCCAGTTGTATGGAACTATCAAAAACTGACTAAATGACTAAAGCAATGTACAAATTTTTAAAATCGAGTTTCAAATTTAATTTTTTAATGTCAGTTAACATATTTGTATACAAGCATATACACTAGTATATAAAAGTACAAATTGACAAACTAAATCTTGAAGCAATGGAATAAAGCATAATATATATAAATAACCCATTGACGGAACACAATATACAAAGCAAGCTGTCTGACGGATAAAGTAGGAGTTACTCATGTAGACCATTTTGACGAATCTCAGAATAAGAGGCATGATATTTTAGTCCTTTAGAGAAAGTACGCGTTAGCGTGCGTTACAGGTATTGCGTGACAACGTGATGTCCGTCCGTAGTTCTGTTCATGCTTATAGGTGATTATCGCTTGATGTGATGATGATGATGATGATATGATGGTAACATCCAATTACATAAAAACGGTCTGTATTGGTATTTTAATGTATTCAAGCAGACTCTTGTGTGGTGTTGAGGATAGAAAGGAGCGTTAATATATGTATCTTTGTTTATTTCATCATCCGTCATCTAGAGTAGCAATAAACCATATACAAAGGATTCAAACCTTTTGCTATGTAACCGATGACGCTACATAAGAGAAAAATTAACCTAGACATTTCATAACGAAACAAACATATATTTATCCATTTTTTCTTGTCTCTATTTGATGATTTACTATTTTTATAATAACAAAATTCAGTAATTATTACTTTAATTGTTTAACATTCCGTTCGTCGATATCAAAGCAATTCTGTAAATTTATAATATAATTTCAATAATTTCTAATTATATATATTATAATTCATTGTGGGTTTTTTCTGGAAATGATGTAAATTACTGTGATTAAAACTATATGTGATAACCCGAAACCTAATCGCCAATAATAAATTTACCCCCGAAAGTGATCTTAATTTTATACCTTTTTATATTTCAATTTATAACTATTCATGCCGCAGTCATCACGCCTGTCTTCCATTAGGGGTAGGCAGTAATAATAATAATGCTCCTAATAATACAAAACTCAGTTAGCTTGCTGGACATATTCTTTTAATAAATTAATACAGGTATTAGTGTTTCTTTGGATGTATGCGATGCAAATGGATGTTGAAATGATGCAATATTATTGCAACTTGTATCATGTTGCGAATAAATTAGTTACTACGGTACGACGACGGTAATATCTCTGCAACAGATTATGTAAAGTTAGATTTATGTTTACTAATATTGTCACAGATTATATAACATTTTGTTTCGTAATATATAATTTTAACTTTGCGATGTTTTTATTTTCTTCCATTAATCCTTATACGTTTTTTCATTACACTTATAAGTAGGCAATACAATGAGGCAGACTGTTTCACGAAACTTGTTTTTAGAAGATATATAGGTAAACAAATTCATATCTTTCTTTCCGCTTTGTTAATCCTCTAGTCGCGACTGAGTGGCCTGTAGACAAGTATACCTTAGTTGCAATGAAGAATGTAAATAAATGAGTTCCTTCAGGAGGTATTTTTTTTCGGACTACTCTAATGCTGTTGGCTGCAGCCTTTACAGCTTCACTGGACGATAAGGGACGAATGCAGACTTTAAACCCGCAGGACTTATGGAGCAGTTGAAGGCCAACTCCCGCATAACGGATACGACTTTAATCTAAGTCTTTATTCAAGTACCGCTAGAGGTTTGAACCTCGGCTCAGGCCGTCGTAATTTCGATCCCCATTTGAATTGGACGGGGGATTGATTGCATGTTTATCATTTCGGTAACTTGTCAAGAATAATCAGATTTTTATTCTTGACAAAACGAGCCGACCCAAAAAAAACTTAGTGGATGATAATTGTCCATCCACATGCGCTAACGGTATACGCTTGCCAGTCATTAGTGTATAATAGGAGATGAGGATGAAGTCAGGTTAATTAGTGAATTAAGCATTATGTAGAACCAGACAATACTGACAATGGGCTGTGATTCACCCATTTTGATAACGAAGCTAGTTGGTTTAAAAGTTTGTATTCATACATTTCAACTTAAAAAATGTAAAGGTATAATTAAATTTTTTAAAAGAGCAACACACATGGTTATTGCTCGTTCTTCTCGAATGAGCGCTAGATAAAAAAAATAAGTACTGACTATTCAAAAGTCCTTCAATATGTTTTTTATTGTTCAATATGTTATTTGTATAAATAAATTTCTATTTAACCCACGCTGATGTGTTTGCAAAAAAATATATGTTTTATCAGCAACTATAGATATATTTGCCAATATCTACTACGTATTTATAGTTCGAGTACAATGTTCAACACGTTTCATAATGAGAAATTACATAAAATTTCGCGCTATCTTTCCACGAATCGTGCGTTATAAAGGCTAAAGGGTAAGATAGTTAGCGCAATGTAATCTCTGATACAATAGACACAACACCTTACTTGGAAATGACGATGCATGAGAGGTGGATGAAGGTTTTCTTCGTGTCCATATGGGGACCCACTTTCCTTTTCGGCAATGTGAGCCATTTATGGATGCTCGCAATTCTATGGTGTTTTATAATCAATATATTTCCAAAAAAGTCTTATTCTAAAGTGGTCACGATTTTCATTGAAAAATATATTTCAGTCGCTGTTTAAGAACAGACTACAAGAACATGATGGTTGAATAAGTTAGTTCTACAGATTTTCGCTAGTAAGTCCGTTAGGGTTTTTACATCCTTTCTCCATCTCCGTATTTTCCGCAATCAGCCTCTCATTTGGACGTTGTACGTGTAGAGGCGAGACTACTAAACTAACCGGTTAAGCATCTCCCAAAAGCGCAGAAGTCTCCTGGTGTCTTAAGCCTTTGGGCATAGGTAACGAAGCGACTTCACCGTTCCGAGGATTTGTGTGCGTTGTGTGGCCGTTGCTACGCACTCCAGGATTATTTGAGCAGCTCTTTCTTCAGCCTGTCTGTAGCATTTAATATGTAGGTACAGGTGTTCTTTTAAGGGACAGTGGCCCGTTATTGTCCCTATCATTATTTTGCGGTTTAGCCTATTTAAGTTGAGTAGTTCGGCGTTTTGTCAATCAATGGTTTATTATTGTAATTGCCATTTTTTATTGGTCTGTTTCCATCTTTGGTTTTGCTTTTGTATTTCGATCTGGCGAATCCAGGTTCGAAGTTGCGAGAAGGGTGCTAATAAAGATGGGGGGGGGGAGGGGGCTACTACCGCCATACCAGATTCTCTTCTCGCCGTCTCAGTCTCATCCCTGATATCTTTTTGTTTCAATCGAACTCATTGATACGTTGATATGATAGATACTCATACGATGCCATTCCAGAGAAGTAAGAGATATCATGACTCTTTGCCTGAAATATTACACATAGTAGTAATTAATTGAGAGATCTCAACATTCGTGCATAACAAAATATAATTTCTTGCAAAATTATATTGCCCATCTATTTCTAGGTATTGAATGTGTTGATAGTTTCTTTTTGTACTAACATGATGTTGAAAGAACATATCACCACAGTTTTGCTTGATAAGAAGCTAAATATATGCCAAACACTTTGCAAAGGCAACCATATTCTGAGACAACATGAAGGCTTTCATTCTCTTTTGTTCTGTGGTGACACTTGTGCAGGTTTGTTTTTTGTATTAAATTTATTGAATATTAAATTTATTTATTACTGTGTCACAAAGTTAGACTCCTCGAAAAGACTTAAATTTTTTGTGCCCAAGATTGCTTTTAAGGGGTAGAATAACCGCCTATATATATATTAAATTAGTGATACATTTGTATATATAGCCTGTGCTTGTATTTTAGTCTTTGATTTTACTATAAAAAAACTATAAATAGAAAGGAAGTGCTACAAATGGTCCAATACTAAGAATTCTTGTTAATTGTTACAGCAAGTCTACACGTTTTGCCCGTTAGCACCGCCTCCTGTTCCTCTTGTTTTACCCGCGCCGGCACCCCTGCCTACATATGCTGCACCCGCTCCGGCCTACCCTGCATATCCTGCACCTCTGCCCCCATGTGCCGCGCCACCTGTCCCAATAACGTATGCTCCCGCACCGTTGCCTGCAGTAATTGAACCAGTAGTAGCACCATCTTACCCATTACCACTACCCGCACTTCCTGCTCCACCGGCGTATGCTCTTCCACCTGCTGCTCCAGCTTATTTCCCACCGCCTCCAGCTTTCACAGAATGTATTCCTCTCCCAGCTCCTGCAATTGAAATACTGCCCGCACCATTACCAGCCCCCTTACCTGTTTATGCTCCTCCTGCGCCATTGCCTTTGCCTGCGTACCCTGCTCCAATGCCCGCGTATGCCCCACTGCCGGCTCCTTTACCCGCCCTTCCACCCCTATGTCCTCCTGTGCCTGCTCCATTGCCCTACCCTACCCCATTGCCCGTATTGCCTGCTCCATACCCCGCCCCATTACCTTTCTGTCCCCCAGCACCACCGGCAGTAGAGATACTACCCGCTCCACTGCCGGCGCCCTGTCCTGGTTACCCATATGCTCCTGTCCCTGAATACCCAGTGGCTCCTGTAACCCCCACAGCAGTTTATTACGCATAAATATTAATGTATAATAAATTAAAGAGTCAAATGTTTTTGCTGTTTTTTATTTAATGCAGTTGTGATTTAATATTTGTTACCATTCACCGCCATTATATTCTGCGAAATGCTGTTAGTCTGTTACCATTCATTACGACAATAGTCACGTGGATAGACATATCGTCTTTATTAATCAAATATAATTTTATGTAGTTGACTATATATAAAGTACAATAAAACACAAATAAAGTAATAATATCGTATAATAAAAACCTTTGGTTACAGAATCTAAAAAGTATTTAAATTCTAAACAATTTTTGACCGACATGTAATTGTTCCGGTCGCCGTTTGCGAACAAACGCACGGACATCCACGTGCCGTAACATAGATACCCACAACCAACTAAACTACAACATTATTTATCACTTTCGTATGAAATACCTTCTGCAAGCAAAGCCTATGGGTGAAAACATAAAAAAAAATGTACAGACAGCTAACGGCGGCTAACGCCATGAATTATAGAAATAGAATAAGACGAGATTACATTTTACAGAATAATGTCTATTATATAATTTTATATTAAATTAATTTTTATATGTGACTATAAATGAGGTAGATAAATTTTTATTCTAAATATTGATTATTTTTGACAATTATACATAAATCTAAATAATTTAGAGTACCAAAACATTAAAATTAATTACTTTGCGACGCATAAGGCATTTCGTACGAAGTTGTAATGCTTTTAATAAAAAAAAATCAATAAAACTGCTGACTCCACCGTATTGAAATTAGAACAACTTGTAAGCTAAATATTGCTGTTAAAATACAATCTACCCTGAAAATATTCCATAAATTTTACATTATTGACGTTTAGAAATATAATTTATCGTTAATGAATTAACATATTTCCTTAATATGTATATTCCAATCTGAACGAAATATTCACAAATATTTTTCTGCAATCTTAAGCGTAATAAAATAATATTTCTAAACGGTTCAGTAGCAAAAATAATTTTACGAAATATTAGATGGAACATAAAACAATGAAAACATTGAATAAATTTTTGATGACATTGCAATATTTCTAAACAATAAACTTTTTTTACAACATAGACAACAATTATTATCTATCAGAATTCAGATAGATAAATTCCTTTAAGGACTAATGATAATTGTAATCATATATCAAACACAATTTATTCTTGGCCTTCTAAAAATATTTTCAGCAGATCGTAATAGTTCTTTTTAAGATTCCAATAGAATACAGTGAATTGCATTGCCCCTTAAATCTAATACCACAGTTATCACATAACCAGTTGGTTTCGTTAGAACATAGACTACAAAACTTTTGACTAGATTTATATTATATGTGAGATTCTAAACTACAGATCGCGGAAACTATATGTACACAAATTAACAGATTAAAGTATAATGTAAAGGACTCATACTACGAGTTCTACAGAGTTGAACTCGCTTATATAATAAAGTTATATAATATAGCTTTATTATATAAGCGATTTATATAATAAAGCCCTGGTTCGCTGGTATTCTAAAGTTTTGACATAATAATATTACAGCCAAGTGGTATGGAATCCAAATGTTTGAAATTCCTTCCGTTTTGGTAGACATGTCCAATTTCGACACCAACTCGATTCAAGATCAAACTGTGGCTTTATATTCACAAATATAACAAATTTAAAATCCTTACTTACTATTTGGCCCAATTATTGCACTAAAACTAACAATGGCTATATATGACACAAATTTCTTATTACATTCTACGTTTTGCCAACAGACAAAATAAAAGAACAGCACGTGACAATGCGCGATTGCATTTCACTTGTACGCAATTGAAGAACATAGTGCATATTGTGTACTGCTATATTTCTCGATTTATATTGAACTATAGTCGTGTTCAAATGTACGCATTGCTTTGCTCGAGCCGAATACTTGAAAACTATATGAAAAATAAGTGTTTTGTTAGTATTGACAAGAATTTATAGCGCTATATGTATAGTAATTAACATGTGAATATATACTTTAGTAACTTAGAGCATTTAACTAGGAGGCACTATTTGATAAATAGAGTCAATATTAATTACTAGGTACCGCATATCGATAAATTCTTATGTAATTACTTCGATAAATATTACGTTACTTGATAAACATTACTTTATTCCGTGCACTTGACACTTGACAGCATGCACAAATAAACGTGTATCCAAACTACACTTAAGCTATTGTTTTTAATTATATCATAGAATCATATAAGTGTAAATAGTGTATAAAATTGTATTGCTAAAAATTCAAAGGATTGTTATAAATAATGTATACAAATATTTTAGAGAGATAAATATTCTTTGCTCATGATAAACTACTACTTAATCGCCTCCTATATTCAATGTTCTAAGTTAATATCTATTTGAGCAATAAAATTTGGTACATACTTTTTTTTGAACATAACAACCACCAGCTAACAAATATGAAGGTATTTGCGGACGACACAATTTGGCACTCGATCAGTAAGGTTGATCTCCAGAGAAGCTTATTTATACAATTAGTCGAACCGACATTTAATGTTTGTTATAAATAAACTAGATCGGATATATATACCAACAAATCAGGTTTGATTAGCTAGATATCAAACCTGATTTGTTGGTATATATCATATATTGAATGGTATATATCATATACTGAATTGTTGGTGTATATATCATATCAGTGTGGCATGGGCGCCATGGCCGACCGATTCAGTGCCAAATCTTGTGGTCGTTTAAACACTTATTTTTGCCAGTACTTGGTAAAATGAAATCTCCACATTTTTACGGTTCCCGACCAAGTATAGACATCTGTTCATCCATATCAAATAGCAAGGACGGAGTGTCTTAAATTAAGTGCCTCGTAAGTAAAAAAAATAAATAAACCGTATTACTCTTATGAACTGTATTCACTCCACGTCTATACCGCGACTCCCGTTGTTGTAACAACGGTTAGCCGCAGCGCGAATTACTATTATAGCGCGGTGTGAATGACGCCTGTCTTTTGTATCTACAATACAAAAGTATGTTATAGATTATTACCTATTGATATCGAAATAAAATTGTTGACAATAGTTATCAGTCAATAATAATGACAACTTTTAGAAGACAAATACAGAACCCAATAATAAGTATTATATATATATATTAGATTTTAATGTCAAAAATTCAACAAAATCCTGAAACAAGACTAAGACATAGTCGAGACAAGACTGTCCATTATATATTATACATAATTATACATACACTGCATTATTATATCCAATCTAATAATATAGCAGTAGTATTTGTTTAGTACAAATTCGAAAAATATTTAATTTATATACGAATAAATTATTATATATAAATACAGTACAAATAGTAAATTGATAAATCATATCCTTTTAATGGAATAAAAGGTGTTATCAAGATTAAAATAATATATCTCTTGGATTTTTACAAGTTTCGTTTTATGTAATATTTGTAACTAGTATGGCCATTAATATAAATAATAGTAATATTGTATAAACGATTGAGAACAGATTGAGAAATCAAGAAACAAGTATTGTATATTTTAATCTGAATCAAAAGTTTAAGATAAAGGCTGAAACCCATACAATAATTTCCTGTTATTTTTAAAGTTATGTATTAATAATTAACTGCAAATTGATTAATTTTAAAACAGATCCATGGGCATCTTATTTTATATGAGAAATTATTATAAAATTATTGATAACAATATAAATATAAACTAAAAATAAAGGTAGATGTGATGTTAATTTTATAATTATATATTTTTCTATTATGATTACTTATACTTATATAATTATTTGAGGAAAGCCAATGGATAAATGGATTATCTCAAAATGTAACAAATTCTATTAATTGTGATATATTGTATACGATAATATAATTATTATATATACTATATTAATATACATGTTAGAATTATTAGCAGATGAATTTGAGAAAATTGCAAATAACCCAAGAGATCTCGACCTTTCCATTTTGTAGCTTTCCATTTAACCTGGCGGCCAGCCCATCTGTCTTCCACCAATTACGTGTATATGCAGGTGATACACTGACTGGGCACCGTCACGGCCATTGTTGATCACCAACCTCCAGCCCGATGGTGCACGTTGAGCACCAAGAGTTCTCGCCACCAGCATCAGATGTCCGAGGAGCTGTGAATGCCACATTATCAATATATTTTTATATCTTAATAAAAACAGAACCGAACAAATTTGTTTATAGTCTGGAAGACTGATTGGACGATGTTATTTAAAAAAAAAACCGAGGTAGACTTGCATAACGGCCCAGGCGAGAGAGTGGTACGAGCAGTGCGAGATAGCCAAATGTGAACAATAGAAGTCATATTACATTACATTATTACCAAGGTAAATTATATAAAGTTGTCTGCGAGGCTGCCTCATTTATTTCAACTGTTAAACAGTTTGTTTTCTAAGACTTGTTATGGTCGAAATGTGAGATATGGCAGTGAAATTAGAGTAATGTCATGACTCTAATTTACCTCTGGAATAGCATAGCACAAGTGGTATTATTTATATTTTACATACAATATTTCTGGCGTTGTCGGGGCAAATATAGCTCATGTCGCTTGTGGATAGGGTAGGTATTACCTATTCTATAGAAGTAAGATCTTTTAAAAACAATTCTATTGTATAACAATAAATGTGTTTGTCATTGTTTTTTTTATTGTTACCCTCACAATCATAGTTTTTTTATCCAATAATATGTAGGGTACAAAATATAGTTCAATTGTGTAGGTAACTATATGAACATTCACATTAAAACATGATTCTTATGTAGCTTTTAATCCATAATATATTCAATAAAACATTTAGTTTATCCATAACAAGCAAATAATATAGCCTCATCAGTAATCTAATTTGCCTGTAAGATAAGCTTTCCGGATTTGCAATATTAATATAATATCACATATTAATTACACAGCCAATTCCATCTATTACACATACAGGCTAAGGAATTCAGGCACGGCTTCTTATCAGTGTCGTGTTATCGTTCAGTCAACAATTGCATTCCAGGTCTTTTAGTCAATGATAATTACTATTCTTATCTACTGATATCTCTAGCTATATTATGGAATTTTTGTCTATTAATGTCAGCCATATGGAGCAATATTAGAAATAATGCTTTATTAAATTTATAAGTAGATATACTCTTATTACTTATACTAAATTAACTTATATATGTCTGCATATATAAGTTAATATATATTACATTATGACATGTACTATTTATTAACCTATTTCTACCACTCCATTATTCCTCTCAGTCATTCCAAGGTTGACTGGATGGAATCCCTCTGTTGGGATAAGTCGCCTCTTGTATGCATTTATTCTATAAGTAAATTGTGCCCTTTTATACATAATTTATTGTACAATAAAGTATAACAAACAAACTACAATACTTCTTTCAATAATTATAGTATGATGGATCAAAATGTATAAGAATATTATATACTTATATTTTTATAAAAAGATATATTGATTATAATTCCTTTAGTTAGATCATAGCAACAAACTTATATATATCACTTATTTCTTTTTCTTCAGTCGTAACTCAGAAATAATATAATAATAATAATTTGTTATGTCTATATATTGTTGCTTTCAGGTAATTCTATATTACCTAAAAGCAACTGTACATAACAAATACATGAAATTGTAATATAAACTAGAGGTAAAAATTTTAAAAGACCTCAAGGAAGAGGTTCTCAATTTAATTGTAATTTTCAACCAATTATTAAGAACAAGAGTTTTCTATTCCACCAGTTTATGTGTACATGGACATCAACTCCACTTTACACAGCCAACAATTTATTCAGTAGTCTAATATTGTCTGTTATTCTATCATGTTGCAGTAAAAGTTGAAATAGTTATTTTATAATAGTCACAAATTTTGAAATGACTTAAATGTTTACTTTACTTATACTGTTTGTATGCTGTCCTGTCAAGTAAAGTAATTGTGTTTCCAAACTTGCTATTAAAACATTGGTACTATATTGTGAGTTTGAGTACTGGGTCCAACATCTTGATTCAAACTATCATGTCATCATCATAATTATGTATTTACTTTTACATTACCTACATGACATTATCTTTTACATCAACAAACATATTTGGCTATTTTCATATTTATTAATCTCCTCATGCCAGCCAAAATCATAATTGGTGGAAACTATTTTATATTATATATATCTACAATTTTATAGTAATTGTTTCATTAATATATTACATTAGTCTGCAAAATATTTGCAATATACCAGTGCCTTTTTTGCTTGTCTCATCATCATTCTTCCTTATTTATAATAATGATACATAAATATATGTACACTGTATACACAGAATATGAAGTTAGATTGGTGTCAATTATTAACTAACTTTATAGGAATAATTATAATAAGTTCTTGGGAGAATATATTTTTTTCCTTAAATGGCAAAATAAAATTTGTAATATATTTCACAGCACTATTTCTTCATTAAGATTTTTTCTGTGTATTAGTTTTTGTAAATTATATTTATTTGTTTTCAGAAACTGAATTACACATTAAAATTACTTTGTTACTGGAACTGGTATATATAAAAATACCATTTTAGGTTCAGTAAGGTATCAATGTTTATTGAATCATACTTATGAAAATAAAAATATGTTAGATGTTTGCAGACAAATATATACTTCTACCAGAGGTAAATTTATTGTATGCCTTCTTAAAATTAGGCCTAATTTTATATTCATAGAAGTTTTTTAAATATATTAACCAGTCAGTGAGTGTATAAGGGTGTATTTTTTATTAGTGGTCATTCTATACTTACTTCCTTATCAGTATCTTCAGCATCCTCTAATCTCCTTATCCTACGTTTGGGAATGACTAAAAAATGTACAGGCGCTTGTGGCGAGACATCAGTGAAAGCTAAACACATATCATCTTCGTATATTATATCAGCTTTTATTTCTTTTGAAATAATTTTATCGAAAATCGTGGGTCCCGGAGCAGCTACACTCTGCGCCTGAGCACGCCGCACTTCATCACTGTAAGGTCTTCGAACAGCTATGGCCGAACCACGAGACAAGTCGTAAATGTTAGTCGGATAAGATTTTTTTATACGGAATTTCAAAGCACGTTGGATCACTTTATTAAACATTTTTAATAAAATCTAATTCTTGTGCAGCTCCTACGCATTGTAAAATAAATTTGGGGTTTTTGACATATACAAGAATTGACAATGACATAAAGCAAGGAGTGACACATGACATTTATGGTGTTGCCAGTAGTCTCAAATGGTTTGCTGGTTTTCTATAATAGCATTTTATAATATTATATATATATATAATACTATAATATCCTATTCTACCTGTGATATCTGGTTCTTAATCAACTTTATCTTAGCACAATATTCTGCTATTTTATTGTGTAAATATTAATTATGGTCCAATGGTTTAGCAAACTGCCTTACTTCCGATGGCCGCAGGTTCGATTCATTGTACGGCACAACCATTTGTATTCAAGAGTAAGATTGTTTGTATTGGTCTGCGTGTTTTCGATTTACAATATATATTTTTACCAAAAAAATCTATATCCATATTTGTATAAGGTATCAGGTGCCCAAATAGAAAGAAAGAAGCTTTAGCTAGCTTAACTCTAGATGGCGCTGTGTGAATTGTTGAGATTATTATTTAAAAAAAAAGTGAATCGTTTGTATAAAATGTTTGTAATGGTGCAGCTATCGGCGATATAAGATAATAGTCCTATTTAATTGGGGTACCAACTGCTCCATAAGAATAATTATGTATGTATATCATTATGTACATTAACATTTGATGACACATCATGCGCTGCCAAGCCGGAGGACTAAAGTGTCATGTCTCTGTATCCTGTAATTTCATTGCCACACGGTGTGGGCCACAAATATCTCATTCTTCTCATTCTCAACACATCCTACAAAGTAAGTAGCTGTGATTTAAATAGGCGACATCCTCAATAAATTTTTGTGCACGTCCAATATAGTTACATATGTGTGAAATCAATCGCTTCAAGGACCTGTCTATTATAATTAAAAAAATACAAAGTGAGATAAGGTTGCAACATTTACAACTTTGTCTCACTTTTTTTTATTATTGACTTCCCGCAACAACGTCCGCGTGGAATTTAACTTTACTTTTCTAAATTAAAACTAGCCTAAGTTACATCAGCTACCTGCAAAAAGAATCCCGTCAAAATCAGTCCAGGCATTTCAGATATTAGCCGGACAAACACACAGACAGTCAAAAATTGTAGAAAATGTTATTTTGGTATATGTATAGTATTTATATTCATGTGCATGTAGTAAAAAACGGTTATTTGAATATTACAAACAGACACTCCAATTTTATTTATATGTATAGAAGTATAGACAATGGAATGGTGCACCCGCCGGCGCTATCGGTTTACGCCGGCGAGGCACCAGTGGAGGATGATAAGATGAGTATGAGGTCAGGTGAGTTAGCCCATTGTGACAAATTCACCAAGAATTTATCATGATGGTTTCCAGGGGGAACCGCATTGAGGTCAACCTGACATGGTACATTGCTAGTAATGGGGTCATGAGTCCACATTACTAACAATGCCCTGTCCCCCCACCTTGTCTCACTTGTCGCTCTGTTATATACAGAGCGACAAGTGCCAAGTGACAGTAGTGTGCTCTGGCTGAATATTTTCCCCATAGCAATGGAGATGGGATGGGAATATTTGGGATATTTAGGATCCGGACATATCAGTACTATCTCTATATTGTTTATCTCTATCATTAGGTATATATATCAATCTCGATATACCTAGTTATGTAGTTATGATTTCGAAAAATCAACAATACAAGAAACTGGTAGATAAAAATAAAACAAATGACAGTCACTTATTTGATAAAACATTTTAATATACAACTAGTTTTATGTTTAGAATTTCATTTAACTTACTACTTAAGTTCATACATAAGATACGGTAAACCTTCACTGATGAATAGATACAGGTAAAAAAAAATACTTCTAGAAATTTTAATACAGGTAGGTAGGTAGGTATATACTATTGGTAGTAGGTACCTACTATTGGTAGTAGGTACCTACTATTGCGAAAAAACCTTGCTTTAGAAATAATGTACATGTCCAACATGTTTTAATTAACTTACATATTTTTGTTTCCAAAATATTAATTCATTAATTCATTCATAATTTTAGAGCCGCGCTCTTTATTGTGATAAAAAATTGTACCTTGTGTATTTAGTTAGTACCATATGTCGATGCTACTAATGCTATGTACAACTATTAAGGTAAATAGGTTAAAAAAATGTATCTAAAAACTTGTCCTAGACGCATAGCTGTCTATTAAAATAGGTACCTACCTAGTTGATTATTGTACCAAATGATTATATAATAACCATAAAGTAGACCAATACTTTACTTTTTTTTATTGACACGCGGTAAAACTTGCCATAATAATCAATTTTATACTTTATTTTATCGTCCACGGAACAGTGAACTTAAAATTATATTCTATATTATTAACTATATCTGCTTTCTGTTTGTAACAAACACCCTCTGCTAGCAATTATTTTTATATGGTTCAATTTTACGGGCATATTCATTTATTACATATTATCAGATGAATAAAAATAATTAAAAGAAAATTAAATAGAGGTTGATTAAATTTTTGGCTCTAACAATATGTGACATCACTGGAAACGTGGTATTGGTAAAGTGTTTTTCACTTTTTACTTATTGAATCTTTGTACCTTTTGTCTTAGTGATTTAATAAATACCTATCTCTATACTATACTCATGTCATAACTATACTAATAAAATATACCCTGGAAGCGCTTGATAGAGTCTTAAACTCAACACTGAATCATTTATTGCAACCCTAACGTGCATTACTTATTTCATTACACAACAAAAATTGGCATAATAAAATCTACACCAACTTTCGACTCCAATTAAAAGGGTATCTATTGAATATACTAAGTATAAATTTCATGCTCCCATACACCAAGTCATGTATTGTATTATTTTGTAAGGCGAATCTCATAAGCAGTCCCATCAATAGAAGAGTCACACTGGTGTGAAGGTAAAACATTCTGAAAAGAAAATTAAACACTTGCATGAGTCTTGTTACAAAAAGAGGATCCTCTTTTGGTATGGGATTATATGCAAATTGAAAACTAATAATAGTTATATTGTATTGGCCCCATAATATACTGAAAGAAGAAGAGTCTTAAGAGAATTGGACACACAATAAAATTATTTATATACACACAAAAAAAAATATAATGTAGGTTTCCTTTAGTATTCGTTCTATCTCTATACAGAAACCTTGCGTCACCGCTCACCCAAGTATGATAGTAATACTTTCAATTAAAGTTTTCCGTAAATAATTAAATATTGTTCTATACAAAGTTGTCAAAGGTGAACATTACAACATCGCCAAAAAAATACACAGATAACTTACCGTTTTAAATGTTGTCTTGCCTCCCCTAAGTCTTGATCTTTCTCCTTAAGGAGGTACTTCCTCACACCTTTCGCGAAATTTAGGTAGAGTTCATCCCAGCTAGAAATTAATATAAGTATTTGATTACTGCAGTTTGAACGCGTTTCGTTTGTTGGCTACAACAACAATTTTAAGTAATTAATCCGAAATATTTAAAAGCTTTCCCTCATAATTGTTATCTGCGTGAAATCGAATAAAAAATATGAGTATCTTGGATCTTCTCTTCTCTTTATCATCTACTTGTGTACAAAATTTCAATCGAATCTATGCTGAAGGTTTTGAATGAAAGAGTAAAACTTATCGCTGGGCGAATTAATTGGACCTGACATCTTCACGCTGAATCCATGGTTAGTTATGTAAGAATAGGATAACTCACCTGAAACTTTTCGGATCCAAGTTATATATGGCGGCGTCCTGAGGCGTAAGTCTTGCGCGAAGTTTTTGTACATTCGTGTTTACGAATCGCCATTCCCGCAGAGCAAAGAAATTTAAAACACTATTCATTGCTCGTAATCGACGGCTGACAGTGATTAGACTTAACCTGAAATAAAACAGTCAAGTGTGTTTACTTATTTATGAAACGAAATTATTAAGTAATATAAAAATATACGTATACATAGATGAACTGTAAGCTATTTAAGTATACAAGTGTTTTTAATTAGTTGAGGTGTTTGAGCTATCGACTATTACTCGGTGCTAAAGAGAACTGTAGCACTGCAACCTGAATAAATCTATAGTGCTTGCCCTTGTTTAACCATATTAATTAAATGAAATTTCCAAACTCTTTGTACAATATCGTGTACGTAGGGGTAAAAAATTTAGAAAAATTACTTCCTCCAGAGATTTTTTTATTAATTTTAAATACGGCATCTACTATTTTTAATTACTTTATCAATAAAATAATAGCTGGCACTGTATAAATGCTTAATTAATTTTTATCGTTAACTATCGACAACAGTCTATTAAATACACGTGAACGAAGTCGTAGGCACCACTAGTATAATATAGGTTTAGAATTGGAGAACACATCGGGTAACATAAAAATACAACAAATTAAGATCCTCCTTTATTCCTTTCACTGTCGGATTAAAAAATAATTTTCTTCTCTTTTTTTGGTAAAACTAAATAACAATTAAGTACTTACTGTGTTTTAATGCCCAGTACTCTAAATATGTATTCAGTTAGATGTAAAGGTACAGTTTGTAACAGCAATTCCAATGTTTTCTGCAAATATCTGTGAAAAAATAACAATGAACGAACAAATTACATACTAAATAAATTTTATTAAGTTTATAAACGCGTAACTTTCTGAATATGGATGGATGTTTGTTATTCTTTCAGGTCTGAAACCTGAAACCTGAACTTACTGAACGGATTGTCATGAAACTTTACAATAATATAGCTTATAGGTACATCAGAATAATATATAGGTTATAAATATCACGCGGGATAAACCGCGGGCACAGCTAGTAATACAATATAAAAGTTGGTATGTAATAAAGAAAATATTTATAAAACATTATGTCACCATGGTAACTTTTCTTCAGAGGCGTCTTGCATTTATTAAAAATTGTTAAATTGTCGATACTCACTTGTTATGGATGGCGGTACCACATGGCCACCAGAACGCTTTATCCATGGGGTACAGTCTAATATTTTTCATGACCTCATTCTCAAAATCGCCCCATGTGGTGGGGTTTTCTGATGTAGTACAATTGTACACTCGCACTTCTTGCAATCTGAAAGTACAAATATTCTTGAAATAAAATAAACCCGATGGAACTCTAAAATTGTATTTATAACCGAATTATAAAATCTGGATTTTTTTATATTGTAATAATTTACCTACAAAGGCTATATATATAATAAAAATAAAATACCATAATATGGAGAATTCCCTGATTTTTATAGTCGGTTGAAAAATAGATAAACAGTACGATCGGAATCGATCCCCCGTCCAATTGAAACGCGGATCAAAATTACGTGTCAGACTAAAGTCGTATCCGTCAGGCAGGAGTTGATCTTTTGAAAGGAGAGACGGTTAGCACTCCCCTTGACAAGGATGGAACACACAAAATGGTTAAGGCACAACTTGACCACATTGGGGCGACGTGGTCGGACAACCTCCAAGTATGGGCCATCCATTGGGAGGCTTCCCCATCCTCGTGGATACGTCCGCGGGGAACGGTGGCCGAGCAATGGTTTGGTTCTGGTGCGCCCTGGGCGGGATAGTAGTCGTTCCTTCGGGATACTGCTACTATGTCGGCCGATAGTCCGGCGAGTAGGAGTAGGCAAATCTTTCTCTTTGACTTTGTCTGTCTTCGTCTTTTCTTTTCTTTGTCTTCTTCTTTTCTGTCTTTCTGTTTTCGTTTCCTTTTTCTTCTTTGCCTACTGGAAGCCAGGTCTGGTGGGTGCTTAACTGCGCAGCCGGACAGCACTTCAGTGCAACTGGCTTCAAACCGTAAACCTGCACTGGGTGTCGGTGATCACGTCTATCGGCCCAGTGTAGGAGCGGGGGCTCTTGGCTTAATTGCCCGGGGCCGCGAGGAGTCAACCTCTATAAAAAACCTCTTGTCTAAGCTCGGTGCCTGGCGAGGGACAGGTCGTCACGCGGAGCACGCTGCTGGAAATTCCTTTCAGTTAGCGTGTTCCCCGGGGCGGCCGGGTCGGAGGAGTAACTCCGGCCGCAAGCGCACCAACCTTTGGGCACCAGCCGCACCCAAAGTGTATTAGGCCGCAGTCGGTAGCAGGGGGCAACGCCGGCTGTGCAACCTTTCCCCCACACTCGTGGGAACAAAAATGGATGACAAACACAAAAAACCCTTTGATGAAAGGTCCGAGAAGGACGGTGTGACGAAGGAGTCCGTGAAGGACGGTGTGATGACGGAGTCCGTGAAGGACGGAGGAAATGCTGGGTCCGTTAAGGACGGTGAGGCGATGGAGATGAGAGGTCTAATGAGCGCGGAAGATGCGGCGGCGTTCAGCACGTTCGCTCGCGAACTGGAGTTGGCGGAGCGGGAACTGGCGTTGGGATCGGATTACCTCTCCAGTTCCTGCATGTCTCTAGTCGAGGATGAGGATGCCAAGACGTCGTCCATAGGTACTCGGAGGTCGTCGCGGCGGAAGAGACGTCGTACGGATCCCAACTCAGGGTCGGAATCCGAATATAGTGGGCGTTCTACTCCGGCCCCCAAAAGGGTTGGGCAGAGCCCCTCGGCAGGTGTGGAGGACCGAACATCAGGGTCAAAGGTATCAAATCCCTCCCAGGAGTTTGGCTACCGGTTCTACGAAGATGAGAAGTTTATTGAACCGGTATCCCTGCCACCAAAGAGGAAGGGGGCTATATCCAAAGCCATAACCAGAGATGGGAGTAAGGAGGCCAGGGCAGGCCTAAAACAAGTCGTCGTCAGCCAGGAGCGATTACGGGACTCAGAAATCGAGCCCCCTCGCAGTAGTGAGTCGCAAGGTGCACCCGCCCCAACAAGCGGTGCTGAGGCCAGCCAGGCTATTAGGTCAGTCAGGATGCAGGTCTACCAGCATGCGGAGGAGATCACCGAAGTCATTCGGAGATCAGCAAATATAAAAGGGACCTGCGTCAAAACGATGAAAGATGGGCTGGCCAGCATCAAACGGCTGGTCGATGCGCTAGAGGCGAGCTTAATCCCGAGTTTTGCGTCGCCACTTTTGGCACAAAACATTCGGCTGGAGCAGGAGGTGGAGTTTCTCAAGCGGGAGGTCGCTGAACTCCGTGCCGAGAAGAACAAAGCCGTAAGGGCGGCTAAGAAGGCGGAAGCTCCCGCCGCGAACACCGGAGAAGTTCAGGGACCGGTGGTGGGATCTGAAATGAAGGCCTGGAGGGCACAAATTATGAGGGACGTCGACGGCATAGTCAAAAACCGCTTGTCGTCCTTCATGTCGGAGATGAGGGAGTATCCCTTCCAACATCCGGAGATGGGGTCGGTTCCACCACCGGTCATAATGCAGGAGAAGAGCGGTCAGGCCGCTCCTGCCACTGCGGTTAGGGGTTCTGCCCCCAATGCCCAAGCTGGCCCGAAAACCAAGGCCAAAGGACCAGGGCCAAAAAAGGCCCTCACCCAGGGAGATCACCGTGGGCCCAGAGAGGAGGTGGCGCAGTCGGAACTTCCGACGACGTCATGGGCCACGGTTGTAAAAGGTAAAAGGGGCAAACTAAGTAGTGTCCCCGAGGGGCTACCCGGTGAGCCGTGGAAGTCCCAAAAGCAGGCGTCTGGAAAGCAGCCGAATAAAAGATCGGCACCGGCCCCATCCAAATTGCGGCCGCCTAGCTCTGCGGCAATCATCATAACGATGGACCCGCAGGCTGAGAAAGAGGGAGCGTCCTATGCGAATATCCTCAGGGAGGCAAAATCCAAGATTGACTTGGGGCCCCTGGGGATAGACGCTCTCCGGTTGCGAGTCGCCGTGACGGGTGGCCGCATTCTGGAGATCCCCGGCGTTGACAGCGGGGAAAAGGCGGACGCCCTAGCGGCGAAGCTCCGGGAACTTGTCCCGGAGGAGGTGGCACGGGTCTCCAGGCCCACTAAACAGGCGGAAATGCGTCTAATGGGTCTGGACGACTCCGTTGGCGTTGAGGAGATTGCCGCTGCCATTGCTAGCGCCGGGGATTGCCAGGTCCAGGACGTTAAGGTGGGGGACGTTCGCAGGAATCCTACCGGTGCGGGGGCTTGCTGGGTCCGCGCCCCAATACGTGCGGTGAAGGCCATCACCACCGCGGCGAAACTTAAAGTTGGCTGGGTGGTTGTTCGGGCTGAATTGCTCAGACAGAGACAGCTGCGATGCTTCCGCTGTCTAGAAGAGGGTCATGTGCGCGCCCAGTGCACCAAAGCGGAGGATCGCAGCGGTCTCTGCTATCGCTGTGGGGAGAGCGGCCACAAGGCGGCCTCATGCGCGTCTGCGCCGCGGTGTGCGGTGTGTGCCTCTAAAGGCAGGCCGGCAGACCACTGGGTGGGGGCGAAGAACTGTTCCCCGCCCAAGGGTAAAGGTGTCGGCAAACGGTCGGGCCCCAAAGCCCCCAACCGTGAGAGCGGGCCGAGCAGGATGGACTCCGCCCAATAAGGGTGGCTCCATCCAAAGCGATCCGAGGTGGAGGGGCGCATGGGCGCCTCAGATCGCCGCAAGGGCCTGAGATGTCACCGCGGGGCGGTGGCATCTCCAAGAAAAGCCCGAGAAGGTGGCGCGCGTATCCCCGCGCGCCTTCTCAAGAGAGGTGGGGTGGACACCCAAAATAAAAGCGAAGGGGCCCGAAAACTAAAGCGGGCCGACGCCGCCGGAGTTGCGGTAGACTGACATTCGATCCCGCGACTCCGGCTATAGGCGCTTCGTCGGGATACCTTGGAGTTTTTAGTGAGTAGGAGTCTCACAGTACCCGCGGGCTTCCCCCGGGGCCGGCGGGTCTCCATGAGGGATTTTCTCCAGTTAAAAAAAAAAAAAAAAAAGGAGTTGATCTTCAACCGCCCCATAAGTCCTACCACAAGAAGTGGCATCTACTCTCGTCCCCTACCGTCTAGTGAAGCTGAAAAGGGCAGCTGCGGCCAACAGCATTATAGTAGCCCGATAAAGAAACAATCACAAACATACCTATCCGTGGCAGTTTCCCATGCAACAGCCAGCAATGTGTCGATAGCTATGTCAACGGGCAGCATGTCAGCGTTTGCTGTACTGTTACAGCGAAACACATGGAGCAGACCTTTGCCAGCGGCAACGGCCACCCCACTAGGACCGTTCAGGTTCTCAATCCACCCGGGAAATGGATGTTTCACAGAGGACACCACTGAAAACAAAAAATTCCAAAGTTTATATCAATTAGGAACTTCATCTGCGTCACATTTTCCTTATTTTTTCTTGCAGCTCGGCTCTGATTGCTCCTAGCGCGATGTCATACAGCTTCATTGATAAATTGACTATTCAACTCTAAAAAAGTTTTGATATCAGATCAGTAGTACCGGAGATTACTCCGAACAAAAATTTACAAACCCTACCTCTTTACAATACCTACAACCTGACTAGGTTGACCTCCACGCTATCCCCCACTGGAAACTATCGGGATATATTCCTGGTGAATTTACCATGGTGGGCTAATGCTCATCCTATTTTCCTCCAATGGTGACCCGCCAGCATAAACCGTTAACGCAGGCGGCTGAACCATATCATTAGCATTCATTAAAAAAACCTATATAAAGTGTACCGGATTATTAATTGTGGCTTACGTAGTAATTACTAACGTTAGTAGTAATAAAAATCTACCGTTATTTATCATAATGTCCCAATCTACACATCTTTCAATTTTATCATTAGATGATAAACCCAAAAGGTAGGCGCCATAATTCGGTTGGAAATCGGTTAATCATTCTTCTTGTGTTGAACCTGCGTTCCGAATGAGTAGCCGAATAAAAAATATGACAATTAAAAAGTGCTTGTAATGAGTTTATTTGAAAAAAGATTATTTCTATTTTTTGTGATACAAAATTAATATCCGCTCAATATCGGTAAGTTCAGGATCATTAAATGCTCAAATTAAATTACCGTATTATGAAAAATATTTATACATAATCGCATAAATACGATAGCATAACAACTTTAGTATCGTCACTACTGTGTACAAAAAACATCAACATTTTAAGTCTGTCATATTCATATATATATTTCAAGTCTGTAACGTGTAAATACATTGTCCGAATCTGTCACTTTAGTATTGATATTGACATTTATAATTTTATTTTATTTATATACTGATTCATGATGTAATATTTGTAATGTTCGTTATGATATATGTAATAATATTATAATATCGTAAACAAGCCGTGTCTGTACAGTAAATATTTTTCCAAAAAAACACGTATAGATTTACACGTCATACTTACTTACTATATGTTACCGAGCAAAAAATAGTATTTTAAATATTTGTCTATATACTTTTCTGTGAGTTTTTACACGATTCGAATAGGGTTTTCACTAGTGTATTTCAGTATTAAACAAATTGTATATACCTACAGTTTTGTTTAATGCTGTTTACTTAAGTATAGTGGTTTTTGTTTAATTATATATATTTCTCTTCTGTTGTGTTTAATTTCTCATTATGTATATTAACTATATGATACGGCAAAGTTTTAATTGTTTAATGTGTTTATCTGGAGAGGATATTAAGTTACAACTATATAAATACACATGTATTATATTATATTTTATATATATTAGTTAATACTTAAATATGTGAATATCTTTAATTCTTTTTTATTACAATATATAATAATGTTATGATTAAGTACCTATAGTTTTTTACACAGGTGGTATAGGTGCATAATACCACAGATAACATAATAATAATACTATTCTTCTTATTTCATGTTTAAGCATATTTCCTATGAATTTCGTTGAAATGAAAGCGTATGAATGAAATGTCTTACCTATTGTGGGTCTGAATATGGCGATAGGATATCCTCTGTTCCCGTGCTGAGTGACCGCATACTCGGCCATTGCTTTTGTAAACGTATACGTATTGGGTTTTGGAGCGATATATCTAAAATAACAATAAAAATAAAATTTTGTAATATTGTTCTAATATTTCAGTCGTTCTTACACCTATCACAAATATTATAAAAAAAAATCTATTCCTTCTAATTCCTCAGTCAATATAATTAAAATATAAATATAGTCAATATAATTAAAAACTATTCTTTATTCTTTACATCGTATAAAATGAAGTCGCTCCTGCTGTCTGTTCACTTAAATCATTTAAAGTACGCAATGAATTTTAATGCAGTTTTTAGCAATATGTAGATTCAGCTGAAGATTTATGTTTTTTAATAATTCCGTGCAAAGCCGTTTTTCTCTCTTTTCGAAGTTCAATTAATATAGGTAATGACGCACCTGGGAGTGATGTCTGTCATCAAATCATTTGGCACTGACTCTGCAACGGCCAGCAATTGTTCTAACGGAGCCGGTGATGGGTAAACACGTTCTTCTATGGTAGACAGTTCAGCGTTTGAGTACGCTGTTGATATGTGGATAAAAGCCTTGAAAAATTAATAATAATATTATTATAGTAATAACATTTCAGGACAATTCACACAGCGCCATCTAGTCCCAAGCTAAGCAGACATAAGGTATCTGATACAAATATATACTTTTTTTTATAAATACATATTAAATATATATACACCCAGGCTGATACATACAATCATACTCATGTATACAAATGTCTATACCGTTCGTGGAATCGAGCCCGCGACCATCGGACGTAAAGCGGTGTGCTAAAGCGCTAGAACATTGAGGTCGTCATATCGAATAATGTGAATCTTAGCTCGAAATTTCATACCCTCAAACAAAATTTTCATTGAAGCTTATCATACTTTAGTGAAAATAACCCCAAATTGGTAAAGCCGTTTGCGCGTAAAACGCTCAGACAAACAGAGAAAAATTTTAGCAACGATTGTTTTCGGTTATTTTGATATAATCCCACAATAATAGTTATTCTATGTATATACGACACATAGTATGTGTATTTTTCGCGTTGTTTGTACCCGAAATATATATGTATATATACATATATATGTTATCAATTATAATTTCATTATATGTAGGTATACATTATTGAAGTAAAGACAAAAATAATGTAAACTCACTTCCATATTGGGCAGTCTGTCACATATATCCATGAGTCTGATGACTGACAGAACGTTTTGTTCTACAGCTGTCTTCATCGCTTCATCAAATTTTAATGTGGCAGCAGAATGAAATACTACGGATACCTGATGACAAAAATACATTACTATTATACTACACAAAAAAAATTTTATACAAATTTCGTGAAAACATTTGGTATTAAGATATAAACCAACATAATACCAAATTAAATTGCAGAGTACAGTGGCATGTCGGCTTAGTCCTCCTAAATTTCAATGCACGAAGGGTACCACGGATATCATGATGACGTGATATCCGTTATGATGTTTGTGCATGTAATCGACAGTTGGCTGACACGTACCAGGCCTACGGCCTACCTCATTACGATTACTAAATTACAAAGTTTTGGTTGTCTGAGATACAAACAACCGTTTAGTTAAAAAGTGGGTTCTCTTGCACGCAATACCGAAAATTTACTACATACTTGTTATTCAAACATGTAAAAAAAATAACGCATTTTATCTGCATCCTCATAATTTTCTAATAAACTTGAAGCGACATTTTATCGGAAGTGTAGTCCTATTAATATACAAATACCTACTCGCTATATCTATATATATATATATATAGATAACTTTTAAATTTGGTGTAAAAGTCGCTCTCTCTTAATAAAACAATGCAGTTAGGGTTTATATCTGTATTATTTATAGGTTGATATAGTTACCTCATGTAATTTAGCAATAGATTCTTGAGACAGTCCCACGTCAGGCTTTGTTATATCTCCTGGCAAAATGTAAAGCTTGTCTAGCTGTGATGGGTTAGATTGTCGTATTACGTCAAACACCTGAAAGTAAAGTACAAGAAGAACATAAAAGTATTGCAGTAATTTATAGGGGTTCAATTATTACTGCAAACAGTCTAATAGATCCAATGTTAACGTTTACGTAAGCTAAGCACGGTCATCCCTGGAAACTATTGCGGCTAAATTCTGGATATTAGCCAGTAGCAGTAGTAGCATATGGGACACAATAACCAAACCAAAATGTTCTCGTCATCCTATTGTGCCTACACTTGTAATATTTCTATCAACACTTGAGACCCTTCCATTAGTTAACCTCTCCAATAACATAGATTTATTTAAGTTAAGTGTAAAGTCAGTCCACTTTCCGATTCCGCATCTAATATACGCATTACTAATTAGCCATGAAGCACACTATTAAATAAACGTACAATAAATATTATAGTACAATAAATAACCGGTATGCTCACTACCTAGATACTACAATAAACAGTTAATTGTGCAGCGACACCTCATCACATCATACATAATGCTACATTAGTGAGGTGTATAATCATTACCACCATTCGTGAAAAACGATAATTAATTATTTAGCAGCTATACAGTTTGTTCACATTAACCTACCTGGGACTGTTTCAGTTCTTGCAGTCGCTTCTCTGGACTTACACCTTTTTTCTGCCGCATCAAAAGGTACAGTTTATCGACATTGGGACATGTCGACAAAAGCCTTTCTACCAGAACCTGTGACAAAATATGTTTTGTTAATCGTTGATGTTACCATAGTATATTACAATGAATTAGATTTATAATCTGTACCTAACTACATGTTTACAAAGATAAAAATACAACTTTCATACATTATTATTACAATAGCTGTCGGTCCAGCATGTACGTAATGCAACGTGGGCATAAACTCTCAATGATGAACTTAGAGTGCATTGCGTCTTCATAAATTATTACTTACTTGTCTTAATGTACCTATACTTATATGATGATGATGATGCTTATAACTTTCCACGAGGTTAGTTCCGTCAGTTAGTTTCCATACTAGTTACATTAAAAAAAATGAACCGAAACCGACAATTTGGTTTTGATAGGATATTACTAAAACGTATGCAGATTTGATTAACACTTGCCGATGTTTTGTTATTATACCTAATATTAATGACGTGGTTGCTATAAGCATACAGGTGTCATATTAACAGCTTAGTGTACCAGGATATTTGAATGAAATTCTGTCGTACGCTCTGTCTGATCAACAATTAACGCCAATACATGATTCAACAAACCCAACCCTCTACTCAAAAATATTTGGAATTTCGTAGCCATAGGTACAATAGAATATTAAGCAGTTATAGATTGTCTAAGTCATTTATTTTAAGTTTAGGTCTTTATTGTTTTTAAAATATCTAGCGTGTGTAAATATCAGTGGTGTAGTGGTTTATCTCACCGCTTTACGTCTTATCGCTGGTTCAATTCCTCGCAGAATAATAATAATAATAAAATAATAATAATAATAAAGACATTTATTCAGCATTACAGTATTCTTAGATGCTATCTATCTTATATACTATACAACTTAAAAGCTAAAAGCTAAAACATACTAGTAACGCTGAATGTGACTCCCACTCAGCATTTATACTGCAGTATATATATACCACAGTGCTGATTTTCAGTGGGGCCACCACACACGAGAGAGCGTACGTAAAGATTACTAAAGAAAATAAAACGTTAAAATTAAAAAAAGAATACAAACAATTGTATTCATTAGTGTGCTTGTTCGTATGTATTATATAAAAAAAAATGTATCTATGAATTTATATCAGTTGTCTAGTACCTACAACACAAGCTCTGCTTAAATTGGGACTAGATTGCACTGTTGAATTGTCCAGTGATATAATTATTTTTATTATTATTATACACTGGTTAAAAACCATATAAGAGAGTATGGGAGTAACTATTGAGGAGTAAACAACATCGATTATAAAAACCGAATCTTAACATGTAGTTTATAATCAACAAATACGTTAAAAAAATAGACAAACAAGAGTCTTTTCTCCTTGAAGTGGGTTGAGAAGATCACGGTCTAACAGTACCTAAGTTTATAATCCTGTCATACTTTTATGCTTTTATACAATATTACAATACTTTAATACAATGGTATTGACCTTATGTCAGATTTGTGTATTTGTGTGTGTTGGGGAGGGTGTGTTTGTACCTACTATAATAGAAAATAGGCGTAATTGTAATCATTAATTTGTTACAATAACAATTAAAGTTTTTATAACATTATTTCATTGTAAACAACAAGCGAAACGCATACATTTTCAAGTGTATGATTTGGTACGGATGTATCAGGAAATTGGCAAAAAAAGTTACGGAAGCATAGTTTTAGGAATGGTAACGTTTGAGGGATGACACGAATGTTACACGGCGATGTACAGAGAGGATGGATAGAGAGTTAGAGTTTTTATATTTAGAACTAGCTGTACGCGCGACTTCGTCCGCGTGGAATTTAACTTTATTCTTCTAAAACAAAAGAATTTTTCAAAAATAAAAGTACTCTTTATTACGTCAGCTACCTGCCAAAAAAAAGTCCCGTCAAAGTCGGTCCAGGCATTTCAGAGATTAGCCGGAACAAACAGACAGACATACAAAAATTTTAAAAGTGTTATTTTGGTGTATTTAATTTATTTATATTCATATGCATGTAGTAAAAAATGGTTATTTCAATATTAAAAACAGATAGTCCAATTTTATTTATATGCATAGATATAGAGGACTTGAAAAAAGAGAAAACATATTGCCGGCAAATTCTTAAAACATATTAAGTCGGATGGTTTTATGTGTTATTCTGTAATATTGGAAATAATGTCACAAATGTGTAGGTACACCTACCTTCCCCATAAATCCAGTACCTCCTGTGATTAGAATGCATCGCCCGGCGTAGAATGCTGGTATAAGTGGTCGATTATCGTTCTTCTGACAATACCCTACCATTTTGTTATTATCTGTAAATAAAGAACAACATTTTAAATTTTACAATTTAGAAAAGAATAACTTATTAATCTACGCCGAACCCAAAATAAATGGGATAAGAAAGAAGCAGATGATCATGATGAACTCCTCAGTTATCTGACGAAGTCTTAATCAAGTCATTGCTTTTCTTATTTGTTTTTTTTTACACGCAGTAAATAAATAGATGAAAGTACTTTCTCTCCCAATGCAAATGACAATTATTCACTATTGACGCTATTCACAAGGATTATATTTTTAGAATTCACTTCTTAATAATAGTACCGGTACTACTGTGTCGCAGCATGAAATAATTATTTATATTAAAATTACTTATTTATACTATTGTTGGTATTAGAATTTATATGCGCAGTGTCACAATGTAGGTAGTATGTAAAATCACATGTGTGTTATTCAGAATGCAGTTAAGTCTTACTTGTCTTTTAAATCTGTTGAACAAATTTTAGTTAGGGGTCGCTAAACTCTATTTCAGCTTTAACAAGTATAGTTTCGATCAGACTTCTATTTCAGCAACATAATTCCGCAACTAAAAATGTTGTACACACCCACCTCCTATTGCTAGTGCAAAAGACTGTCTGTCTGTATTTTTGACAACGCAGGGAACTAACTACTTAAATTAGCACAACATTCATTGCAAATATAACATTGCTAGTTCGTGACGGAAATATTATGTATTTATAAATTTACGAATATAATAATAATGTTGATTTTATATACAGTGTGTTGAGTCAATAACTTATTTTATTATTATGGAGAAGTCGGTGATTACAGAGAAGAGAGGGGCGTGGCCTGGTGGTTTTTAACCCTTAATTGAACCCATACAATCGGCGACAAATCTCTCCGACATCTAAATAAATTTATGTCAATTTATTTTGATTCAAGGGAAAATGTACTCATTGAGCCTGAGGGTTAATAATTCTACTATAAAAATCATTACGCGATGGATTTTGTATTTATTATTAATATAATAATATTAATAATAAAGCTATTTATTCTGAAATTTACAAATATTTTTAACTATAGATACTTCCATTGATTCCTATCCTGTGCAACCTTTTTATTTTGAATACGTTTGTCCATAAGTTACGCATTATAGTTAGACCTTAGGTTATACTTAAATCCTTGCGACCAACATCTACTGTGAGCAACTTTGCAATTTCCGTAATTCAGAACAACCTGTATAGTTATAGTCACACGTGTAAAGTGAACTTGACGTACATACAATGTGTAGTTAGTACGTCATGTTTACATAAAGTTCATTGTTGGACAAATAGCCGGTGCAGTAGGTAAGGTACAGTCTTTTACACCAGTGTTTTAGACCGAAAAGTGTAAATTTCTAGGATCTAATTACGCTAAGCATCTGAATTATGGCTGTGTGACCGCTAGACTACAGATTAGGGGGTTCAAATCTCCCAATACACATAGGTACTTATCAGTTTTTTAATGCCTATAGAACAAGCTTTCTTTTTACCTATGTATGATTTTTTTTCAAATGTTAGAAAAAAATAAAAAGGAAATAAATAATATTATGTGAATGAATACTGATGCTAATGCTTTTTTTTAAATTAATAAATAAAAAAAATAGCATGATAAAAGCCTTGACATCTTAATACTTCAGAAAGTCAGTGTATGAGCGATATCATGGGCGTCACATGATATTGTGATGTCCTTAGTGCTGTTCATGTATATAGAGGACAATTAGCATTTAGCATCACGTGGGTAGCAAACAAAAACAAGAGTTCTTGTTTGCCATTCCAATTGTTTGTCCTGATTTATTATTATTATTTATATTCTCCTTTTACCAAATTATGAACGCCGTCGTTTGTCGGCGTTTATAACATATTCTTGTTGAATGATTATTCAACAAGAATATGTTATGAACGATTTATGTTTATATACCATTTATTTTTATATTTTTATGAACCATTGAATGATTTATTCAACAAGAATATGTTATGAACGATTTTTTTTTATTTTGAATGTGGTTGTACTACACATAACAAAGTTATTGTGAGAATAAATAATCTGAATACTCAGGTAAACTCTGCGAGAATGAGCACTGATATGATGGACACAATAACAATCGCCTAACCTCCACTTCTTCTTCACCTTAACCTTCACTTAGTATTTAGGATGCGTATAGGAGACATGTTTTATTATGATAATAATATCCCTTCATGATGACATAACATGACAGTTATCACAGATGGAATAGTTATATACCCTATCGCCTCCCTCGGTGCTGGCGGGTTTCTATGAGGGATTTTCTTCCAAGTTTAAAAAAAAGGATGGTGTATTATTCTGTCCTCAATTTATCGTTACTCGCAGTTTTACCCGCGGGAAATACGAAACCTGCGTGTTATTCTGATGTATAAAGCTTCATTAAAATCTATTATGTAGTTTTTGAGTGAAAGAGCAAAACAAACATCCATCTGCTGCACTAACAAACTTTCACATTTATAATATTAGTAATATTTAAAATACGAGTTTATGAAGAATGATCCCCGTCCTACGCTGAGAGTATACGATGGTGTGGAGGGTGATACAATGAAAATGAAGTCAGGTCGTCATGGCGATTTCTCCAGGAAATATCAAGAATGTTTTCCATGTTTGACCGCGTTGATGTCAAATGAGATGATTATTGTTATTACTCTAATATAAAAAGTCCTGTGCGGTGTCAATCATGTTGTTCAGAATAAATATGAAAAGGTTTCAAATATTAAGTAGTTTGTTGACATGCTTAGCCTCTTCGAGGAATATACTCAGTTTTATGAATTCTACTTAACGAATGTTATATTTCGACTTATATACACAAAGTAGCTGTTTGAACCAATTAGCATGTTTTTTTAGGAATATTTTCCAGTACATTACACCTGGTATGTGTGTACAGAAAATGTAGCAGCCGGTCCATGTATTTCCATCATTGATTAGCATTATTATTATAAGGTATATCTATATACAACATGTTTTAAAAATTCCTGTATGCGTAGGTAGTTTATATAAATATAGCTATATAATATTATGTTATCTGTGATATAGCTAAAGACGGTTACTGCTTGTGTGCGTAGGGTATCATTCAATTGAATTATTCCGACTTTTGGTCCTCATTCAAAATATATGGCACAGTAATATATAGAATTCTTATAAAATTAATAGTTAAATATATCCTCACAGAGAGAAAAAATTTAGTTGATTATACAGACTCCAGCCCAGAGTACACAAATAGCAGTAATCATGATCTGCGATCATATGCCGAATGCATGTAATTTGTATTATCTATGCATGTAATATCTAATATTATTTTCAATTTCCGACTTTTTTTACTCTCTTAAAAACGTAGTCACGGGTCAACTGGAGAGTCTGAAGTTCATAAATATATATATTTTACCAAGTACAGAAAGTCCGGCCCCTTTTTTAATTTATTATATTTTTATTTCTTCCTTTTGTCATAATTAATGTTATATCGGTAAATATCCGTTTATATTCTGTAGTATTTTGTGGTTGTGGGTATTTATCGAGTAAGGCTACATCATGCTATGACCAATATAATAGGAACTGCACTGAAGAGTATTCCAAAAACGGGGAAATTGTGATCCAGAAGAAGTTGCGCAGGTCAGCAAGTAATTTATGTACACAATTCTAAACAGTTGTGAATATACGAATACTTAGTTTTAAACAATGTCTGTTTTATGATCGATAAAAAATATTGCATTTGTCCATGTCAAGTTCAAGTCCTATGTACCACGTACCAGCAGTTCAAGTTTGAACGTTTCGCGTGATGGATGATGATGTATTCAAACTTAAACAAACATGACAGACAAATATTATTCGTGTGCTTATAGTAAGTGTCTAACATTTTGAGTAGGATGTTAAATTGTTAATATCGCATCTGTTTAGCTGTTTCAGATATTTTATGACAAAATTAAAAAGATAAAATGTACCTATTTACATAATAAAACAACGATCAGTCAAGCTGTTTACTACACCGCTTTAATTCCAATGGTTGCGGGTTGGATTCCTCGCACGGTACATCATAGTAATTTGTATTGGTCTGGGTTGTTTCTATGTATGTATTTATAAAAAAAATCCTGTAACACTTTGTAATTCCTATTTTATTGTTTGGTTACTCGTATTTCCTATCCTTGGAGAGTGCGAAATATAAAAATAAAGTCTACAATGATTCTATATCACTACTTTTATTTATAATTTATCAATAATAATATAATTTAATAAAATAGCAAAAAGTATTAATAAAATATTGTACAAATATAATCACCTAGAAATGTAACATATCTATGTCTGTGAAGTCAAGTATATTTATCAGTTGTCTGATTAATAAATATGAAAACTTACTTGAGCTTTTGTAGCGTATCCAAAAATTAATGTTTCTATCACTTTGGTAACTACACCTCCAATTCATACACATTCGCGGCCATGTGTCAGACTGAACCGTGTTCGCTAAATTACGACTCTTTTAAAGATAATATACTGTTGCTATATCTACGTCAACATCGATAAATACCTTGAACTTCACAAGTAAAGTTTGGTCAACCTACTAAGCATAATTAGACGAGAGCAGTTCAGTAACAGTCATTACTTTGTACAACTAATGTGTTTAATTCTAATTTCGATATGATCAATTTGAGGACAATATTTATTTTTTATCAAATGATTCATAAGATAAGGAAAGAGAAGAAAGATAAGATAATAAAAATATGGAAAGCGTCATGGTCAAGTGGTTTGCTACAAAGATTGTGACTTGCAATTTAATAAAGTCACTAGGCTGTTTCTTAAATTTGGTTTTCGGAGTATAGCCGTCTCTTTAAACCAAATCTAAGAGATGGTGGTAAGCTCGTCTTCTACTTCGCTTGATTCAAACACATCAATTAAATGTGGTAATGTTTTTCTATGTAATTGGAATAGCAAACAAGCTGACGTTCCTTCTTATGGTAAACAGTAACCGTCGCCGATATACATGAACAGTACCTACCTACTACGGACATCACGTTGTAGGTAGGTACTGTTGTACTAAACACACCCGAGATACCATACGTTGGAATTCTAGAGGGTTTCACTACCTAAACTGCACTCCACGACCGAAACACAGCTTACAAAGCAAGCTGCTGAAATAGGTTAGATTGAGTAGAGTCCTACTCTGGTAGGTATGTGAAGTGTTAAGTGACCACGACGTTGACAGTTCGCAATTCATTTGTGTAATACAAATATTAAAATGGGCTAACTGACCTTACCTCAATCTCATCTTATCATCCTCCACTCGTGTCTCACCTTTGATTTTGATCTTACATTGGTCAATTTTTCGGTCAGGAGTTCAATGCCATACACATATTATAATGGTAATATTATACCTTACCTATGGCAATTTACAAACAGCCATATTGTCCCAAATTAAGCAGAGTTTGTATTATGGGTACCTACTAATTACAACATCTTTTGAGAGCTAATATATCAAAGTCCTCTCCGAAAAGACTTATCAAGACCTACATCTGGAGTATAGCCTTGTATGCCTGTGAGACGTGGACATTGACACAAAAGGAAAGAGACAAACTGGAAGCCTTTGAAATGTGGTGTTGGAGAAGAATGGAAAGAATTAGCTGGAAAGATAAAATAGGGAATGAATAAGTGCTTGAGAGGATTAAAGAAAAGAGACAGATCATAGATATTATTGAGAATAGGCGGGGAAAAATGTTGGGGCACTTGATACGACACGACGAACTAATTAACAACATTATTGAAGGAAAAATAGATGGAAAGAGAGGAAGGGGAAAACCAAGACACACCTATATCAAGCAAATTAAAGAAAAAGTTGGAGTCGTGTCGTATCAACAG